AAAAAATCCCCCAGATATAATCTTCCAAATGATGGCTTATCTATAGGAGAGCGGACAGGCTCCTGAGTTTTCCACTATCTATGGCCATATGTGCTTATTGTACGTAAAACAATGTCTCATATAGGGTGTTTTGGCTTGGCCTCTCTCTCTCTGAGTGTTGATGTCGGCTTGGTACGAGTTGGTTATAGATGACTTGCTTGACATGAGGAGTGAATTACTTTGGCACGAGATCTGGTCTTTGTTCTGGTTTTCGCGGTCCATTCGTGCCATGAAGGCCCAAGTTGAATGTCCGAGCCTAAGTAATAGGGTCATGGGAAGGTCAACATGATATCTGTCGGTTAGGGACTTAAAGTCATTCCCTATCCTTCAATTTACACTTCATGTGTTCTTAAGGGACTTAATGAAATTATCTACCTCGCAATAAGTGTTCCATACAGAGAAGGGCTGATGCAGTGCTTGAGTGTTTCCCAGGTTTCGAAACCGCCCTTCAATATCCTTTAGTGCTAAGAACTAAAATATATAATCCCGGAGGAGTCATAAAGGAGCCTTTGATGTCTGCGAAATCATCTCCGAGAGTAGCAACAGAGGCATATAAATACATTGCCGCTGCATTCTCACCAAGGTGTGTTAGTCCTGTCTTGCTGGCATTGCTCATGCTGCTGCGGACTTACATGTATAATATGCAACAAAAGTCCTGCACGCCTCAATATTCTGAAAGGCCCGTATCTTCTACCTTTGCCTTGTTTTTCCCCCTCTTTGGCCTCAATGATGCGTTTCTCTTTTTTACGAAGGTGAGTCTACGGACCACATAGCATTGGTCTCACCACGTTATGGATGATATATAACTTGAACTGCAGTGTCACTCCCCCGTCATCCACCTTTCGACAATCTTCTTCCCGTAACGGATGATTTCCTACAAGCACCAACTGCCACGACCTACTTCACCGACGATCATCCGTCATGTTCTGTGGTCTTCCCATACCATTCCGGTCTCGATCGGGGCACAACGCCAGCACCATGGAGCCACGGGAGAAAAACAAGCTACGAAAGAAGCAAAAGAAGGTACAACTAGCTTCGAGTGACCAGTTTCAGTATCAGGGAAAACCCCCCAAGGGCCCTGCAAGGGCATGCAACAGTAGTACGAGCCCGGAAACTGTTAGACTAGTAACCAGACCCCGCCAACAACTTCCATGGCTACTAGGACGATAGGTACTAGCAGTTACTAACAAAGGATCGCCAGATCACGCCTGAGAATGATCCGCGTCCTTCACATTCCCACTCCCGGCTCACGCCTAGAGGTACCATCGTAGAAGACGCGCCAGAAGAGCAAGATCTTCAACCTGACGACCGTTCTGCTACCGCTACCGAGGTAGAGTCCCAACAGCCCACAAAAGCTTCCACAACGCCCAACACGGGGAAACCCCGAATGACACCGAGAATAAGGAGCGTAGTAATATTGCGAAGCCGCACAGCGACCAGTCCCAGATACAGGTATCGCCATTACGTCGTGCGGCAGTCGTTACCGAGGAGTACATCCGAGCAAAGAACGACATAGTGTAGAGGCCGCCGCCATCTCAAGGGTCCCCTCTTCTGCTTCTGTCCTGAGCGTTATCCCTGAGTCCGATTGATTCCTATTCTACTGGCGACGAGCGCGAACAAAAGTTGGTAGAAACGTCCCTTCACCTGGTATCTTCAATGTTTCCAGTGTGGGAGGGTTCAAGGGCAGGGAGTGTGCGGGACAAGAAGACCAAGGAGGAGAGCTACAAAAACAGCCACAAGGACAAGACCACAAACAAGAACAAGCTATGACTTATACTCTCACGAATACGGCCCCCCGTTCTTTCCGAACCCAGGTTACTAGGATTCCACCTCGCACTTGCACTCGAGAATGACGCCTTGGAAGGTGCAAGGAGAAGAGGAGGGAGAAGCGAGCACAAAAGGAGAAAGTAAAGCAAGAGCGGAAGTGGAAGGTATCTGAAGGACGTTTTTACCTGTAAGCTCATGACGGAGTTCGGTTTTCGGTATGGTATCGTGTATGGTTTCTATCACCAGTACGCGTGGGAAGAGATGGTCGTTATCGAGTTTGCGACTGCAGAAAAGGACATGGAGATTCAAATATACGGCTTCTTATTCCCATTGCACCCTTTGCTACTACTACGTTTTGAACATGAGGAACGACTGTTCATACCTTCGATCAGCTGGCAAAAAGGTTTTTCTTAGGACGTCGTCGTCAATGTGATCATTCGTAATACGAAATAAAGACATCTTGCAATGACTTGATATGTCGGCAGAAACATTGGGGGTTGTTGAACTCGACGTAATCGATATATTCAAACAAGAATGCTACTTCCCCAACTTACAAATGGAAGCTTCCATGTCTAGATAAGAGGACAAGGAAAGATTGGAGGTAAAATAAGGGTACCTAGTAAGTAATAATGGCAGAAATGGCCGGAGAGAAAACGGTTGCAGCGCTACTAATCTTTCCGTTCAGCTGGACCCCAGGGATGTCAAGCGTGAGTTACTTCACTCCAAATGATGCAATTCTTTCTGAGGAAAAAGTGTCACACTTGACCTTTGCTTGGAATTGTCTATCAAACCATTGCCTCTCAGTCTTTGTCCATTGCCCTTTGGTTTTTTTCTGCGAACCTCCTGTCCCTTATGGCCTTGTTTATGGAATTGTTTGAAGTCAACCTTCCTTTTCCATTCCTTTTCAGTATCGTCCGTAGAGCCGGAACAACCAAAGTCAAAGTAAAGTGACGCCAACATAGGTAAGTAACTTTGCAGCTTCCCTTTAACCATGTCCCTTTTATCGGTGAAATACGTTTTTTTCATCATTCGTTCCTGACCCCTTTGGGAAGCGCCACCCACGGTAAACACCACGCAAAACGACAACAAAGGTCGAAATACCATAAAAGGCAACCTCATCCTGCCACCGCGATAGGCCGGAAAGAGGTATATTAAAGAGAAACATCAGACTAGAATGAAAATTGTTTAAACAAGGAAAATTTTCAATAAACCCATTCATCGTCAGAAAAAAAAATGGCTCCGTAGCTCCCTAACCCCGTCAGACTTGACTAACCAGCCAAACCAAGTGGTAATCATTGGCGTAATCAACAATCAATCAAGGCAATCCCAACCAAGCCATCTTTGTCCGAGCATGACCATCCCGATTCCTCTTTTTAGCTGACCACATCAACTTTTGATAGTTCAATCCAGTCATTGTCGACAACGCCAGTCAAGCACTCAGGTGATAGAATAAAAATCATTAACACGACACGCTTTCCATCCATCCGTCCATCCATCCATCCATCCAAAGCCAAGTATGTTACAGGAGACTCTTAGGCAGTAGTATCCATTGATACACCAGGAAAAAAAGCAGAGCACTGGCGGCAGGAACACTATGACTCCGCCTTGGGAGCTTCTTCCGCGGGGGCGGTGGTGGGAGGCTCAGAGGCCTCAGTCTCTGGTGCGGCAGGCTCCTCGGTGGGAGCAGACTCCGGCGCGGCGGGGGTCGGCTCGGGAACAACAGAATCGGCTTCTGGGGCTGGGGCTGGGGCTGGAGCCTCAGTGGGCTCGCTAACGGGCGCAGGCTCTGACTCCTGGGCTTCCACTTGTTCTTGGACGGGTTCGGGCGCGGGTGCCGGGGCCTGCTCAGGTGCTGCCTCGGGTGCTGGCGCAGGGGCAGGGGCGGCTTCGTCGATGGCCATAGGGGTAGGAATTGGCTGTTCTGCAGGTGCTGGCTGCTGCTGTTCCGGCTGCTGTGGCTCAACAACTTCTGCATAGGGCTCGGTCTTGACGTTTTCGTCCAGGCGGATCTTCTTGTGGCGTCCATTATCCTGAGATTCGAGAGCATCCTTGACGTCCTTGAGCTCAACCTCGAGCTCATCAAGGCGCCTCTTGAGCATATTCTCCCTCCTGTGACTTTCCTCCAGTTCCTTCTGCAGCTGCTGGTGAGCTTCGCCCATGGCATCGATCTGGGCGCGAAGCTGGGCTTCAAGCTTGCCGGGCTCTGAAGCTTGTCGAATATTCTCTTCCGTTTCGAGTTGGTGAAGGCGACCGCGGTAGAGCTCTTGGATGACCTCCAACTCGCTGACTCGGGTCTTCAGGCTGGCATTGGCGGCGAGGAGCTGCTCGTGGGTTTGTGGCATGTGCTCGCCATTCATGGGCGATGGGGCTCGGCCGGGAGAGGCAGTCGGGACGCCGAATCCGGGAATCTGTTGGGCTTGAAATTGGTACTCTAGGCTGTGATCAATGGGAATGTGCGGATTGTATACGTTGGGGGTGCCGGTACGCGAAACGGGCGAGTTATCGTCGACGGGGTGGCCATTGATGGACTTCTGGGATGCTCTTCGGGCAGCAGCGGCAGGGTTGTTGGGATCCATCATGCCTACTCCGCCGTTCATGTCGGCGGTGGCAGCTAGGTTCTGCTGCTGTTGCTGTTGTTGCTGCTGTTGCTGGGCACACACAGTTAGTTTGCCGAATGAAGTTTGCCAAGGTCAGACATATATGGACGGCTTGCCTTTTTCTGCTTGGCCAAGTCAGGACGCATGGTCTTGACGCGGTTGCGACTCTTGATGACATCGGTCTTTAGGGAGATTGGACGTGGACGGCCATGCAGCTTGAGGAAGAGACCACAGGCATTGCAGAGGACCTGGCCCATCTCGTCGCGGCGCCATAGCGGGGTTGTCGAGGTCGCGCAGTTCTGGCACGTGGGCTGTGTGGTTTCGCGATCATGGTTAGCCATTGTCGCCATGTTTGCTGCAGTTGTTGGTGGTGGTGATGGTGGTGGTGCAGCTGCGCTGTCGGATAAGAGATGGGAACCTCAATGGTATGGAGAGGGAGAGATAGAAGGCCGATTAGATGCTGGCGATAAGCCAACCTTGATAAATAAATGCGGGAAGTGGAAGCTGCTGGTGAATGAGATAGAACGTGGAGGGATGTTGATAAGAACGAAGCACGGAAATGATAAGGAAATTTTTTGACGGGGCCGCTTCCAGGTTTGGGGCGCTGCAGCCCAGTAAGTTACCACCAAAGAAGTGGGCTGTTGCGATAACAACCCGGTCGGGCCATGGAGGGGCTTAGATAAGCAGCTAAAATTCCACCAAAACCGGGCTTTTTGGCCAATGGCAATCGTTGCCATTCTCAGCAAACCCGTGGCCTTGGCTTTTCGTGACGTTGATCCATTGCCAACCGCCCGATTGTGTCGCAAGACGCGACTGGGATAATGCGATACGCGATAAGGGGGACAGATACAACAACACCAATATGGAGTAGACTTACCAAGTTGCCTCCTGGACCTGGATGCGAGCTAGCAGCTGGAGAGGTGCCTGGAGGAATCATGGGAGGAGCGGCCATGGTCATAGGTCTGCCATCCATTGCAATGTCAGCAAAAGTTGGCGCATCGCGGTTACGTGTCAAGCAGAGCCACCAATGCTAATGCGCCTTGTACCACTGCTTCTTCCTCTTCATCTGTGAACCCAATTGACTGAAAACTAACCTAGGCTGTGGTGATGTGACTGTCGCCGGCGTATTGTTGTTGTTGTTGTTGTTGTTGTTGTTGTTATTGTTGTTGTTATTGTTGTTGTTGTTCGTGGTGGTAGTGGCAATGGATGCGATACCGGGCAACATATGCGACATGTTTTGAGGCGCCGAGGCCTGGGTCGACGTCGAGCTCGGTCGGGATATGGGTTCGGGTTCAAGTGTGGTCGGCGCTGGCAAGGATGGCGATGCCGCCGCGGGCTGCTGTTGCGTCGTGGGATCCTCCATTATGACGGCTTGAACCGGAGGCAGCTCCAAGTCGGTGGGTGGTGTAAATGATGTTGGATATTGCGGATGAATAAGGGGAAGAAGGCCCGGAGATCGAGTCGAAGCCAGCTTGACTTTCACGGCGGTTGAAGGCGGCGTCGGTGCCAATTGACCCACTCGTGGTGGATGCGAGCGAGACCGTGGGCCCGTGACCGGGATTGCCAACTTCGGGATCGAGACTGCGCAGGCGGAGGGAGGTGCGGGTGTGTGGTGGTCGAGGTCAACGTCCTTAGAAATGACGTCCGTGCTTATGATAGAATTCGATTTGTTTCTTTTCCTTTTCTCTTCTTCTCAAGGATAGACACCGAGAATTGCCGTCGATCTTCGCAAAGGTCACAAGAAGCAGCGATACCTGAGAGTCTTGGGGTTCGGGATAAAGACCGACGCCAGGGATAAGAAGGGAAAATCGAAGAGGGTATGATAGTGTAGAATGTCGCGGGGCCGAAGAAGAAAAAGAAGGGGAAGATGTTGCAAGGAAGGAGTCCTCAATCTTGGCGACACAAAACCGAACCTACCCCTTTCTGATGGGGAAGGTTGATGGACTTCGAAACCTCGTGCACGGAATGCTGTAATCCGTGGCGTACCACAGTGCAGATTGTGCTTGCCCGATCATGATGACCACAGCGCGCCAGGGTCGTCAGATCTTTGCAGGTTCTTATTGGGCGAACCTGGGATGATTTCTTGGTTCTTCAGCTGGAAAACCAACGACGAATGTTATCCCTTTACCGCGACTTTATCACGGCGAACCTGAAAACTGCCGCTGTTTTGTCAACTTTGTCTCGGGCGGGATTCGATGCTTCACCATCAATCACTTCAGCGTATCTTGAACACCTTGGTGAGGTTTTGCTGACGGTACAGGTGTCTCAACAATGGCCCTGCTGGGAGTATACAAATCACGTTGAAACCCCAGCAAGTCAAAACGCTCTTGTCGCCAATCCCACCATGGCATATCAAGACCTTTGGATGTCGCCAGCACATGTGATTTCTTGTTGGTGTTCCGTGCCGTGCAAGCCCCTGTCATGATAAGCTAGTATGCAGATAAGATAACATCAACAACCTGGGGAAAGAAAAAACAGCTGAAAGGAGCAGATGGCCAAGAGTACTTGGATAGACTCGTTGCGAAGTACAGCAGGACAATGATTACAGAACCAGACTTCCACCTCGCTGAGATTTGAAATAACTGAATCTGGTCATTTTCTAATTTTTGCTCCTTTTTTATGCTGTTGTCGTCCTCAATGAAAATACCAGTTTCCAAAAGTTACAACTTCCATGCAAGTGGAAGTTCCAGTTATCTGATAAGGAGCTGCCCCTGTATCTGCCAGCTGGCCGCTGATCCTGTCGCGCTTCTGCAGCCGGAACTCTACCTGCAGAAAGCGCCGAGCCCCCACTCTTGCCAGCTGCGGCAGGCTTGCGTTCCAAAAATTTCCATCCATGCAGCGCGATTCGGGCTGGCCATCTTGCCATCGAATCCCTTCAACAAGCCATTTATCAAATCCAACCACCAGACCCAAGTCGCCCGCCCTGATATCGTGACCTGTCGCACAACCTCGATCGAGACCTCTGATTATCCAGAAACATCAACAACCCACAAGAGCCCAGAGAAACACATACAGCCAAAATGCCGTCCACACACAAGAAGGAGAAGCCGTGGGATACGGACGACATCGACAAGTGGAAGGTCGACCCTTTCACCAAGGACGAATCCTCCGGCCCCTTCCTCGAGGAGTCTTCGTTTATGACCCTATTCCCCAAGTACCGCGAGCGTTATCTACGAGACTCGTGGCCTCTCATCACCAAGGCCCTCGACAAGCACGGCATCACCGCAGTTCTCGATTTGGTGGAGGGTTCCATGACAGTGAAGACGACAAGAAAGGTACGGTGGATGCGTTTGTTACCCCCTAGTCACCACTCTTTGCTTACTCACGTCCAGACATATGACCCGGCAGCTATCCTCAACGCCCGCGATCTCATCAAGCTGCTTGCCCGTTCAGTACCAGCCCCCCAGGCGATCAAGATTCTCGAAGATGGCATGGCCTGCGACATCATCAAGATTCGCAGCATGGTACGGAACAAGGAACGTTTCGTTAAGAGGCGCCAAAGAATTCTCGGACAGAACGGCACAACACTCAAGGCTCTCGAGCTTCTCACACAAACATATATCCTCGTGCACGGAAACACAGTGTCGGTAATGGGTCCTTTCAAGGGTCTGAAGGAGGTCAGGAGGGTTGTTGAGGACACCATGAACAACGTTCACCCAATTTACATGATCAAGGAGTTGATGTAAGTTTTGCGCCTTGCATGCCCTACTTGCGACGCCTAACAACAGTAACTAACAAAAGAAAACAGGATCAAGCGCGAACTCGCAAAGGACCCCGCCCTCGCCCACGAAGACTGGTCCCGTTACCTCCCCAACTTCAAGAAGCGCACGCTTTCCAAGCGCCGTGTCCCCCACGTCGTCAACGACAAGACCAAGAAGAACTACACACCCTTCCCCCCTGCGCCCGAGAAGAGCAAGGTGGATCTCCAGATCGAGTCCGGCGAGTACTTCCTCGGCAAGGAGGCCAAGCAGCGGGTGGCGGAGCAGGAGCGCGCAGAGAAGGCCAAGCAGAAGAAGGAGGAGAAGAAGCGCGAGCGCGAGAAGGAGTATGTGCCGCCCGAGGAGTTGACGGACAAGAAGGCCAAGAAGAGGAAGACGAGCGACTGAGCTGGTACGATTGGCGCAATCCAAAAAATGGGAGCAGTGGAGGTGGAAATGGAGTTGAGGAAGGTGATGAAGAGAAAGAGAAAGGATCCTGGAATCCCATGATACCCATACTTCAGCAGACGATTGAGATTTCTTCTGCTTCGGGATCCAAGGGTGATCTGGTTGCTAAATTTCACCAAAGCCTTTGTCAAATGTGTTATCGAAAAACATTATTCGTCTAGAAAAGATGATGGTTCTTGAATCTGTCGACATTTCGAAAACCAAGGCCGAAACAAAACCCGATGACGATCGCGAATAAAGCCCGATGTGGCAGATCCGCACCACAACCGGGCTGCTCCACCCCGGCGGATCGCAAACCAGGGGCATCACAACGCGAGCCGAGGCAGTTGCATCATTGGAGCGGGATCCGGCAACGAATGCGGGGGAGAGTGGGGGCGGCCATTGGTCGGTGGCAGGGTTCGGGGGAGAGGCTCAATGACAGAGTGACAACACCCCTTTCCCCGGGTCCAATTCATAACAAATCTTTTCGATGTCGCAACTGATTCAGACTTGATGCCCCTTTCCTTCTTTCACTTCTTAAAGTTACCTTGACACTCATCCAGTGAATTGGTCTCCCCAACAAACAATAAATAACACAACACCAAGATGCCTCTCCAACTCACCGTCAAGAAAATCGACGGTAAACCCGGCCAGGTTTACTACCCGTAAGTGTTTTGTTTCTCCCTCTTACATTCACCTCACCTTTCTTTTCCCCCATACATATCCCCATTACCACCAACCAACTCACTCCCACCATTCTCCCCGCATCACTAACCCTCGGCCTCCCCCTCTAGCCTCCAACTAAACACCATCCCCAAACCGACCCCCGGTCCCGGCGAGCTTCTCATCCGCCTCCGGTCCTGCGCCCTCAACCACCGCGACCTCTTCATCCGCCAACACCTCTACCCCGGCATCTCCTTCGAGCAACCTTTTCTCGCCGATGGCTACGGCGTCGTCGAGTCCACTGGCCCCTCCGTCTCCCCTGCTGCTTCTCAGCTCATCGGCAAACCCGTCCTCATCACCCCCAGCCGCGGATGGATTTCCTCCCCCGACGGGCCCGACGACCCCAACCAGCCCTGGACAGTCATTGGCTCATCTCAGTTGACCGACGCCGGCACGGGGCAGGAGTACATTGTTGTTCCCGAGGTGGAGGCAGTACCCGCGCCAGAGCATTTGAGCGCTGCAGAGGGAGCCGCGCTGCCGCTCGTTGGACTAACGGGGTGGAGGGCGTTGGTGACCAAGGCGCAGGCGAAACCGGGGCAGAATATTCTCGTGACGGGGATTGGGGGTGGTGTGGCTTTGCAGATGTTGCAGTTCGCGGTGGCCATGGGGTGTAATGTCTTTGTGACGTCGGGTAACGCGGAGAAAATCGAAAAGGCGAAGAAGATGGGAGCCAAGGGGGGCGTCATTTACAAGGAAAAGGATTGGGATAAGCAGTTGATGAAACAGTTGCCGAAGGACAGGCCGTATTTGGATGCGGTGGTGGATGGTGCTGGTGGGGATGTGGTGGCGAGGAGTGTCAAGCTTTTGAAGTCGGGAGGAGTGATCAGTAGTTATGGCATGACGGTTTCGCCTAAGATGGACTGGTTGATGCAGGCGGTGCTGAAGAATGTGGAGTTGAAGGGGTCGACGATGGGGAGTAGGAAGGAGTTCGAGGACATGGTGGCGTTTGTGAGAGAGAAGGGGATCAGGCCGGTGGTGAGCAAGGTGGTGAAGGGACTGGATAATTTGGAGGGGATTGATGAGTTGTTTGACGAGATGAGGGAGGGTAAGCAGTTTGGCAAGTTGGTGGTTTTGATTGATGCGAAGGAGGACCAGGACAAGAGTAAGTTGTGAACATTTCTGGCGCTGGGGAGAATGATGTGAGGAGGTTATAACTGATCATACCTAGTCTCAGTAGAGCATTGAAAGCATTGAGAAAAAGGAGCGATATCTTCCAATGTCTATAATCATCGAGCAAAAGGAGGACGCACGAACGATGTATTCTGACAACTTACATATAATATGAAAATAGGACACCAACAAAAAAAAGGAAAGAAAAATGCGAAAGGAAAAAAGAACGAAAAGAAGACCCATCTCACCAGAACACCTCCCATTTGGACGAGCTGGGAATCGAACCCAGGACCTTTCGCATACAGGTGAGTATGCTAAGCGAACGCTCTACCAACTGAGCCACACGCCCTTATTTGTGATGATGGTTATCATATGTTGGAGATGCGGCTCGGCTGAAGGGTTGATTACAGGAGTGTGGTTGGTGGTAAATATTGATGTTCGGAAGGGAGAGAGATTGGGGTTAGGGGTTTGGGTATGTACCCGATTATCGCGGTTACAACGGAAGGGTGCATGACGTGGATTGTTGCTAGTGGATAAATTTGATTTATTGGAAGTTGCAAGTTCGTTGGACTTTGGAAAGTTGCGCAGTGATTGAATTATCGCCGAGTGTCTGGGAAGTGGTGCGGCTTGTGGTCGTATTGGTGAGGTTTGCTTCTTCGATCTTTACCGGGACTGAGGGTTTCAAACTGGTGGTCACTGCATCGTTTGTTTTTGTGGATCAAGCTCTGAGGGAGACCTGGTGGGCTGCCTTTGGCGTTTTCATCATTTATGTGCAAATACAAATGGGGGAGGAATGTGCAAAGGGGTGCAGAATGGAATCTATTCGGGAACGGGTGTTGGTTTGATGAACCAACACTTTCCTTGTTCGGGGCCTCCTGGGCGGGTGCCTTGCAGTCGGCCAAACGCAAGCGAAATGGTCAGACAAAAACAAAATAGGAAGGTATCCGATGTGTTGTGGTACCGGTGTGAGTCTTCCCGCCGTTTATGTTGGCACTTGGAGGGAATAGCAGGTACGATGCGGCAGGCGTTTGGCTTCTATATGAAGTCTTCCTGATCCTGGCCAGTTTTGCGCCATCTGTCTTCTTCCACTATCTGTTATTCTTCGCCACCGTTTTTGTTCCCGGTTTACCGCTCAACATCTGTAAAGCCATTCATTCTTTATTTTTGGTCGCCTGAGCATCAAAACCTTTCTCTCGATCACGTCCTCTCCACAGTCTTGACATCAACGACAATATTTCGACCATTCTTGCCCGACTTCGCTTATCAGAAACTGATTTTACGCATCGCCTCGTTCTCCTCGCGAGCCCAAAGAAGCCATGCCGTTCAAGGAGCGTTCATCCCCCCCCGACTGGCATCCATTGGATGACACCGAAGATTGGTCCGTGGAGGCGCTGTGCGGACTCAGGGCGGTGTGCAGGATGCTCGACATTGAACTTCATGTCGAGGAGGATATACCAAAAGATTCGGTCGAACTTCTGAATGACCTGATGAAACACTTCGGTCTGCCCTACCGGGATGTGAATTCGTGTTGGGTACACCACATGAAGAACCACAACCACTACGACGAATACCTGAGTGAAGCAAAGAAATACAACTATACTCTGCTGGGCGCCGAAAGATTGGGAACAATTGCCGATCCATCGTGCTTGACGCTTTTTTGGCTCGGGCCTCCGGCGGAGAGCAAGGGTAGAATGGGCGTACGCATTGGTTTGAAGGGCTGTAGTTGTATGTGTCGCTTCTTTCAGGTGAGTCTCTGCCATGATCTATCCTTTTTGATCAGACATTCTGACTAGATGTGCCAATTATAGGGCCAACGTATGTACGATTACTGCGAACATATTATATGTGAGTCCCCCCCCACCAAGTCGGAGATGCGAGCGAACATCCTGTCGCAGAAAAACCTGGCACTCACATGTTTAGCTGAGCAGATGTCCTTCGCTTTATCCTCAATTGTCCCAAAGAACTTCCCTTCCGTGATGCCTTCACTCGACTGGAATACGATAGCATTTTCGCCCATTCTTACCCAGCTCAGGCCCTCCGGAACGCCAAATCTCCCAATGAAGACTGGCGCAAAGTCCTAGACAGAATCCCACGCGAAGCCGAAGTGATCATCTATGCCCCCAAAGAAGACGAACTGCTGGTCTGCGTCAACTGCTTCCGGTCGATAAACGGCGGCAATTGCGCTCAGCCCTGCCTTGGCTGTGGAAACTTGATCCATCAAGACTGTCGCAAAAAGGATACGCCTACGCTCGACTTCTTACAATTGCGACATCCCAAGCCTGATGCGAAAAAATGCGCCGTGTGTCAGGAAAAGCAGAGTTGGGAAAAGTGGACTGAGTCACAAGGACCGCCACTGTCAGGGGTCTACGAATCAAGCGAAGAGGAGGAGATGAAGGATGAGTCTCTTAAACCGAAATTAGTGAGAATAAAATACCTGAAAAACGGAAAATGTTATAAATTTGAGCCGAAGGAAGAAAGTTCGACATGAGCACCAACCGCGAAACGGGATAAGGGATGACAATAAGCGGATATAACATGGCTGGTTTTGGTATTTGGGCATTTTCATTTCCTGTCACACTTCATCAGCGAAACAAGCTACAGTTTAAAAGACAGCCAGGCTTCTCCAGGCGCGCCACCGGTATGTAACAAGCACTTTCCCGACTGTTTCAGAAATCTCGTCCCATGCATGTGACTCTCGGCACTTAGAGCGTTCCTCTAGACGCGCAAAGATGTTTCTTTCGTTCTGACTCGACCACCTACAAACGTGCAGGTAGTCAACCAAGACGGAGCTTCAGCGTCTCATAACTTCCACCCTCCCGGCATCCTCAAAGGCACCTTCAGCATCCCATCCCTTGGCATCCTCCCCGCCCGTACGTTAACCTGTAGCGCCTGGTGCAAGAGTTTCGGCTCCGCCAGTCCCGAGTCGCGCTCCTGTCTCCAGTTGACGAACTGGTCTTTTGTTGTTCCCTCTTTCAGGTGCTTGTTTAGCAGCTTTTGGTCAGCTACGGTGGTGTATGGCTGAGGAGAGCGGGAGTCGGCGGAAGGGTAGTCATGGCCTGTGTAGATCCTGTATTGGGCGGGTAGGGAGAAGAGGGTTTGGACTGAGTTGTATCTGTGGGGAGGGAAGGGGTTTGTTAGTTTAGAGGTAGTGTCAGTGGTTGATATTAAAGATCGTGAGGAGAAAAAAAAAGGAACTTACAGTGCGTGTGCATTGCCCCCAGGAAAGTCGCACCGCGCGGACCCAATTTCAGGATCAAAGAGGGAATCGCCGCAGAAGATATTCGCTGTCCGTTTTTGTTGTTTTTGGGTCAGCATCAACCACCCCTATCCAAGTACACACCCAAAAAAGATTTTTTTAAAAAAAAAAAAAAAAAAACTTACATCCAACCATATACCCAACATGATCCGGCGTATGCCCCGGCAAATGCTTCACCTTGACTTTCAAGTCACCCACACGAAACTCCTCGTCATCCTCAAACACCCTGTCAAACACCCCATCCCATTCTTCCCTGGGAATCCCGTACCTCTCCGCAAACCTTTCTTGGACTTGCACGATCCTTTTGCCTATGCAAATCTCGGGCTTGATTCCCCCGTTTTTCTTTTCCTCCTCCTCAGCATCATTACTAGCCAGTTGGGTTTGCAGATAACGGGAAGCAGTGAGGTGGTCGGCGTGCACGTGAGTTTCGAGGATTTTCACAGTCTTGTAGTTGTGGGAACGGATGAGAGAGAGTAGGGAGTCGGCGGTGGTGGTGGAGATACGGGAGGTGGCGGGGTCGAAGTCGAGGACGGAGTCAATTACCACGGCGTGGAGGGTGGAGGGGCAGGCGACGAGGTAAGTGAATGTTGAGGTTGTAGAGTCGAAGAGGGGGTGGATTAGGGGTTCGAGGTCTTGAGGAGTTGGTGAGGACATTTTTGGATGGATGAGTGGGTGGGTGGGTTGGAGTGTGATGGATGGAGATGTTGCCTGTGTGTGGTGATTGTGTGGTTATCGATTCTCTTGGTGAGTGACTTGGAGGATTGGTGAACTATTGCACGGGTTTCTTTATAACGTTTGAGGACGGACGGTTGGGTCAAGAGGTAGCAGTTTTCAGTCCCCGGACGTCATTGATCTCGTGTCAGATGTTGTTGGCTTTTTTGGTGGCGTATACATGATCGAGAATGTGGTCGCCGACTGCTGGACTTGCTTGTAAGGGGCTCGTTCATGCCAGGCCAGATTCGAGAACAAGACCGTTTTGGAATTAGGTTCACCCCAATTGTGATGTCAGTCTTCCGATCGGACAAACACCTTGTGTCAATCGCCGTTAGGTCACTGAACCCGTCGGCAGGGACAATGGCCGGATAGACTTTCATGCACGGCGGTCGGGCCCGGATCTCGGAGGCACGGGGCGGGACGGGTCTTGGTAGTTGGCCACTCCATCACGTTCCCGGAAGTCGGTCCCTGAAGGTCTGGTCCTTTGACGGGGACTTCGTTTATCCGCCGGACGGTGCATGCTTATACTGATTCCCGATACCCTTGACTGCTTTTGTCAGTAAGGGGTCTTTTCAATGATTGGACAATTCTGTAAGGGGCGACAACAAAGTGGTCGCCGACCTGTATCATGCTAATCATACACGGCATAAGGGGATCGACAACGCATGGGTGGCGTGAACCAGTCGATTTCCATCTCTGGCTGGTTCGATAGACCGGGTCAACACGTGTGAGTCCACAACCAGAAGAATGGGTCACAAAACCGTTGACAAGAGGTCGCCGTCCATATCGTCCAATCCGGGGTAGCGTCGGGGTCCACCAGTCCAGCATGGCATGAGCCACTAGACTAGACACTCGGCGATGATGCACGCTGTCGGCGTTCTTGGGTGAACTCGTATTGAACACCGAACACATCGGCGAGTCGGGGATCTTTTCGAAATACACTACAATAACCAGATGAGAGGGTACGTACTTGAAGTGGTCGCCGACCACTACCTTGCCTATATTTGACAGCACGAGGTAATACGCGGGTAAATCGGTTTACAAGATCGAGAATGCCATGTAGTAGACCTCCGGTGTTCATCTGGAACTCTAGTTCCCATGGAGAAATACGAAACAGGGTCGGCATGGCAATGTCCCTTGACACTTCGCCTAACAGGTCGCCGTCCAGGCTACCCCGTCAAGGGCGATATGATTAGTTGTCGGCCAACATGAGCCGTAGTGCCACTCGGCGAGGATATACGCTGTCGACGTTTATGGGTCTAGAGTAGGTACCTTATCCCGTCCTATCGGTGAATAGGGAGATCTCCTTTGTCATAGATAACCATGTAAGGGCATAGAAAGTGGTCGCCGACTGCCTCTTGCTCATGATTAGTGGCATAAAGCATAGATTGGCCGGCGTTCATCTAAAACTCGAGGACCACTAGACCACTATCCAGCCGGATTAACACGTAGGTGTCCACCAGGGAGGGAAAAGCGGTTTTATAGCACTGATTGAACAGGTCGCCGCGGACTTTTCCCCGTAACGGTTCGACGATCCACGCCGTCCAGTCCGGGGTAGCCGCGGGGACCACTCTAGCATGAGCCCAATTGGCACTCCGCGAGATTCCACCTTTCTTGTAAGCTTGTGTGGATCCGTTCATGCTGGTTGACGACCTCATCGGTAACCAAAGATCCTCCCCGTGATAGGTTGATGCCATGAGACTTCCCCGGAGCTGTCGAAAGTGCCTGGCCCGAATATATCCTATTCAAGTTTGGATGCGTCGGTAGGTCAACTCGTCGGCGAGTCGGTGACCTCCTTGACGGACGTTACCGCAACCTCATGGGTCTTCCCCGGACCTGTCAGACCGTCAAAGCTTTGATGAGCAGTTTGTGCCTGGTCCATCACATCAGAGTGCCCGAGCTCAAACCTCGCCTGAAGCTCAGTCACCACTGGCCTTTGGTTGTCAAGCCTAGCTCGTCGTCGCCGTCGTCGTGGGAATGACTTCGTCGCGACTGACAAATCTCTGAATAAGTGCCAAGCAAGCTCATCGCATCGCCGCCACCACTCTCTCGACCCGTCATGTAGCTTTCGATGACGACAGAATGGGCAGTTCAAAAGCATCGCGAAGTCGGACCATTGAAGTCGCCGTCTAAATAGGGGCCCCTGAGCGTCAACAGGTCCCCGACGAGTACCTTTGTACCTTCCCCAGATCCCCGAACAGCATCTAGATTGTCGGTAGTCAAGCAGCAGGTCGCCGTCTCCGCAGATGAGGTGCCCGAAAAGGATTTGAAGTAACGCCGTACCGACCCAAGTCCCCGAATAGCCTTGAAAAGAGGTCGCCGTCACAACCAATTGCCCGAGGAGGTGCCCGACTCCTGTTGTCTCCGTCTTGAAATCCCCGGAAACGCCATCAAACAAGATCCCCGAAACGAAGCACCCCTTTCCCAAAAGGAACAAGTCACAGAAAGTCACCGCCAACCTTCTTTCCCCGGCGAGCCAACCGATTCGTGAAATTTGTGCGACTTTTGAGCGAATGCGTACAAATCGTGCCATGGTTCCGGTGATTTCAGGGTCATGAATCTGGCCAGAGACCATGTAGGTCATAATGGACTGATGGGAAGGGTTAAACTATCCAATGAGCAAGGGGAGCGGGGTGGTTTAACCTATGGTCGTCCATGCGGCTGATTGTGATTGCGCCGTCCCGTCGCCGCCTAGAGCGCGCCCCCGGATGCAGTGTTTGTGCATGATTCCAAAGTCTAGTGTAGCCCGACAGAGAGGACGGCGACAATGTTTTGGGTTTGGGTTATCCTCGCTTCGTTCATTATTGGGGGTTGGTCAAGGAACACTGGGTTGTTGATCGGAAAGGGGTTGTTCGGCGATGTCTGAAAGAGGAGATGTTGGTTGTCGTCGTTGCCGTTGTGGAGGTTCCCGAAAGTCAGTTAGGCGGCGAAACAGGGATTGAAAGTGACACGCGGGAAACAGGGGGGTCGCCGTCGCCGTCCAGAACATTTTCCCGGGGAAATTTTTGACTTGTGATTTCTCAGCGAATCGGAATGGAACGGGCTCCACTGGGATGCCGACCCGACCAAGGCAGGTAACCACTGCGGGCAAAGTCGAGGGTTTCCGGGTTTTCAACTTCTCTCTCCTTTCAACAACATCAACCGAGATCGCCGACCACCATCCCGACGTTTCCTTCAGTGAATTTGGTGTTTGCCGTTGCCATTTCCATTTTTGCCTCGGATTATCCGCACTATGTACCGCGCCCAAGTGTTGCCATCGTTCCATTTACGCCTCATTCCAATGTTCTCCTACCCTTTTGTCCGTATGTCTCAGCCTCAACCTCTCAAAACCCAGGGAGTCGGCAATTGGCCGAGTCTCCTCTAATCACCATCTCCATCAACCATTCACACGTGCGCGCCACGAGAAGAAGAAGCAAAACCCGCCAGCCAGTCTTTGGTTATTCATAATCTTGGCGTCGCGATATCACGAGGGATATGCATCTATGTGGTTTCTATCACATATCTGGGAAATCCCGGGGGATGCCGTCGAATCCAAGTGACCTTCCAAGGCATCAAGCCAGCCACACTGACACCATCAAAGAACACTTCAAGGAAGCTGTCCCAAGACAGTGTAGATGTGGGAACACTCCATGCCCAAACGTTCGGGCAAGCTTCTCGTTCGGCAGTCCAGACCAGACAAGGGAGGACCGGAACACGGCTGGTAAACTGACCTACGACACTTGGTGCCCAGTCCCGAGACCCAGACCGATCGGAGGCTTACTGAGCACTATCAGTATCCCTGCAATCCAGCTCAATCAACTGCTAGCTCCTGTTAGGGCTCGGTTAGTCTCCCCGACACCCGCCTGGCCCGCTTAGGAGAATTACCTAATTCTGGCCCCAAATGTCACAACCACCTTGTGACCCACCGAACCCGCCCGGTGACCCAGCGCCCGATTCGCAGGGAAATCGACAAAACCGGCCTTCAAAGAAAAAACAGCGATTGCCGGCACAGGCTCACCCCTGTTAGTGCCCGTATGTAGTGCCCGTAGTGTCCGTGGTGCCCGCAATGCCCTCATCGGCGAGCACCTAGTTCTACACCCCGGCCCAGCAAAGTAAAGGGTGGACTTCCGATCGTCGCTTTCCGAGTTCCCGCATTGTTAGTGTTTGCGCTATAATGGACGCCGATACGGAGCCCTTCTTCTTTATTCCACCTTGAATGACGGGAGTGACTAGTGTCCGTTTGTGCATAAGAAAAATCTCGCGCCTTTCTTCTTTTTTTCCCTTTCCAGTTTTTGTTCTCTTCTCTTGTTGGTTCAAGCTCCATTCATCAGTGTTGCTTCGCCATATTTGGAAATAATAACCAAGTTGTGAATCTCTGACCAACCAGCCAGCCATCTTATACACTCACTTGAGTGTCATACACACACGAAACAAACAAAACACAACATGAACACACTCGTTACGGGCGCCGCTTTCGGCGCGGCCCTTACGGTCTCGGGCGTCTACCAGCCCTCCGTCATCGTTTCTCAACTCAAGTTTGAGAACTGGCACATGATCCAAGCTTTCCTCACTGCGGCCGCCAGCTCTGCGTACGTTCCCTTCCTTTCCATCCAACCCATCTTTTCCAAATCACCTCCGCTAACCAAACACTACTTGCTCTTCATAATATAGCGCCCTAGTCCACCTCCTCCAAACCCTCTCCCCCACCACCTTCCCCCTCCCCCCACGCTCCTACTCCTCCATCTCCCTCTTCTCCCGCTACGACGGCAACCTCCTCGGCGGCATCCTTCTCGGCACCGGCATGATGCTCTCGGGCGCCTGCCCCGGCACCGTCCTCGCCCAAATCGGCACCGGCGTCCGTTCGGGTTTCTACGCTCTCGAAGGCGGCATCATCGGCGGCATTGTCTTTACCGGCTTTGTGGGGCCCTGGATCGCCAAGCGTAACGCGGCTGCCAAGGCCGAAGCCGCAGCCAAGGCAAGTGGAAACGGAGAGGAAAGCAAGGAGCTGACCAAGACTGTCTATGAGAATCTGGGTGTATCGAGGTCGAGTGTTTTGGTGGCGTTTGAGGCAATTTGCGCGAGCGTGGTGGTTTCTACTGCGTTGTGGACGAGCGTGGGGCCCGAGGCCAAGATCTCGCCTGTTGTGGGTGGATTGTGCATTGCTGGTGCGCAACTGCTGAGTTTGTTGCTCAGGAAGAACTTGGTGGGCACTTCGACAAGTTTTGAGGAGGTGGGCGACTGGTTCTGGGGTATCTTCAAGGGCAAGACGCTGCCGCAGAGGTATAACAACTTGTTGTTTGTCAGCGGCTGCGTGTTGGGTGCTAAGCTGTTGACGGTTGCGTACCCTGCTCTGGGCCAGGTCACCGAGGTCGCGGTGTCGCCTGTTGCCGCGGGATTGGGTGGTTTCCTGATGATCATCGGTTCGAGGATGGCGGGCGGTTGCACCTCTGGTCACGGTATCAGCGGCATTTCGCTCCTGTCCACGTCAAGCTTCTTGACTATTGGAGCGGCGTTTGGTGCTGGTGCGCTGCTTGGTTTGATGAGGGGCTGAGCTGGTGGTGGTATGAAAACATAATGAGAAACACCCCCTTTTTCAGAGGTTACACCGAGTACCATCGTGCATTGCACATATCAGCGATGGGATATCGGAAACAATCGATTTAGTCCTCAACATTCAGAGTTCTTGTACATATTACAGTACAGCAAGACGTCAAACTTAGCATGAGATACCCGCCTTCATATGGAATACCATTATATCACAGAACACCAGAAACTAACTTCTTCGACATGACGTTTCTTTCCTCCATCTTTGAACTAGACATCTCCCATGGAAGATCGAAGACCTGCTGTTGCCAGGTAAGCAGATGTCAAGACAAAAACATGAAATGGCCAATCTCAACATCCCCTGTGTGTCCTACAGCCCCTACTCGCAGCCCTGATTTCAAAGCAAGCTGATAACCACCGGCTCAGACTTCACTTTCTTCGTTTTCTCGACCTTGATGATCTTCACTGGGGATTCCATTTCCTCTTTGAGGACGGCAGCCTTGTCTTCATGTTTCGTGTGCGCATCTTCTGACTTCACAGTCTTCTTCACCGCCATGATCAGCTTGTTTCTTCTGTACTTTGCACCCTTTCTCCCAATCTTTCCCGCGAGCCTTTCGTAACGAAGGGACGACATAACACGATTGGCCGGCTTTCGACGGAGTTGACATCGGAGCCTGCGAACGTTCTGCTTCAACTTGCGAACCTTCTGCCTTGTTGCACTTGAGATGGTGTCGTCAGCGGTTGCTGGCTGGTCTCTGGGCATCCGTGGCTCTTTTTTCACTTCCATAGGAACCAATTCGGCCTTCACCTCAGAGTTGCTTGGGTTCCAAGGACAATTTGGGCAGCACAGGGGGCATCCAGTGTCTCCTTCGCAGGCTTCTCGACATGCACGATAGATGTTCTTGCATTTTTGGTGCGCAACACGGCCGCAGACTTGGCATTGATCAACACCACGGCTGGCCTTGGCTTCCGTGAAACAGAGCTGGCAGTCCTTGTCGGAAATCATGTTGATGTCTTGAGCTCTCACAAACTTCTGGGGTTTGAAGGCAGGCGGCGCATTGGCAAAATATTCCCTTAACTCAAATACGTCAAGGTAAAATTCATGGTGCAGGCGCCTAGGGCACTTCACGACGTGGAGTTCCAGATCTGGGTATGTCCAAAAGTCAGTAATCATTTAGTCTGAGATAGGTTACATAGGAGCACTGACAGAGTATATGTCTGCAAGTTTCACCTAGCGGCCCAACCTGAAACTGTTGAGTGTTCAAGTTAGCTCTCTCTGTCCAATGTAAACTTTTTTCCTCAGCACGGTGACTTACTTTGTGATTACAGTTACACCTCCTTTCTTTCCCCAATCTGACAACAGCGTCGGATAATTCGATCACCATCACTGACGTAAACAAGCCTAGCACGACATGTTCCTCGACTCGAATCACTTGGAAGATTTGCCTCTTTGTATGAACAAGCACTGATTCGAGAGCCTTCTTCCAGGCCTCCTCGCCTGCAAAAGAACGATGACCTGAGCCCTTTACTCGTGGAAAGGTTACCCATTCCACTTCGCAACTTTTCAACGCATTCAGCAACCGATGAGCGTCTCCTTCTCTCTTCACCTGACCATCGAGGCCACGCAGCTTGCATTGCTTCCAAAGGGTGAACTCATCGTGGAATTCCCACTTCGTGTCGTCAGGCAGCCGTTCCGCAGGGTCGACATCCTGCAACCATGGAAGCGACATTGTCGAGCCAGGTCTGAAGTTGCAGGTAAGCGAAACGTGACGGGGTCAGCGGAAGCTCCGAGTGGTACGCGCATCAAAGCTGTGGGAAGGGTGTAGGTGCTTCGGAGCAGCGAAGGAGTTGAAAGACACTTGCAGAGGGAATTGCAAGACGGCCGACAGAGAAAGATAATAAAGAGAGTCCGCCGCAAAATGGGGGAGTCGGCTGTGAGAGAACTGAACTGAGCGAGACTGACTTCAGAAGAAGAATTTTCTTCATACCGGATGGGTGCACAATTCTCAACAGTTTCCATCTGTCTCGGTGAAATTGGGTCAATGGCAGAGGAAGGCGCAGGCCACGAGCGGGGATGCCTGACGATAATTGAGACCTGATTCTGTCGTAGAGGCACCTTCTCATTGGAGGGCAGGTGCGAGCAAGCATTGGATCCAGTTCTGTTCCATACTAATATTTCGTCATAGTAGTCTCAGAAGGAAGGTGCAGTAGGTGGTGTTGACCGATAACGGAAATTGGTAGAGCGGTGGATCGGATCAATTTCATCTGAAAGGGAAAGACTGGAGGGACTTATCGCGTTATCCCGGCACGACAGAGCAGTCACTGGCGAGTCGTCGGTTCCTTTCTCATCGGTACCTTCCATGGACGGATTCATGGGAGCCCCATTAACCCTCCGCAATCGGGAATCGTGGGATCTACAACAGGACTTCCTGTTTGTAGAGCTAACCCAATCCATCATTCATGCCTTCCCCCCGGCATAATCCTCACATCTCTGCTCGCTCTCATCCCCTCACCACATCCCACACGCCCAATCTCCCATTGAGATGGACCTCATACCTCCAAAGCATGTATCTCTCCCCAACCATGACACACAATCAACGGCGGGCTATGCTCCGCAGGCACTTAGGTCTCACATTAAACACATTGTTGATATTCACACATCCCTCGTCAGCGTTACCATTGTCGCCGAGCAGGATCGAGCCGAGCCGGGTGTCCGTGTAACCGTCGCCGTTTCCGGTCTTTTGCTCCATTGTTGGTTCCGTGGCTGAAGTAGACCGAGTTGGTGTTGTCGTCAATCGTGACGTTGCCGAGACCGAACTGGACATGGGCATAGCTGCCATTTTTGCTGTACAGCAAGCTAGTGAATGGCAACAATGACGGCCAGGAAGGGTTGGAGTTGGCTGATTGCATTTCAAATCAAGGAATAATCCAAGGGAGTAAGGAAGACCGCGGCGGGTGTAAATACCGCGCAGTGTCCTTGTACTTGTTTGCCTTGTGGGCTTGGTCAGCGTATAAGCGGAAGCGAGAGAGGCTCAGGCCCGGAGGGTGACGAGAAGTGAGAAGTACATATTTGCTAGGCGGTTGAACTCGTGACAACCATTATGGTGAAGGTGGTGTTGCTGTCGTTGTTGGTAGGTAATTGTGATTCGGGATGAAGAGTGAGAACAGTCAGTGTTGGGTGGGGCATAAGGTCGGAATACCCGCTTCCCCCTTTCAGGCAAAAGAGTTCAGCCTCTGTCATCAACGCTCCGATGTCAGAAAATACGCTGAGTGGGAAAAGGGTTCGGTACGTAAAGGTTATTGAGACAAGTGCCAGTCGAGCATAAGTAGCCTCGTGACGTTCAGACATAGTTTCAGCTCGGTAGGTTCCGAGAGAGTCTGGATCTCTTGTGAGGTGGCTGTTCACGGAAGTTGGGCCTACAGAGTTCGATCAACTAGTGGTGAACGTATTTTTCCAGGCTATCATGTCCACTTCTATCTGGCAGAAATCAAAATCGATACCAAATCTTACGAGCAATGATGACCCCTTTTCGAAGTGACCTCTACTGAAGACATAGTTTGTAGCGCGTGTAGCCTCTTCCGACTTGCCAATCTGATACCCGTCCTCAGCGATCTTCGCAGGCAGGCCGCTAGTGTATCAAAGGGTCTTGTATGGAAACGCCTCCGGAAAGCTTGCGGCGGGATGCATGAAAACTTCGGCGGACAATATGCTTCGGTCAAGTGGCATGACAGAAGATGGCTGAATAGATGGGCGAAGAAGACCCCTTGGCGGCGATAGTTCCTCACTGCCGAGACGCCCAACCTTTATCTTGACGATAGACCCTGAGATTGAGGACCTGGACTTTGGAGTACTCCGATCTCAGAACGTGTTTTACATAAGTAGTACATGGGCAAAGATCTGTCTCTTTGGATTATTATTACTCACCTCGGCGCGTGTTGTCCCTCCTCCCTTTTGACTGACACCTGATCGAGGAGAATGAATTTCTCACACACGCCTTTTTCCGAGCTACCCATAGCGAGAGATTACACACCTGCATCTACAGAACCTGCACCGGCGATGTTGTTGATAAACGTTGTCAATTTTTCTCTCTCATCGAGCGGTGAACATTGCTGCGAAGCTGTATTCTTGTGGGGATCGCGACCCCGACTATTTCTTCGGATTACCAGCGCAGCTCACATCTTACCACGAAAGAGAGTTGGAACTTTATTTTTGTGAAAGGAGCAGCCCGAAGAAGGTTGGCAGTCGGGACGACTGCTCAAATGGGCAAGCCCAACAGGCAAGCCCAACAGGGCGCTCAACTGCCCACGCGTCTGGGTATAAAACCCGACGCTGGAAACCTCCAACAGTAGTTAGAACGAGAGAAGACAATACCATCAGATCATCCACATGTCCACGGCCCATTTCATCTCGTAATGGTGCCCAATAATCACTTGATTTGAACTGTCACTATACTATACCATTGGATTTCTTCTTGGAATCCATTTCTATTCATTTCGTTGATCGCGCTTCGCCCGGCCGCTGCACCTTGCCCGGCAAGCTGCATGCCGGTTCCCGGACCGCCTTCATCCGACCACCCCCCCGATCAACTACCCATCGCACAGACACCGATCGCCCCTCCTCAAGTCACGACGGCCATCTCGAGTCCTTTCGCAATCGAACCAAACGCATTCGAAATTCAACCAATCGCCAACGCGCCCATCCAAAAGCGCACAGCTGGCATTCCCGCCGAGGGTTCAACCAAAAGGCAAAAGAAGCGGGAGATATTTCAAGAGCAGCTTGACGCAGCCATCGCAAAGCTCGACGACGCGATGAAAAGAATCGACATATTGACGGCCAAGGCCAACCAGCACGATGCGCTGACTGTGAGGTGCGACGCGCTTGAAGGCTTCATCATCAGAAGACCGCGCTAGCCAAGGTATCCGCGACCATTGCCGAATCATCCAACATGGCAACGTTGCGCGGAGGACCTCGCAGTCGCACCTGACTTTACGGCCATACTATCTCGGCAAGATCCCCCGACTATAGATAAAAGGCTCCCCACTCTCCATCATCTGCCGGGCCGGGGGGAAAGGAGCGCTGTGAAAGGTTACACATTGGTGGTCGAGGCTTTTGGTCAGGTATTTCAAGATGGTTTCTTATTTTTTAATCTTTTTTTTTTTTTAGTTAGAATCCTTCTTCCCCAGATCAACCACGCTCTCGCTTCAACGAACCCTCACATAAGCACCATGAACTGGCTGCAGCATCTGAGAACTGGCAAGCAAATCGGTTCCCTTGGTGTAATTGAACGTTTCCAAGCTTACGAGCGCTCCGCCCTCGTAATCTTCTGGAAATGTGATGGGCCAGTTTGGCGTTAGCTTAGATCGTAGAGGCATATGCAAAGAGATCGGTGACGTGGTTGACGAGTGGGATGGCCGATACGATGATGAGGGCGTGTTTCGGTACTTCTAGTAGGGAAATCCATCGGAATGTCACCGAGTGTCGGTTACGTAGAAATTGCGCTTCGTCACAAATTACCCGGAAAAACATGGAGTCCTTTGCCCTAGTCATCTCAGAGACGTTGGCGTGACCCTCAGCCTTGAGGGTGGCACACGCCACTGCGAGCTGCTGAGCAGCAGTACGCGCCGCCTGGGCGCGGCGGACGGCAGGTGATTAAGCAAGATAGACGTTAGGTTGGTATGACATTGATTGATGATCCAGTCAACCTTGACAGAGGTTGACGGGACGAGCACTCTTATATGACAAGCCGTGCGCTCTGCTGAGTGATGTGTACTTGGTGTACTCGGCGCCACACGCGAGTGGCCGCTGGCTCTGCAAGTCGCCGCAGCGGCCCACGACCCGGTCGAGGATTGTGTTTGCATCGCATATTGTTGACATTGACAGCACCCAAGAGAAATTGCTTGAGTTGAAGGCATTTGAGACGAAGTTGATACCTCCCTTCCCGGACTACATTTACGACTACATCAGTAACCTGGCTAGTAGCGAGGACAAGAACGGAGACTGGAAGTCTTTACTATCCAAACTCACTGCCAAATACGGGGTGTACGACGAGATCAAGTTTTTCGATTCTTCCCTGGAAAACCACTTCAATGAGATGATTTACAACGAATCGGAGAACGGTTCTCCTGAACCCGAGGAAGACATCGCAGAAGCTGATGAAGTTAAGGTTGGAATTTGAGCTCCCTGGGTTCTTATTGTCGGGTCACACTCCGGTTCCTGTGTTCTGTGGTGGTTCAGCTGGTTGCTGATTCAGGAGGCCTGTATAGTGCTCGCCTCGTGGAAAGCTTGAACGGGAAGCTTGGTGGTGTTATTCTGGGTTCTTACTTTCCCTATATAGAATTTTCCTATTTTTATGAGGATTATGATGTGATCTGATGATGGTTATGGTACTGTTGTGGTAGTTCTAGAATCTGAAGAGATCCTGGAGTTTAGTTGCGGTATGACTGGATCCTAGACGAGGGCGTCCCCGATCAGGGAGTTACGCCGACTGGCCGTTTCCCACATCGACACACGCATTCCCTTCATCATTCGACGCGAGCTGGAACGGCACATCAGGGAAGTCGACTTTTATCAGGCACCGTCCGGACAGCCTTGAGGTTTGTATCGGAAGTACATATCCAATCACCAAAGACCCAGATTCTACTTTGCAACAGCCGTCGCAAACTACACGTACTTTTTCCGCACTGAGGATTTGTACCGCACGCTCAAAGATGTACAAGCCGAGTGGATGTGGTCGACCGTGGTGGAATGGAACGACGCATGCACCAAAATCCATGCGCCCCAACGCTCCTTCCAGTGTCCAACAACAGGTTGGTAAGATAACCTCCATCTAGGGGGGGGCGAGGAGCCTTGCGAAATAAGGCGGTAGAACAGGCGAGGATGTAGTAAAGAAAGTCTGCAGAGAATGGTTGGTTGTCTGGAAGAAAAAGCGTGGCGTCATTTCGGGAGGGGATGGAATAAAAGGATGGAAGGGACGAAAGGGATAGAAGGAACTTGAATGGAAGGGATGAAAGAGGTGGAAGCGTATAGCTAGGGGATTCACACCGCAAGTGCTCGTATGTTACAACGATGCCGTCGGTTCAAAGTATGCTTGGCTAGCGGGTCCGGGTCCTTCGTGAACTGGAGCGTACCGCCGCCGTTGGTACTTGATTGAGACGTGCGGAGGTGAATAAGCCAAGTAGCAAGGGTGGTCGCCTCGCTGTGGATCATGTTGCGCTTTTTCGCAGATATAGACGCTGACCCGGTAAGATCGCTATAGCGAATAGCCATAGCGTACGACGGAACATTTTCCGCCTGCGCAAGGGTTCGAAGGATATGGCCGTATGACTTATGCTCCGAGGCGTGGGGAATGATGGCTTTCTACGATCTCTACGGGTTAGCTATAGAACTAGACTATATCTCCTGGCTATATTCCTAAGATATCTTCAGGTGTTTCAATGGGCCGGAAATTAAGAAACTATAATGCGGAAGAGGCTGCTGTTCGAGAGAACCCCCCCCTTTCAAGAAAAAAAAAGAAGCGTAAGTCAATGAAGTACACGTATATCCCTTCGTACCTGCCCTCACCTCAGATAGTCCTGGACGGGGGCAGCGTGATACGTCCAAAGGGCCGACGTTACCATTGTTTCGATGCTTTTAAACACCGCCTGGACTGCACACCGAGGCAAGCGTACAAGATTACCTCTACCAAATCTTCATCAGCGACGAGAAATGCAGCACATAAGTCCACCACACAAGGTGGTCACCGACGCTGTAACAGACCTTCATCAAATAGGTCGGGCCAGTCAACAATCTCCTCGTGCTATTACACACGATGAAGAGATCGAGAAGATCACCCGGCTCATGAAACCGGGCGTAATGCTACTAAAGGACAGCGACGCAGAAGGTCCCCCAAAGGGAATTGTCGAGGGGTCAGATACCCCCAAGTTACCAAGACACTACATCAAACTTGATGATGGCCAGTTGATGCATATCACAACCTATCTCGGGAGCGACTGGGAGAGCCACGTTGTAAGTAATATCGAAGATAACAACATACATACCTAGATTTTCCTAATTTGTCAAAGGTGTTGCTAATGACACAAATTTAGGGAATTTCGCACGTGTTAATGTGGCGGAGCCGATATAGACATGTGTAGGAAAGCCGGGCAACTCCAGAAAATAGAGGTAAAGGCACCACAATCTACGCCAATCAGGCCGTCGAATATCAGGCAAACCGTCGATAAAGAACTTGATTAAATCGGGCTCATCGGGGCGGCGCAGAACTTCTAATAAATTGGTGGCTACGACCATGCCGAAGTCATGGAGGGCGCGCCACACATCTTCGATGCGTCTGAAGAGGACGTTGTAGATCGGCTGGATGTGTTTGACGGAGCGGGGAGGGGCGGTATGTGACTTCATAACCATCATCACCCAATCCTGGTATTGAACAGACAAATTTCGCAAATGATCGTAGTCTGCGAATCTTGATGCTACGCCACGCGTGGCGTTGGTCGCGGACCCTACATAGATGGCCGGAAGGGCATCCTCCTTCTCCAAGACCAAAAGGTAGACAGCCCATTCGCGTGGGCTGTGATGATGGAGAGTTGGGAGGCCTTTCAGCTCCCCTACTGTCAGAGGGTTGTGCCGAAATAATAAAGCGGTAAAGCCTGGCGCGACCTCAATCAATGTCGGCTGATAAGCGGCTCCAGGCCGCACCGGCATGATCCGGCAAATGGTCTCGGATGACTTGGCTGGCACGGTCTTCAGACCAGGAAAAGAACAGCTAGCTTTCTTCGATTACGTTGACCGGTTCCTGGTTGCGAGACTGCGGATGTTGCATTTGATGGTGCGATTGGGGGATGGCGATGATGGGTTGATCGTTTCAGGTTAAGTTGGCCGGGGCAAAGAAGATTGGGAGAGGGCAGCCGAGGTGGTGGTTGGTGAGGTGGAACATGGAGGGCAATGGTGAAGACGTGGCGCAAAAAGTCAAACGTCGCGAGACGAAGTTATTGGGAGTTGGCGTAAGGCCCGCTGTTCTTGCAGACGTGATTGCGACGAGGCCGAGGAAGAGAAGCATTCAGAGAAAGAAACCAAGCAATTGAGCACATATATATAGCAGGCACACGCGCTACAATAGCGCAATGAGATATTACAGGAGCCAAACGCGTCAATGTCTGTCGGAACCAAGCTATGGGGTGATTTTGGTATCAATGAGTAGTCAAATAGGAAGGAGTGGGGGGATAGCAGTGTTCGGTGCCGTACCGAAAGCTCCCGATGAGAAAACGACAAGGTTGGCAAAGACCAAGGAACGGAATCGGAAGTGGTTAGAGAAGGAAACCCCAGACGAAAATAAAAGGCCAGGCTGAAAAGGATGGTGGAAAGGGAACAGGAGAGAATCAAGCAAGAAACGCCAGACGAGAGGAGGGCAAGGTTGGCAAGGAAGAATGAGTCCGCGAAAGCCCGATACAAGATGAATACCCAGTGAACAGAATGATTTAACGCAATTATTCAGTCTTCTTGTACACCGAATTTCACTCGGCTACTCTTGCCTTCAGTTAGCCATCGTTGGATTTCATTCATCATGTCAAGAACGTGTAGCCGCGAAGATGATGACAAATTCCATTCTAAGTTACAACAGAACCTCTAGAAATGGTGCTTGTTGTCCATGCATTACCATGGAATTTCCTCAGGTAAATACATAGGCATCAACATTTATCATGTCTCGCGGAAGAAAGGGGACAATATGTCCTTCCCCCATGCCCGTCCTGCAGAGTGATCTCGTTCGTCACTCGGGAGAATATTCTTCATGTTGTTGTAGACCTCGATCGCAGCAGTCTTGGAAAAAGTGACTCTACGTCGGATTGTGAAAAGCTCCTTTACCCCAAGCTGATCCAACTGTTCTTGTTGCTTGTGAGTCAAGGTCCCGGTTCGTATAGTCGCTATCATCTCCCTAAGCCTGGTATTGTCCCAGTTCGGCCATGTAGCAAACTGTTGCTGATGGTAGTGTTGGCGACAGAAGGGGCGGTGGATCAGTGGTCTTCATCTTGGGGGAGCGGGACCGTCGGCGGTCAGGCGGTCGCGCATAGCCACAAGAAAGCCCATGCTGTCTGGCGCGCTTCCGGGGTTTCAACTGCATCCATGTCCCTTCGCCACTTGTTGTCATCAAATTGCCGCTTCTTCTTCCCTTCGGGGGTCTCTTAGGCGATCCTCTCCCCCCTCGGCGGCGCGACGAAGATGGCTGAGTCCTTTACGGTACTCCTCGGGGCTCTTGGTAGATACAGCAACGGCCGACCGCGACCTAAACGGCGTTGCGCTTGTCACAGAGTCCGAAGGGAGTGTCCAACATCGCACGTTGGAAAATATGGAAACGATCCCATACCCAATCATGCCTATACCTCCAAAGACGATGAACAAGATGAGGCAACTAAGTATCATTACCACCACTATAGCCGCCGGGGTTATAGCGACGAAGAGCAAATCGAGGAAGAATGAATCCATCGTGACTTGGGCGTGGATGGAGGCTTGATGGCGGACTGGAGATTCTGGTGTTGGCAATGTTGTTGGGTATCTTGCTTGGGTGTAATGGAGACGAAGCCTCTTTCGATGGAGAAAGTTAGCTAGAGTCAACAATAGACGGGCTAGGTATAAGACGGAGATTAGAGGGTGTGGAATACCTAGCTGGAGGTAACCCCTCACTTCTTGTATCTGATTGTGTGCCAATTTTGGCTTCAAAAGTCGGAGTGTCTTCAACGAGAGAGGTGCGCCCAGAGCCAAAGAAAAACGTCGTCTGGACTTGTCCCGTCCGAACCTTCGATATGGTTACCCGTCGTAAGAATTACCGTCGTACGTTGTGGTCATCGTGCAAAGCGGTCATCGTCATTGAGATCGAATTGTGTCAGCAAGAAAAATGGGACAGTGCATTATTCGAGAACTTTGTGATGGTGCAACTTGGTTTCCAGCGTTGCTCACGGTTGATGGGTAGGAAGGAAGGGAGTGGGTTGGTTGATCAGGCTAACTAACGGTTCCTCACCGTGACCACTAATTAACTACCACTGCAGCAAAGCCCACCAAAATCCTCAAGCCCCATTGCACCTTCCAATGGCCAGTGGATGGAAAAGCAAAAAGGGGATTTTTTGGAAAGTGCAGGAAGGATCACGTCAGCTGCACCTGCATGCAGGAAGGAGCGAAACGCAAATCGATGCACTTGCTTGTTTTGCACGCAATATCGTACCTTATCGCAAACCGAGTGCAAAACCACCACACAACAAGCGCAAAACGTCCAATTCGATCGATATAAAAAAAAAGAAAACATCAAAAACAACAAAAAGAAATCAGTTAGACATCATAACATAAAAGAAAAAAAGATATCAAACGACACCTGCAGGATTCGAACCTGCGCCCACTAATGGATTGCCTACACTATACTATTACGTAATAGCAGGGCAACGCGTTAACCACTCCGCCAAAGTGCCTAGTGCTTATTGTTGAAATAATTGTTTGAGACCAAAACTATATACCCCAAGAAAAGTCAGGCCCCCAGACCCTACAGATTGTCGTGGGATGTACGGCCATGTCAAATCCTACCAAAGCCTTTTATCACTCGTCCTCAGCCGTTTCAATTTGTCTCCCTTGCGAGGTCTGGGACTATTCGGGATAGATTGCGTCTAGTGTACCAAGCTAAGAAACAAAACAGCATCCAACTGTAAATGCCAATGTGGATCTCCATACGTTGCCATAGAATACATGGAAACTGTCTAAGCATTTTATCGAATAGTCCACACCGCCCAAGTGGTTTGTTGATGACTGAGTTATTGTATCGAGTTCATAAAGTATACAACCCCCAATGCTGATGGATGACAGTTGAGCTCAAAGCAAGGTACGTGGGTGGATTGCACGCGTAGGATCGTAGTACAGACATAGAGAACGAGACAGGAAAGAAAACAGCATGGGTGGTACTGTGAGATGAAAGCTGCGCAGGCTCGTCCTTTGGCATACATTACACCTTGAGTATACTCTTATCATGCATCCGAGCGTTTTTGTTTCTACGCATCTCGTGGATAGAAATACCCCCAAGGGATTTCAGCCAATGTGTTTTTGAAGTATCGTAGTCGGGCCCTCCCACAGCTTTGTAACAGCCTTTGTTTCCAGCGAGCGGTATTGGACTGGTTCCGTCACTTGCGAAGTTGGTTGTTCGCCCGCTAAAGCTAGTATTTGATCATGGAAGAGACAGGCTGCCGACGGGGGTGGTAATACGCAGGTTTGGAAAAGGAAGTGGAAGAAGCGACCATCGCACTCGCCTTTACTGTTGGCCCAGGTTTCTAGGTATATTCCGTTCGTGCACCCGACTGGCTTGGTTCGGTAGGTCTATGATAGTGGGTACGTGAAAGTTGCATTAGAAAAGGAAGGGGTCAGCTCATAACAAAAAACTGGCACCTTTTCGGGCATTACATGGGCCATCAGCATAACTGAAGGTGCCATTTTTTTTCGTCCTGGGCATGGGGGCTTCCAGACGTATTGAAGAGTAAGCGGCCGAGCTCCGTAACGTTCCATTGCAAGTGAAGCCACACACCCAGACAGGTCACAGCAACATGTCAGTGATTAAATTGTGATGCATAAATTGAAATAATCTTGTTTACTTCATTGATTGCTTGATCTTGCAACCACCTCGTTCTTTCGAAAAGGTAACTTCTCAACAGAGACAGCCTGCCACACTTCATCATAACATCCGTGGTGAAAGCTAAAGAGAAACTATGGGTATTTTGAAGAATGCAATGACCAAAGCCGGGCCGTACAGGCTAACAAAGCTAGTACTACTGCTTGCTAAACCATGCAGTCAAGAAATCGTAGAGTATAAAAAAGAAGAATACCAAGGCAACGCCCAAAAAGCGTCCAAAAAGCCGTCCGCGCAAGCAAGCAGTGTTATGTGCTTAGCCACCCACCCACCCATTCCGACTGTAACCATCAGTCCGTTCATTGCTTTGCTTGCCCGCCAGACCCATGATAGCCCGCCGCCCTTTTTTTCTCTCCTTGGTACGTTCAATGAAAATGGTATGTAATGTTGATAACACAAGAACGCCGCTTCTCATGTCTTCCGTGTCAAAAGGTAAACCGATGCCAATCACCAGTTCCAGTTCTCGTTCGTAGTCTCCATAATCCCGATCCCGCTATTATATGTGAAACTAAAATTTCACCAAAAGTATTTTTGTGTTTCCTTTTCCTCCTAACCATTCACTCATACAACCACAACAGGGTTAGACTCGGCCCCATGGGCAGAAACAATGTTCACCTCCTTGACACCAACCTTCTCATCCTCGAGAGTGGTGGTGTTGGCAAACCCAGCATCCGTCTTGGGAGTCTTGGGCTCCCTCTCTGAATCCTCAGCGGAAGAAGTCAAATCGATTGTCCTCGGCGTAGCGGGCACCTCAGGAAACGTCTCCAAGCTTGCCCTCCGCTTAGCAGAAAGATCCACAGCCGTGTTCACCGACGACGAGTTCTTCTGGTGTCCCTGAGAAGAACGCTTGACTGGTTCAGGAGAAGCGGGCTCAACCTCCTCCATTACGGTGGGAGGAGTGGCAAACGCCTCAGACGCTTCAGTAGAAGCCAGAGGGTCGCTCATGCGAGAGTCCATCGTGTAGGAAGAGTGGCGGAGGGGCGATTTAAGGGAGGAGATCTCGCTGATGCTGCCATAGTCTGTACCGCGGCTTCCCAAAGAAGCGCGGGCTGGCGACTTGGCAGGCAGCGGAGGAGGGGCTCGCTTCGCAATGGTAACAATTCCCGCCTTGGCATGGATAACGGGGGTAATTTGTGATGAGCGGATGGAGCTTCGGGCGGGTTGAGCAGTGGCAACCTCGCAGATGATGGCCTCGTCGTCAAAGTCTTCGTCGCTTTCATCTTCTTCGTCATCGGCGTCTTCGTCTCTTTCGCTCTCGTCCTTCTCGCTTTCGGGGTATTCACTCGTGTTGTCCTTGATGGATTTGGTGCCGGTGGTTTCTGCATCGGGCTTGTCACCCAGGTGGACCACGGGTTCAGGCTGCAGCTCGTCCCCTTCCTCTTCTTCGGGCAGCGGCCTGAATCGTTGAATCATGCTCATATCGATCTGTGTATAGTCAACCTCTTCTGGTTCGAACTCGGGCTCCACGACAGTGGGCAGCTTATCCGACAACTTTGACTCTCGGCCGTCCATACTATTGGCGCGGCTGAAACTTGTCTCGGGGGTGCTCGTGGCATCGGTTTGTGTGCACGCGTCCGTCATGACGGTAGCCTGTGACCTTGTCGACATACAGCTTTCGCGGTTGCTCCTCGACTGGAACGTGTCACCGCTCTGTCGGCTGTACCTGGCAAACGCGGGGCTCTTGGGACTGGGTTGGAACTGGAATTGAGTGCTGGTGGGTCGTAGACGTGTACCGGCTTCTCTGATCTCAATACCCGCCATCTCGAGGCCAATGACTCCAAAAGGATCCGGATCGTCGACGTCGGGGATACCAAAGGGGTTCTTCACAATCGACTGTCGGACCGATGTCCGTGGGGTATCGATTACGGCATCACTAGGGGCAGGCTGCTGAGCAAGCATCTCCATAACATCTGCGTCGTAATCCGTCCGACCCTCGGCAGCCTTCAAGACCTCAAATAACGGGCGCATTTCGGGAACCTCCTTGCCAATGTTACCGGCGAGGATGTCGAGGACTGAAATGTCGCTACTGTAGAATCGAACGTTCTCGTTGCCACGCTCCGAAACAAGCGATCCGTCAAGGGGCACTGGTTGGTGCTTGCCGCGGGCTTTGATATATGTGAGAACGGTATCGTTGAGGTCCTTCCATCGTGTGTCGTTGTCGGTCGAGTCTGCGTCGACAAGTGGGCCGAGGGTAAGGTCGACATCGACTCCGAGAACCACCTTTGGACGAGTGAAAAGTTCGAGAGCTTGTACACTGTTGATGACAAGGACGCAGTCGTAGATATCGACTCCCATAACGAAGCCTAGCCCGGCCGTGTGGAGCATTATACCAGACGGTGGTGACCATGTGCCATCTGCCCTCCTTGCGGTAATCAGCCCGGCGCCGCCTGATCCTGACATCCACAGTCCCGAGCGCATGCACGAGAAGACTGCGAGGCCGACGGCATCTTGTAATATCCTTGGAGGGATCTTTTTCGTAACGGATTTTGTTGTTGGTGGGGTATCGGTATCGGGATCTTGCTCTTGTGGTTCTTCTACAATGAATCCATCCACTTTGTGAGGATAGTCATGTTAGTTGGTGCTGACGAGTCAGTGGACTTGGGGAAACGAGGTATGACGTACTGCAAAATGACTTTAATATCCTGGCGGCCTTGTCACATTCCTTGTCGAGGGTTGTTGGCCAGTATGTTTCGCGGTCGTAACTTGTGGGTTGTTGTGTCGTCTTGACGGGCACAACCGCCTTCCCTCCCCATCCGAAAACCTTATTCAGGGCACTGGGCGACCTGGGGGTGACGGATGTTGTTTGCTTTGCCCGGTCCCATGAAGGGAACAGGGCCGAGACACGCTGCATGGCGACAGTTGGAGAAGCGCCAAGTCAATGCCTTGATGGGACGGATGACTGCCGAATAAGAGTGGTTGTTGTAGAAGATGAAAAGAATCGTGGAGGAGGGCGGGCGGGCGGGGGTAAGGGAAGACTCCGCCCTTAAGGGAGAGAGGCCAAATGCGGAGGGAAGCGACCCCAACCTAAAGGTCGGATCTCTTTTCGGTCGTTTTCGTCTGCTTCTTCGATCCAGATCGAGAGTTGAGGGAGTGTCGAGAGAAACAAGTCTGAGTGGCCGGCCTCGAATGAGAGCATGCCCACACAGGCTGGCGGACCCCCGGCCGGTCTGCAAAAGGGTTACAGCTGCAGGAGTCGAGCCTTAGCGGGTGTTATTGGATGTTTTTAGCGTGCAGGAACCTGAGCCCAGCGGTGCCAGCGGTGTCAGCGGTGCAGCCAGTGGTCGGGTGCCAGAGGTGCCAGTGGTACGCAGCGTGCGTGTTGGGTGGAGACGCTGGTTACTAACTCCCTGCCCTGCCTGTGGCTGCCCTGATGAGGAGTCCTGGAAGTGACGTGACGTGGGTGACGAGGTGATCACAGCCAATAGCCGAGTCTCGTCTCAGGGAAAAGCAAGGAGGGCGGCGCGGGAGAACCTGAAAAGGCGACCGTGCTTGATGTCGTCGTCGTTGTCGTCGATATTCAAGGATTCAGTCGAAGCCGGACAATAAGAAGCCATTCATTCACCTCCGTCGTCCTGGGTTGCACGTGGAAGAAGGACTTGCAGCAAGGCCCGAACAGAAAGGGTGGTAGCGAGCGGAATGATGCCAGGATGGGAGACAAGATGGTGCCGTGTCGTCTGCCGTGACTGGTTCTAATCGTCAAAAAGAATGCCGTGAGATTGAGTGTGTTGTGTGTGTCCGGGTCCACGGACAGTGAGGTGTCTTTTGATGAGATGAGATCAGGTGTGGGTTAGGGCGTCTTTTCCCGGTCTTGGTTGGTGGATCCCCTCCCCACTGTTGGTAGGCCAGCTCGGCCGAGTTGTAACACTACGCGCAATCCGCAGAGTCTTGCCCGTGTTCAATGTCTCGTCTGTTTCTCGCCTTTGTCCAGTAACGTCGCCGTCGGCTCTGCAAGGTGGTGTGCCAATGGTCGACACTTGCGCAGGTACCAGACGGACCAAGACAGAGAAAAGGAAAGGGATTTCCCTTTGATTAATATCGGCTCGGATAGACGAGGCGAGACCGTCACTAAGGACCGGGGTTTGCTGATCTGCCTTCGCTTTTGCCGTAACTTGATGGGACGCGATGGTACTCTTGATGCCCACCGAGGATGGGGCCCTGATGGGGCTGATGAGACCGCCAGCGCACGCCGTTGACAGGGCTTGCGCAAGAGCCGGGCTCTTGGCACTAACAAGACTAATGTCGATCAAATCGACCACGAGGAATTTTCTTCTCTTGTTCCCGGGGTCGGATGGGTCGGAGTGGCACTGGGAAATCTTAAAAAGTCCGGCCTTGCTTCTGCTGGTTCTTGGTCATATCAAAGAGGAAGAAGCCAAGAGACGGACGGCGAAACTGATGGAGGAAGTTATCACAACGGCGACGACTGACAACGGTGACAATGGAGGAATAAAGTGCCGGGAGTTACATGACAAAGAAATGACAGCCCAGTACGAACAAGGGAGATAATAGCGACACCAGAAACGGCATGCAGCAACACGCCATTCAGCTCAACGTCAACCTGATACTCAGCTTTCTTTTGCCACCTAACCGAACGCACAGAAGCAGATAGTCGTCTGCATGTAAGAGGACGGAAGGAGATATGCACAAGAAAAAGAAAAGGAACCGGAACGTTCAATGTCGCGTTATCATCTCCTGCTCCTTACCGCGTCTTTGCTCCTTACCGCAAACTGGAATGAACATGTCTCAACATGCAAAGGAGTGCAGGAGGATTTTGGACCCTTAACACGCTTCCTCCGTCCACGTTTGAGACATTGTTAGGGTAACGATACACGCAGTTAATGAAGATTCGCGGGATTGGCTGGAAGGAGCAAGACAACAGAACTCGGAGTTATTGTCACCAATGGTGAGAAGTTTGTTACGTACAAAGTTCAGTTGCAATCCAAAAAACGGACGGGTGGTTCTCCAGTAAAAGAAGCAAAAAAAGGCACGCACCGCTCCGGGTGTTTACTATTAGAGACATGCTCAATTTCCTCTCAGTCAAGACATATACCCGTTGGGGAGGGTCATGTTTTTCCCCTTTGTTGCGGTCTTGTCCCCCGTGACCCAACTTTGAATAACATGTAAATGCGCAAGAGGGAACCCCCTCGTGCAATTTCAATTTCCAGCTTCTGCGGCATGTATCACTCGAAATCCGCTTTTGATGTTTCGAAACAAATTCGTCTTTTCTTTTTTTAATAAGTCGGTCTCTGTGTGTGTTTCCCCTCACGCATCCCCTCCTCATATCTCGCTTTTCCATCACACTAACAGCCGCCCACAACGCCAACGTGGGGTTGCCCTTTCAATTGTTTGTGAAGTCTGGGCCAAACCTCCACCTAATGTATCTCCACCCCTTTTCGGCTTTTCACGAACGAATCCAGTTAAGTGTTCAGCTCAAAGCCATGTGCTTTATTTCCTCTCTATTGTCACTTTGGCAATTCAAAGCGACCGTACGTACTCAGCTGAACATCAAGACTTCTTCCCAGATGAATATGGACCACCATGTTAACTGATGAGGCACCCCATGTCACCCAAGGGGGCTGACGGCTGAGGCTGCGGGCGCTGCGCCCGTTCGTGACTTCGTGTGCCCGTTTTGGGGTTCCATTTGCGTCCCCAACGGCGACTGGGCGGCCCCATACCGCTACGGCAGGTACGGACTGGGCGGGAAGGCAAGCTGGGTCCGGGCCTGTTGTGCGGACCCTCGCTCCGTCCAGTCAGCCACCTCCAAATTGCCGGCTCTCGGGCTCCCGTCGGGAACAGAAACCGCAAAACGGCATTCACGGTTCGTGCACCCAATTTACATTTTACACCCAAGACCCCGTCCCCGCCGACGCCAATAAAAGGACCATCCCTACCAAACGATTCTCGCAGCTGCCGCGGCTGGTTGGCATCCCGACTTTGCGGACTTTTCCACTTGTTCCGCTCCACTTACGGAGATGCCCAGCAGGGGTCAACAGGGGCAATTTTTTTGTTTAGTGTAAAGACCTTCCATGTCAGCCACGCTTTTCTGTGCAATTTTCTCGATCTGTATTCGGAGATCATGTCGTCATATATTTGCATTTGTTTGTTCTCCTGCTCCTGAGCTTGGCTTATGTATCTGCTGGTTTTGATTTGATCACAGCTCTGACCGAGCCATACCGAGCCTGACCGAGGCTATTGAAGACACGGATCGAGATGCATTTCTCCTCGGAATCAGTATTCACAGTGAAGAGAACTGAACGGGAACTGGTGGAATGGATTAGTCAGGGAACTCGTCACCTAACCTCTTCCCCTCTCCTCTCGCTCCTTTCGCGGATATCTGCATCACCCAAGTGGTGCGCCCCTTGAAACAGGGGCATTTTGTTGGAGAAAGAACTGAAGTTGGGATCCGAGTCCACACTTGACGTGCACCTTATTTTGGCCGAGCAGGCTATTCGTCGGGATGTGTCTCGCTTACATAAGTACAGTAACAAGCCAGAACCAACCAACTCTGCTCGTCCTGGCCAGTGCACCTAACCGACGAGTTCTCTTACTGACCACCACTCCCGTCCTCTCTGCGGCTTCCCGTTCATTGCCGTGCAAATCGTCCGCTTTTACAACACCTTTTTTTTTTTTTTTTTTCGACATTTTCGACAAGCTTAGACATCGCCAGCGTTTTATATTGAGAAGGGTCTAGCCAGCAAAGTGTAGTAGATCCTCCTTGTCTCACCTCTCCTGTCTCACCGTTCACAACGGTCGGCCGGCAGCCAGCGATGCCGGACTATTGCCGCAAGACAACTTCCAGCTTCATGTTGTTCCCGTTGACCATTGACCGTTGTCTATACCTTCAATTTTGTGGAAATCACCTAGGTTTCTAGGACACGTTCACTTTGTTCCGAGCCAGAGCCATTTGGTTATCACCGCGCCACGATCCAAATTATTCCCGTTGTCTCTTATATTGCTTTTTGTGCCTTTGTCTCTTGTTGTTCCGGTGGAGGGTTTTTCCCGTTTGTTGATTGTGGTTGTGGCGCCTCCGCACTTTTTCTGTGTGTGTGCGTGTCTCAGTAACGGCAACACTCCGCCTGCTCCCCTGCTTGTGCCACCGCGGGATCGGGTGTTCGTGACGAGATGGGATGGGGGATGGATGGGGGCAGCTGTCATTTGTGGCGCGGGATTAGGCATCAGGCATCAGGCATCAGGCAACTAGTGTTGCTTGAGATATGGTAAGAAATAAGAGTGGTATAAGACGATTTGAGAGGCTCCTAAGACAAGGTATGGATGGTCGATGGGTTGTTTCACTATACCGGAGTGTCTTTTGAACCTTCGACGCTGAATAGGAGATTCCAGAGTGTTTGACAGCTCTTTCAAGATGCTCAACTAACAACATCCAACTTCATTATGAGCACTCCCCAGTCCGCCTACCCCAGAAAACAAATGCCGGCACACGACGGGAGCACGGTAGTGCCCTGTAAGTGCAAGGCAAAAGCCAAAGAGCAATCCCCATCGTCGTCTTCCCCTCAACGCCGTGAAACCGTCATCCTGCAATCTATCGACGATATAGATTACTTCCTTCATACTCCCGTGACCCGTATAAGCTGTACATCATTGGGCTTTCTCTGTGGGTTCCCCAAGTCTGCTCTTAAGTTTGCATGAACAACACCAGATGTGATTGACAGATGGACCAAAGCGACCAGCACTGCTGCTTACTTGGATGTAGTGGCAGCCTATCCTAGCTGTTCAAGGCAGCCATTGTTCTCCCGGGCATGAAGAGAGTGGGGATAGTAATCTAGAAGCTACATCGTCCAACCACATGATGACAAGAACTTGGTTGCCGAAGTAGGACAAGTTAGGCACACACATACAAAACTGACCGTTAGTCCTCTCCAATGTTGATACCCAACGTAAGTGTACCCTATGGGTGCCTAGTGGCCAGCTTGGGTGGGTTATTAAATTGGATGGTATGACAGTTGGAATCGAGAGATCGTACACTACGTAGTCTCATCGGCGCTCCACTAAATCACATCATGATAGCTCTGGATGACTACCTCTACCTACCTCTAGGTAACCTCAACTCATGGGGTGATATGGATGCTTTCAGAGATGTCCGATTATCGTCGTGGCAGCGATAGGTCAGTTTAGTAAAAACCACCTCGAGAGAGTCTCGGTGCAATCTGTTCTTGACGGCGAATAAATATATTTTCTTTTTTTTTCCTTCAGCAAACACATGGTCACTTGGAAAGTTTCAAGATTATGACATGAATCTTTCACAAACGTGGTTCATTCACCGACTTCTCCACCTCTGTGGGGTGCACTGAGTAAGGTAATGTATACTTGTGCTCGTAAGCATGTGTAGGAGATCACGGGGGCATGGGTACCTTATATATTTGATCAATTTATACGATGGAAAGAAAGGTCAAGATCTGCTGTCTAGTATCTGTTGATGACCTCTCTCTATCTCTCTTCCTCTGGTAGATAAAAGTATACATGCATGCATGCATGAAGATTGTCAGGAAAGAGGTCACAGCACATAAATCAAAGACGCAACGAACGATGGATGGGGGTTAAGATGGTGGTAGGTAGGTAGGTAGATAAGATGCGGTAGGTATACAATCGCTTGTATTTCAGTTTCATCATTTCTCAGTCTAAATATCTGTGTAATGTAATGGTAATGGTAATGGTATCCTAGGTACTTATTCCTTCCTATCCCGTGCCCCAGCAAACAATCAATCCCAAGTGAAAACCAAGTCCAGAAATAATTAAAAAAAACCAAAACCAAAACACCAGAAGGATAAACAAAACACCCAGCAGCACTGAAGAAGAAGAAGGAGAAGTGTACAAAAAAAGTCCAAACGACAAAAAAGGTCTATCTAAAATGCTTAAAGGGTATGAATTGAGAAGGGTATCGAAAAAAATAACAACAAGAAGTGGTTTTGTTTAATGGTGGTGGTGGTATCTTGGTGATGGTATAATGGTCATTAAAAAAAAGTCCCCTCTACCCCTTGAGAGAAGGGGTTTGTACAACATCGCAAAATGGGTATGAATGTTTCTGGGTATGTTTGTGGTTGTGGTTGTTGTGGTTGTTCCGTTTGTACAATGTGTTGTGGTTGTTGTTGTGGTATGGTACTTGGTATAATGTCGTCATGCTCCTCGTAAAACGCCTGTTGCTGCTGCTGCTGCTGCTGCTGCCGCTGCCAAGATGCCCAGATCTTTGAAAAAAATGTGAAATGCGAAATCTGATAAGAAACTGAAAAGTGTTGAAAGCCAAAGCTGGAAAAGGCGGAAAACGATCAAAAGGCGGGAAAAATCAATATCGTCTCGTCCCCGCATCAACTCCTCTTTTTCCTTTTTGATGATGATGATGGACGTGGATGTTAAGAAATTCCCCAACAACGTTTAGGTAGCCGACCAGCCAGTGGCCGACTGGAGATGTGGAGGTTGAGGTTGAGGTTGAGGTTGGTGGAGCGAGGCAGTAGCGGCCCCCAAAAGGCGGGAGCAAGGACGGGAGCATCGAAGGATCATATGCATGAGTACAGTAATCCTCCAGCATGGAGTGCGTGCTTTTTTGGCAAGGCAGAAAAGGCGTCAGCTCATTTGCGACAACGTTGCGACAATGCGACGCCAAAACGGTTGTCAGATGCAGTGAGCATCGATCAGCCCGACGATTGAACGCTCAAGTGGCACAAGAAGAAGTACCAATCGCATCAACCTCCATTCGTAACTCCGCTCAAACAGCAATAGCCGTCGCCGGCGTCGCAGCCATTCCCGGACCACCGCTCACGGGGCCAAGTTCCGGGCTCGGGCTCGGGCTACCCTCCGAGCTAGCCGTCGACGCCGACGCCGACGCCGCGTCAGGGACCACCAACTTCGGGAATGGCCCGCCATGAATCAGATATCTCTCCAAAGCGTTGGAATCCATCGTCTTCCCCTCTTGCACGACCCTCCTACTGCCGAAATGGTCTGGGCCATCCATGTCCTCCCAGTTCTCATCCACGCTGGCATGGAACTTGAACGTCTCCCTCGCTCTGGCGCCAGTCCTGATATCGCCGGCTTCGAGATCCCCTTCCAAGTGGAGGCGCTGCAGCTTCGGTAGTTTTCCTTGCAGGGAAGCGAACAGACTGCGGAATGACCCCTCGTGGAGATGCACGCCGCCGATGGAAAGTTCATAAGGCTTAGCCAGCCCGCGGCCTCCCAGGCGCAAGCGCTCGAGAGTCTTGGCGTGGCGCAGCAAGAACGAGCGCAGATCTTCTTCGGAGCAGGAGACGCCTTCGAGTTTGAGGGAGGTGAGTTTGGTAAAGGTGAAGTCCTGGAGGAGAGCGCGGAAAGAAAATCCGAATTTTTGCATCGGGGCGTGGTAAGTGTGGAAGGAGAGGCTGAGGTGGGTCAAGTTGGGGGAGAGCTGGAGGACATGGCCGAGGCCGTTGATGGCTTTGAAGCGGGACTGGGGCATCAGGTTTGCTGGCGGGTCGATGGTCAGGTCCAGCTTGGAAAGGGACGAGAAGGAGGAGGCGCAGCAGTCGAACCAGTGGCGACGGTCGTCGGGGAGGCGGAAGATTTCGAGCGGGAGTTGGTCGATGGTGAGGCTGTTGAGGGAGACATGTCGCACGGCGGAGATGATGGCGTTCATGTTCTTGCACGTCTGCGCGCGGAAGGTGGGGTCGCGCTTGCGGCAGTTGCGCACCAGAAAGACGTCCTTGAAGACTTCAATGTCGTAGGGGCATTTGGTGTAGGTGATCTCGAGGTCCTTGAGGTTAGGCAGGCGCTTGAAGGACTCCTCGACCATGGCGGAGCGGGTGTGAAAGGGTGGGAGGTCGCGGGCTTTGCCTTCGAGCTCGTAGTACTTGATCCAGGCATCTTGGAGGAGGATGGACCGCTCTTCGGGCTCTTGCAACCAGTGCTGGAAGAAGGAGGCGTGGCGGGCGCTGTACTCGTCGACTTTGGAGAAGTTAAAGGTGATGGAGCTGATGGACCGGTTGAGGCGGTCGTGGTGGGCGATCGAATGTAACCGTTGGACGTCGTCCTTCCATTCCACGGCCCGGAAGGATGGTGGGAGCAGATAGTTGTATCCTACGTCGGCTAGTCGACCGCAAGTGAGACGGAGGGCTCGTACCGATGGTGGGTCGCAGTTGTCGAAGATGAGCCGAAGCAGTTCAGCGGGAAGAGTATCCATTTTGGCTGGCTGTATGATGTGATTAATGTTTTCGTAGAGAGATGAGACAAGATGGGATAAAGTCGTCTGTTTTTATATATGTCTTGTTGATGGTGTTGACAAAAAAGCGGTCATGGAATGTATGTATGTGTTGTGAGGCTCAGGCGGCTTGGGGGCGGCTGACACAAGCGTGGGTGTATGTGGTGTGGTGGTGGTTGTTGATTGTCGTCACTTATAAGTCGCGAGTTGTCGGTTCGGGTGTGTGGGTTGACCGGCAACGGACGAGTGCATGGGGGGGGGGGGGGATTGGAGAAACAAAATAGAAACCGGGTACTGAAGGGTGGAAAGGGGAGTGATTCGCCCCTTATTTAGCAAGAGTAGTTCCGAATTATTTGCAGCTGCATGGTTTCTCTGTTTGGATCGATGTGTCAAGAACAAAGGACGGTGCCCTGGTGTTGTTGATACCGAAAGATTTCACAGTTGGCTTCTAAAGTCGGTGAGCTTAAGACAAGGGACGGCCTCAGATTCGTCGAGCCCTATTCCAGCCTATCCATCCTAGCCCATGCCATCCCTTGGGGCAGCTGTACTGGGGACTGGGGGAGCATGGGGCACCAATCGATGTTGCTGGGCCTTGACTGGGCATCCCAACCACAATCCTGTCCATCCGAGAAGACAGGGGAGTCAACATTGGGTGCATTAGCGGGCTGGAGGCCAAACCAAGCTGCAAGCCACCACAGGCACGCCCACCCCCTTTAGCGTTGCTTGGGTCCCGCCGTCCACTTGGAAACATTTAGAGTCCCGGCTCAGACATTGCTGCTTCAAGAAAAAAGGTACCTTACCCTGCCATTCGGGGGGCGGACAGGAGAAGAACACGCTCGTGTTTTCTTTGTGAGTCGTGTTGTTGGTGCTCAGACTCCCTGCCCAGCAAAGCCCAGTATAGAAGGGAAGAATGAGCGGTAGGAAGGCGGTGTGAATGGGACAGCATTTGTTGAACGAAATTACGGAGTCACGGAGGTAAACAGAACTGGGACAAAAAGGACCACGAGTAAGGTATGGGTAAAGAGGAGGTGTGATTCCGTCTGTGTGATCGATCCAAGGTTCTTACCGATGCGATGTGTGATGTTCGAGCAGGCAGTGAGGTGTGATGAGATGATGGATGCTGCAATGAGAACACCTTGTGCCTCGCGTACCTTGAACCTCTCTTCCTCTGCCTCGTCTTTTTTTTTTCTCCTTGACCGACGTTTGGAGGTGAATTGCAATGCAACACCATGACTGGACGCTTGTCCAATCCAAGCTTGTCCCCATGAACCCGCCTCAGCCCGCCCACCACCCGCCTGTTTGGTTTAAGTCTAGTGCCCGATGACTGCAAAGCACAGAATGGCACGTGAGGAGTACTTGTCACTCACTTTTGTCAACGGGACAGTGATGCTACGTATTGCACTGTGGGATAGCGATGGAAGCCTTTGCTGACATGCAGGTCTGCTTCTAGAAAAGTGTACCCACCATGGCCGATTTGTCGGATGCGCAATGTGTGTGTAGGTATGGTGGCTTTGTGTGGTTCAGGAGGGGTGGTGGGCCGAAAGGGGAGGGTTTCATTGCTTTGGTTGGCGAGCCATCCCTTCCAGCCCTGTGAGTCGACCTCAGATACGGACGGGCGATCCCTCGCTCTGTGTACATGGAAAGTGAACCATGACGATGCTGTATTCCAGCGAGCATTTTTCGACAGGTTTGCTCATCGGTTGTCGGATCAAAGAAAGTCGGCGAGAGGTGACAGGTGAGATGAGGTAAGCTGCCGTCAACATCCTTGAAGAGAGAGAGAAAGGATGTTTGCGGGGACCGCCGACAGTGTGCTATTCTCGTGGTGCAGAGGAACACCAAAACGCAAAAACAGCCGTTTCGATCCTACGCGTTGTAACCAGGACCCCCCGGGTATGCTGGCCGGGATGCTTCACCGCGAGTTCAACAAACGGATTTCACCCCCAGTTTCCCAGGTGTTCCCGGCGGCGAGAAGGCTTCACGACAAACGAAGATAATGGAGAACCGAACCGTATGTTACGCAAGCTGGCATCCCACAGGCAGACAGCCCTCCGTAGCCCGTGGTCAAGCCGCGCGTGGGCATGCGAGGGCATTTCTTGGGACTCGTTTTCCTTGGCTGGATGGGGCTGATGATGGATCGAGGACGTGCAGACTGGCGGACAAGAACATGGCGAAACCCAACCTCCACTCTGGGCTCTCACCGAAGGAGTTTTGCGTACACCTTGAGGGGCATACATCGCTTACCCCAGCCTTCATCTCGACACTTTGATGTCATGCAGTCTCGTGGGGGTGTTTATGCTATTTCGTTTCATGTTCCTGGCAAGCACAAGTCGGTGAGAGCTTCAGGTAAATAAATCGTAGTTGTTCCCCCTTTCGCTTGTTGCTTTCTGCCTCACAATGTCATACTTCAATGCCACCTTCACGCCCCATCCGTGACCCAGTTGTTTAGTCCGGAAGATGTGAGTTCAGCTGGAGGGACTGCTCCGGCCGATATCCCAAAGCATCCAACCGGAAAGGATACCACAATCGGAACGAAGAGAATCAACAGCTGCATCTTGCAATCACACAAGGTTGAGACATACATGATGGGTGGCCAGATGGCCTGCTCGTCCGAGGCCTGTCTGTTTATCTGTGTTGCAGGATGGGATCATGTTCGTCCGCTTTCCGCTCTCTGATCCGGGTTTCGACTTGGGGGTTTTACTAGTGTACAGAGAGGAAGAGGAACCAACCAGCCATTTGGGTCTCTCGGTCAGAGTCTCAAGTCAGTTCCGAGCGGACGAGAAGGGGCGCTGCTAGTTCTAGGTAGCTGAATGGGAGGTCAACACCATCAACCATGACTTGCATAAGCACAACCCCCCTCTCGTACTCTCACATTATACTAGAGCAAGTATGTACTCGGCAGCCCCTCTTCCTCGTGTCGTTACTCGATGATCGCCCTCCTCTGGGTGGTCTGGTGGAACCATGGCTCACGGCATGGAATCCCTCCCTCCGCCTTTTTTTTTTTTTTTTTTTTTTTTTTTTCATTAGCCTCGTGCAAGGCCAGTGACATGCAGTATGTATCGCCGGATCCGCAAGCCCAGTGTAACCTCCGCTCTTTTGGCTGCGTGCCTGATCGTGGCCGCCGCTTTGGTCTGCGCTACTCTGCCGTTCTCTGCGCTACTGGAGGCGGTGATGATTCTGAGCTGTCAAAGGGGAAGGAAAACCCAAATGCAACGTCAAAAAAGTCAATAAAACGGGGCCGAAGGTGGGGAATGCTGAGATGCCCCCGGCTGCCCCGCCAATTCCCTTGCCCGCTCCCGACGGGACATACACTAACAATTATATCCACTATCCACGCCCTCTTTTAGGGGCCAACGGATGCATAGTGTACACTATACGGGCACGGGGAGGGGACTGTCTCGGGGCCGGCAATACCAAGGACGGAATATCGGGACACGATGGTACGTAACAAACCAAGGTAATGACAATGTTTTGCTGTCTGTCATTTCCGTTGGAGACGAGAAGAGCGATTGGATGTCCGGCCAACTCTTTTCCCCTCCAGCCAGCCAGTCACAGCAACTGCCCGCTTTGAGTGTTCCTTTCCCCTCTGCCACCATGTGAGCAGCTGAGTTCGGGCTGATGGGAACGGCAGGAACTTCTTCCATGTCAATCAGTTCTCTTGCTCGACCTGACCCGACATTTCCATCAGCTGCCTCCCCTCACTCTCGTCGAAAGGTTCAGCCCGCCACTCGTTACCATAACCGACACCGAGACCATCGACCATACGACCAAACCTGCCTAGCCAACCATATTCACGCGACAATAACATCGACACCGAGACCGCGGTTGCGCTTGCGCCATGGACATCATCAATGGTTGGACCTGATCCTGACGACCACACTGTTGACCTGCAGTAGCATAGTGAAGCTCCTGATTCGGTAACCATCGCGACCAAGATATCCATCCACAGCCCCAAGCTTACGCCATCGGTACGACATACTGCTATACCGACCGGACAAACCCCGCGCAGCCTTATCAACTTCTTGCGCCGAATCATACCGCAATCATGCCGGGCGCACGCTCCGATGCGAACACTCCTCAGCCCAACCGGGAGTTTATATCTGACGAGGCGCACCTCCTACCGTTACCCCCAGACGCTCCCGATCTCCACGAACTCAACGCCTCTCTCGATGCCCTCTCGGCCGTCTTCCCCGATATACAGATAGACGTCTTCCGAGAGATGCTCTCCAGCTTCGACGGCGAATCGAGACTCGCCCTGGTCGCAAACGCTCTCATTCAAAACAAGGTTACTTGGGTCAAGGGTCGCTGGAGAGCCGCCGAAGAGATGCCTCGCAACGTGCCAGCCACAGCTGAGCCAGTCTCGGTCCCCTCAAGGCACAAGTTTCGAAGCAAGGAGTACAGAAGCGCAGTCGAAAAACTTGCATGGCAAGAGTTCAAAGGATTGTCCCGATCGACCATCACTGCAGTCCTCGCCGAGAACAATTACTGGTACCCGGATGCCCGTCCGACACTGGTCAGCCTTTCGTCCAAATCCTGGCGGTTTGCCATCTCGTCTCTATTCCTACGCAGAAAATCTGTATCGGGCACCGAGGCAGCAACACACCCGCTTGTCATCTGGAAATCATCTGGCAAGGGCTCTATTGTGCCCTGTATCAAGACCACGGGCAATGCCGAACTAGATAAGGAGCTCTACGAAGCACTCATTCTTCCGATCCTCAAACAGGCACGTCAGGAAAGGGAAGACAAGGATCACAGCCTAGCGGCAGAGCTCAACACCAAAGAAGCGGAGGCGCTAGAAAGCATGTTTGAGTGCTCGTGCTGCTTTACCGAAGCTACGTTCGAAGAGATTGTGTCATGCAACGTTGACGGACATACCATCTGCTTTCGCTGTGTCCATCATACCCTCTCGGAAGCCGTGTTCGGACAAGGCTGGCAGTCCACCATTAACACGGAAACTGGCACACTACGTTGTCCAGCTGTTGAAGGAAGCGGGTGCAAAGGGTGTATCTCTCAAGAACAGATGCACCGGGCCATGCTTGAGTTCAAAAAGGGCGCCGGGATCATGCACAAGTTTGAGCAACGTCTAGCCGAGCACAGTCTCGTAGTCAGCGGACTCCCACTTGTCCGCTGCCCTTTCTGTTCCTACGCCGAAGTCAACGAGATATACGAGCCTCCTAACCCACTGCCTCACCACTCCCTTAGGAAGAACGCCTTTCAGCTCATGTTCACTGTCCTGTGCATTGGGTTCATTCCCTTTATACTACCTCTGGTCCTGATAATCGGAATAATTACGGTCCTGCTAAGTTACAAGCAAGATATAGTAATACCCTTATCCCAAGAATATCACGCCGCGCGCCAGCGTCTCCAGCGCCGCCGTCGCGGGTCCAAGTTTACCTGCCGAAACCCCGAGTGCCAACGCAACTCGTGTCTCTCATGCAGCAAAGAATGGGTTGACATACACGTCTGCAACGAGTCCTCCCTCGTCGCCTTGCGCACACAAGTAGAGCAAGCCATGAGCATGGCCGTCAAGCGTGTCTGTCCCCGCTGCAATACCTCTTTTGTCAAAACAGCCGGCTGCAACAAGCTCACTTGTCCGTGCGGATACAAGATGTGCTACGTCTGTCGAAAGGACATTGGCGGGGACGGGGACGGCCCAGACGTGGGGTACAGGCACTTTTGCGACCACTTTAGACCGGAGGGTGATGGAAGAAAGTGCGACAAGTGCACCAAGTGCAATTTGTGGGAGGCTGAGAATACGGAGCTGGTGCTGAAGCAGGCCAAGGAGGAGGCGGAGAGGAAGTGGTTCGAAACGGAGAATAGGGAGTTGACGGGCGCCGAGAAGGTGTTCTTGGAGACGGGCATGGCGATTGACCCGAATGCGGCGGCGAGGATGGATAAGATGTATGCGCATGGGAGTTGGCGGGTGCCGACGCTGGCGGAGTTGTTTGATTTTATCCTGGAACATATTTTGGAGGCGTGACAATGCAGATTATGGGAAACTCTGGGAATCGTAAGGCTGGGAACAGGAAGGCAAAGGTGCACGAAACAACGTGAACGGGTACGCTGAATATCCATAGTTGAGCATTCATTTCACTTTGCCTGAATACGACCAGACATAGGTTTTGAAGATGAAGAATAATCCACCAGCAATTATCCATACTGCCTTTTTGGTGATAGCATCATGTAACGCTGGCTGGCTGCCACGACGTCGACGTCACGGCGTTTCCCTGGCGACGTTCAGGGGTAAAGTCAATGTTAGTGACATAGTGGAGCCTTAGGGAAAGAAAGTGGTCTTATGTAAGCGAGCTTGGCTCAGCGTCCCAACGAAGCTCCCCAAAATTTGTGAGCGCGGGCAGGCAACTGAACTCGCCAATTCGCAGCCAAAGCGCGTTCCACCCGTCAACCTCGCTCGTTTCCCACTCACTGCACAGCTGCTTGCCCGCGCCGCCAACGAGAGAGCTCCGTCAACTTTCGCGACTTTGCGACAGCTTCAGTCCGGGAACATCACTCCCTCGACATTTCAGCATTACCCACCAGCCCAACAACGTATTTACCCCGATCGCATAAGTAATTTACATTACGACAATAGCAGCAATACCAATCGAGTACGACACGCTCCAACCATCACCAACAAAACACACAGTTAACGCAAAGTCAACAATAATTCACCCACCACCATGTCAGGCCAAACAGGCAAATGGCGAGAAGAGCAAGTCCTCGTCATCTGTCCTGGCAGTTCGACAACCATGGCCCAGCTCGGTTGTGGAGAACTCAGTCCGCCCGCCCACCGTTTTCCGACGCGCATGTTTAGAGACGAAGAGACGGGTCAATGGAGGCCCTACCATACTTATAAGCAGAAGAAGGCTGCCGCTGTGCCTGCGCCTGTGGTCGAGGGAGAACAGGAACCAGAAGAAGCAAAGCCAGAAGGGGAAAAGAAGGAAGAAGACAAGTGGGAATATGTCGAGGACCAGGACTCGGACGAGGGGGCTGTTTATCCTATCCAGGGTGAGTATTGACTAGTCTGCTGCTGGTTGTTTGGAGGGAGTGGAAAGGAACTGACAGAACCATGCACATAGGCGGCCACATCGTCGTAATGGACGCCTTCCTCGCCTTCCTCGAACACGTCCACTCTAGCCTAACCACTACATACCACAACACGCCCATAATGCTCATGGCCTCTCCGCAATGGACACGCCCAGACTGCGAAACCTTGGCTCGTTACATATTCGAAAAGACCAAGACACCCGCCCTGTGTCTGATCAACTCCGCCATCGCGACGCAGTACGGCCTCAAGTGGCCCAACATGACAGTTGTCGATATCGGGTTTGAGAAGGTCGACGTGACGTGTATCTACGACAGCAGGATCGTGGCACATCGGGATGTTGGGCCGGGGTGGCCAGAGAACAGCGCAGAAGAGGAAAGGGAAATCAGCGGTGGAGAGGTCTTCACACGGAAACTGCAGCAGCTACTGAAGGATAAGATCAACGGGTTCAACCGCGACATGGCCGAGCAACTAAAGAAGAGTAACATTTGCGAAGTGCTGCCTTACGCGCCGGACAAGCCGAAGCTGATGGATCTCCCTACCGAGGATGTCCCTGTTGCTGCGGCTCCTACTATTACTACCGGAGCGGCGGCCGCTGCAGCGGCTTCGGGCACTACGACAGAAGGACCGAAGATTGTCGAACCGGTTGCTGACGAACCTATCTACGACGCTGAAGGAAACTTGGTGGATGATGAGGGCGTGCTCGATGTTGCGAATATCGTGGCTACAGGTCAGACCAGGGAGTTCTTGGCCAAGAAGGAGAAGGAGAAGCAGGAGAAGGCGAAGAAGAAGGGCAAGGACAAAGAGGCGGAGGCGAATAGAGTGATGAGGTTGCCCAACTCTAAGAGGGTGAAGAACGTTTTCCACTTTGAGGAGTACGTTACCGAGGAGGTCCCGATTGTTCAGCCTGCTCCGCCAGCACCGGCACCAGCACCGGCCGCACAGCCTGTATTAGCGACGACAGAGGGTGCTAAGGATGTTGAGATGGCTGATGCGCCCGCGGCACCACCAGCGGAAGGAGCCGAGAAGAAGGATGAGGAAAACAAGGATGATGCCAAGACCGAGGAGCAAAAACCGGACGCCCCTGCTACGGAGGACAAGAAGCCCGAAGAGAAACCATCCGAACCCGCACCAGAACCCGCCACTGAAGCGCCCCAGCCTGCCGAAGCGCCAAATGCCCCCGAGCCCGCTGCTGCCCCCGCCCCTCCCACACCAGAAGGCCCCGTCCCCACCGAGCGCCAAACCAAGCGGATCCGGCGCGACATCGAAGTCGGCCTCGAGCGCTTCGAGTTCGCCGACCGCGCCGAGATCGACCGTATCGTCACCGCCATCTACAACGCCGTCCAGTCCATCGACGACATGTACATGCGCCCTCCCTGCTGGGAATCCCTCGTCTTCGTCGGCAACGGCGCCCGCATCCGCGGTCTCAAGGAAAACATTCTCCAAACCCTACAAGCCCGCCACCTCATCTCCCCCTCGAGCGCAACCATCTTCACCTCCGAACTGCCCTCCAACATCGGCACACCCACAGCCGGCACGCCCGGTCCAGGAGGGGCTTCGACGCCTATCGCCAGCGGCCCAGGCGGTGCGCAGTCCGGCTCGCTACTACAAGCCGCCACTTCCGCCGCGGCTGCGAATGCGAACCTCAGCGTAGGACCCGGCGGTGCTCAGGGATTCCAGGGAGGGGCGGAGGGAAGCCAGCTGGGTCAGCATCACTTCCACAGCCAGACGCCGACGAATATCAAGTTGGCGCAGCTGCCGACGTATTTGAGCGAGTGGACCAAGAACGGGTTCGAGGAGGCCATGTTCCTTGGCGCGCAGGTGGCCGCGAGGATGGCATTTTGCATACATAATTTTGATGCGCAGGGGTTGGAGATGCAGCGGTATATGAGTTTGAGTAGGGTTGATTATAAGTGAGTATTCCCTATAAAAGGAACTGGTGAAAGCGTTTATGCTAACGAGATACCCAAAAAAATAGTGAGTTGGGTCCTAAGGGGATTAGGTTGCATTCTATGTTGGGGTGGTAAAGGCGGACTTTGGTTTGCCTTCTGATGTCTGAAATCGAAAGAGGATGATATACCATTGATTGGGTGGGTGGCCGAGTTGGTGGACAGACAGACAGCTGATGATGTTCTTGAAAGGAGGGAGGATAAGAGATGTACGAAATGAATGGATGAGGAGGTACTCGTGCTGGCTGGCTGGCTGGCTGGCTGGCTGGCTGGTCGTTTGAATCATTTTACACGTTATGCTCACACTTATGCTTACACTTGGCAGGCGTCAGAAAAAAAGAAAGTGTTGTTGAAAGGAACATGGCCAAGTTTAGGTTTCTCTATCCTTTTGGCTTGGGTGATATCCTATCCTATCTTGTCTTTTCTCGTTTTGTATACGATGGTCAACAAGCAAATATGACAAGTGGATTGTGTGTGGTATGGGCTCGAATTTCTTTTACGTTCCTTGCTCTTTCTCCATCACGTTATCTTCCTCTGCCCTGGGCTACGTTTCTTTTGTTGCGGATGATTGTAGGGTGGTTATTCTCGTGCTGACATGTAGAAGTTGGCAAGTGCCATCCATGTCATGTCTTGGGACTGTGGTTAAGCAGGTTGAACGTCTGGCTGTTTGTTTGTTCGTGAACTTGATGGTGGACGTTGGAGGTGAGCTCGAGGATGATGGAGTGGCTAGTGCTATATCTCAGTATATAGGGTCGAGGCAGAGAAAGAGTCTGGTCTGGTCTGGTCTACCTTTCTGTCTGATGGGTGTCTTGGGTGTACTTATGCTTCTTCGTGTATTGTAGGTGAGTTGGGGGCTTCGTGAAGATGGGAGTGGTAAGTGTCGTATTACGAAGGGCAGCTTGGGGGTAGAGGCTTGTGTACCTGACCTCATAGTCAAAAATAACTGTCCCCCCTTACCACATTGGATATGTGAGGATGGGGACAGTATTGTTTTTACTATCACTGTACTTGGACTGATAGTTATCTGTGGTGTGAGTGGGTCTGATGCTGCCTGTTCGTGGTCTGTTGGCAAGTGTCCGAGAAGATGCTAGTGGCAAGTATCATAGCCTCGAGGAAAAGAGCCTTGTCTTGTCTATATGTCTGTCTAACTGATTGACGACCGCTCATGGGTTGACTTCTGCTTCCTCACGGTCTATTGGCAAGTGTCTGGGAAGACGTAGCGGCAAAAGCCACCTCGTGAAGGGTAATTCGGAGGTTCAGACGCGTCTAGTAGCCCGCTGGACCCTCAGATTCGGTGAGTCTCCCGGTCTTCTGGTGTCTGAGATGTCTGCTCACCTTGGGTTAACTCTCCCCTTTTTCACATATGTGGCACATATGTTCATCATATGTCGTGTCATATGTCTGATGACCGCGTGGCAAGTGCCACATCGTGGAGGTGGTTCGGGGGTCTATGTCTAATACGCCCGGTCACTCTCTTGGCCTTCGAACTCGGCCTCCGGGTCTCCTGGTCTGGCCACCGCAGGCCACCTTTCCGCAACCGTCAATCCCCTTCCTAAGCGCCCGGTAAGGCAGAATATGGCACCCCTTAACCCAGCATATACAAGCATATATGTCTGTCCAGTTGGTGACAACTCGGGGATATTGCCCACTATCCTGATATGGATGAGTTTCAAATGTACAGGTTTGGGCTTACTTTACATAGATCTGCCACCTGACCGGCGTTTAGAGGAGATTGATGGTTGCGAAATCCGCGAACTTTAACAATATATCGTTCATATGTCTAACATATGTCGAGAGTACTTCAGGAAGGGCCGAGACGAAGTGGTTCTGAAAACTGGTCTTAAATTTATTCCAAATCAATTTTTAATTAATTTCAAATCTATTTAGGACTCGTCACGACCTCGTCTCCAGAGGACTCCGGAAAAACCAGCCCGTTTGCCTTCCACGTCATGTTTTGCTTCCCGCTCCGCAAGTTCTTTCTGCATGCGTGCCCACATCCCCAGCCTCACCGTCCTCGCAACTCCCTATGGTTTTGGCTTCTTGACACCCGCACTTATCCCAACCTGTCCATCATTGGCTGTCCAGCCAAAATGTTCAGACACATTCAATCACGTGATTTATTGTTTCCCCGCTCGCAAATTTTCCTGCATGCGTACCTACATCCTCAACCTCGTCGTCGTCACAACCTCGGCGTTTTCACAACATCACCTTCGCCACAACATCATCGTCCCCTGCAAACTCAACGTCGTCGCCATATTAGAATCTCACCAGTGTTTCAACTGTTGCACATACTCTGCTCTTTCAATTTCATTGCTGGCTTTCAATTGCCTAAGTTCCCGTTGACGCGTTTCGCTATTGCTGATCGTGCACATCCCCAACCCTGCCGTCGTCGCAACCTTATCATTGTCGGAACCTCGCCGTCGCCAATACTTGAAGCGTTGTTGACGTTTTTCTTTTTAGACACTCGTTTTTCAACAAACTTGCCAACACGCGCTATTCATTCCTACCTAAGAACCCGCAAACGAGCCGTAACACCGGACCATGAGTTGCATTATTGACGCAGACTGGCTGCCGGATGACTTCCCTTGGGACGAGTTCACGTGGCTCTCGAAAGACGATTTGAAGAAACAATGTGCGAAGCGGTACCTTCCTGTTTCCGGTACCAAATCCGTGCTTCGACAGCGACTGCTCGACTACCAGCGTACCCATACCACCGAGGTCAGACCTTGTCCTTTGCGGCTGGAATTATCATTTCCCTCCTGGGGGACGGATTACGGATGCTCGACAAAACCAATACTTCCCATAGTACTTGTTGAGGACTTGAGCACCTTTCGTGTTTGTTTCAAGATGCGTTTCACGTTCGCGACCCATCGAATCACGAACTATAAGGGTGATACTGAAACCTTTGCTCGCGTTCAAATTGACTTTACCAATAAACCGTCTTGCTCTTGTGGCGTAAGTAAACGCGGCTTGCATTTCGAATACACTCTCAAACCACAGCTCCTTGCTGACTTAGTCCTTTTTAGAGACACTTTCTGCAAGATTCTCCCTGCCTCCATGTCGAATGTTCGTGATCAGGCTTTTGCTACCCCTGAGCTGCTTTCCAAGGACAAAGGCTAATTGTAATACCTGCATATAGATCTCCTTCGCAAAGTTTTCAACACCCCGGAGCTTCTTCTCTGGCAAGAAGCCTACCTGACTTCAGAACTCGAATACATCTACAAAAAAAGCCACGCCGCCCTTAGTCGTCTCAAGCCAGACCGTTACCGTCAAGGAAAGCAATGCGTCATATGTTTTGCTGTGCATAAGACGCATGAACTGAATGTCCCTTGCAGTTTGTGCGGATTGCCAACACATCCATTCTGCCTCAAAGCCTTGAGGAAGAAGAGAACATGCGATCCTGCGCAAGCCAGTCAATGCCTCCTCTGCTTGGACAAGACCGCCTTGGCCGTTGAGAAGTACTTTGGTCGGTCTCAGGTCTCCCTGGCTGTTGCCATACCTGTCCCCATCCCCGCCTCCCCAGCCAGCATCAGGGCACCAGCCGGATCGGACCGATCGATAACGGGTGCTATTCAATCGGAGGCTGTATCACCCGACTCCATAGAGCGAAGGACCACCCTGCAGGAGCCACACAGCGCAGCACAGCAAAGGTGCACATCGACGCCGCTCCCAGGGGTCCCGGCGCTCATTTGGCAGGAGATGCACCAGCAGGCACGAGAACAGCAAGAACAAAAACAACAACAACAACAGGAGCAAAGCGAGCAACGACAACGACAAGATGAGCAACGACAACGACAAGATGAGCAAAAGTATAAACAACAAAAACAGCAGCAGCAGGCGCAGGCAAAGGTGCGAGCCATTCGTCCCGTCATCACTGAGGTAAGGGTCTCGGAACTCCCTGGCCCTGCCCGGGTAGAAGTAAGCAGCCGAGCAGCAGCAAAACAGACGCCCATCGCCAAGAAGCTGGTATTTGAGGATCTTTGGGCGAGTCCTGCTGCTTCTGCTGCTGGTAGCGGTGCTCATTCTTCCATTCAATCCTCACCTCCACCCATAAGCACAGCTACCCAAGCTGACGAAAGTGCCGTCAATCCTCCTGGAAATTCCAGAGGCCGCTCTACGGACGCTCCTGAAGTCGCTGGTTTCGCCAATGAACAGGCAAATAATGCCGATGTTCCTGGCTCAGCTCTTGTCGGTGCCAATACAATCATCACAGCCACTCTTGATAATACTAACAACAACAAAGACAACAACACCACTGACAGGAAGGCCGCCAAGCTAGCGCGCAGTCTCAAGCGGCTTGAAGCAAAGTTAGAGCATCTAGAGAGGGAGGCAGATTATTACTACACAGAAGCCGAGAGGAAAGATCGGAAAATTGAGAGAGTTGAAAAGAAGATTTGGAAAATTAAGGAGAAGGCGGAGAAGAGGGCTTTGGCGAGAGGAGGGGATTGAGTGAACGAGCTGTCTATAATGTTGTGCGAGGAAGTAGAAGTTCGAAAATGGAGCGAATGAGGAGTGCTTTTTCTTTTTCCTTTTTCTTTTTTCTTGGATCATATTTGTTCTGTGGTTTTCTCTGATTTTGTCAAGATGTGATATCTTGAACACGGCTCCTGGTGTGCGTTGGAAAGACTTCTATTGCGAGAACTAGAAATAGACGTTGTTTTTGGCTTCAAGTCTTCACGCCTACTTGCTTATTCCAGTCTCTTTCTCTCCAATCAACCAACAGGAGGGTACTCAGCCGGGATATGGCGGTTGACTACAAAGTAAGGGTGTCAACTCTGGTCCGGCCACGTCCAGTTATCTACCGCCATTCACCATGTCCTATGCAGTTGGGATGAAACGGTGGGCATCACCATTCACTGGTGGCCCCCAAGTAATCGGGGTGCTTCCCGGACATACTCCCAGACCGGTTGCCTGGGGCAATGGGCGAGCCGGTAGTCGTGGCAGCTGGCAGCCTGGCATGAGACTGGAAGCCCGGGACTTCGACGGTCCTGCCCCTCCGCGCACAAAATCTGCCGTGGGTTTTCCCTTGAGCTTGCACAACTTCCACTCCAAGAGCACCAATCTAAACTCCCGCTTCGCAGAGTTGTCCGGAACGTCGCCTTCTTTTCTCAACACTGGCTCCCACTTCTTCCTTGATCGGGTAGGATATCCGATACCAATCCTCCTCTAAAGGGACACCCACTGTGCACAAAGCGACAACGGAGGCACCTAGGTCAACTTATTTGCCAAACGACGCCCCTTGGCGGAAGTACAATCTCGGAGTCCTCCAGGAACAATGTACGGCACGCAACCTGCCATTCGAAGGAAAAACAAAGAGGCAGCTTCAAGAGCATCTATTGAGATACCACCACACCACACGCGTGGTAGAGCTAAGGCCAGAGCCCTGGATGTTCAGGCCCTTTGAGCCCAGCTACTCGAGGCTTTTGAATCGAGCTCAAGTTGAGAATCTCCGGCTTGTAGAGGTCAGAGATGTTACCGGTCAGGTTGAGGATGGTCGCGTCAGGGGAAAGGCATTCCTGATCGCGCAAGAAGGAGCCCCTGAGCTTTTTACCGTTACTTTCGACAACCGCCCTACTTGCACCTGCATCGAGTACTTGGTAAGACTATTTCTTGCCCTTGATTTATTGTGTCCTGTGTCATGTTTTATTGTTTGCAAGTTCCTACTAACCAAACATCCTCATAGCCCCAATGCGTTCATATCATGTGTTCGTTACATCCACCTATCGCATGTCACAAAGATGGCAACTGACACTCCTCTGCAGACCTTCTACGGTACGTTCTCAACGTCCCAGAGCCGCTCCGTTGGCAAAGAGCGTTTCTAGACTCCGAGATCTTGGACATCTTTAAAGGCAGTCACCCCGTCAAGGCTCTGGATTCGCCCGAGCGGTACACCGGTTTCCCTGGACTGTGCCTAATCTGCTTCAAAGGCCAAGCAAATCACCTGTCTTGCCTTACATGCGATACAGGGCTGCACATACCCTGCCTTTTCGTTCTCACCAGCAATAGACAGACACCTGGAACACATATATGCACGGTCTGCCTGGACCGTCATGAATGGCAAAACTTTCACTCGCGCCAGGAGCGTGTTGAAAGAAGAGTGATCGAGCCAGGACGTGCTGTTGCTGGCGTAGACTTGAACCCCGATGTTTCAAGCTCTTCGAGTGACGCATCTGAGGAGGACGATGAAAGCTCCAGCGAAGAAGACTCCTCGGATGAGGATCCTGACGAGGAAGCGTCCCGCAGAAGCGAGCAGCCCAATAATGCACTTCGCCAGCCCATCAATCAGCGCCACTCTCTCTCACCCCCCGTTTTGATCAAGCAAGAGAGATTCTCTCCTCCCCTTGGCCTATCACTCCTCTCTTCACCCCCGCGCCGTCAGCAACAACAACCCGCCAGCTCGCCGCTGCGTCGCAAACAACCATCTAGAGCCGCCAAGGACATTGGCCTAGTCCGACAGAGTCTTGCCGCGGCCGCCGAAGCTCCAGCTCGCACACCTCGTCGCAGTCAGGGACGTACGCCCGCTCCTATATCCGCGGGTAGCCAACAGGTCAATGTGCCAGCTCAGATCATCACTCCCGTGCCGGTACCGGTCATCCCGGAACAGGCTTTGTTGCAGATGCAGCAGCGAAATTTCCGGCAGGCTGTCCACAACTTGGAAGCCGGAAGACCTCAACCCGGAGCCAGCATTGCCTCCCGTGCTTTATCGTCTGCACTCAGTCGCCCACAAGACCCCGCGACTCGCACTTCTGCGACTCGTACGCGTGACTCTGCTGCTTCGGTTTAGGAACCTGTCGCTCCAGCTCCAAGCGCAGCTCCCCAGGCTGTCGAGGCGTCTGTTCCTCCGGTCGTTGTTCCGGCTCCTGGTCCTGATGTCCCTGCTGGCTCTCGTGCTTCCAGCCCCGCTACTGCCAGCGCCAGCGTTAGCGGCAATATTGAGAAGAGAAAAGCAACGAAGTTGGCACGCAAGCTCAAAAGCCTGGCTAGGGAGTCAGCATATGTCCGTGAGCATGCGGATCGCGAGCTAAAGAGGCTCGCGAAGAAGAGTAAGCGCCTGGAGAAAAAGGCCAAGGCTCTGGCGAAGCGAAACAAGGCAGGCAGTGATGAGTGAGGCTGGTGAGGTCAGGCATTGTGCAGAGACAAAGGGTAGTGGTGTGTAATGGTAATGTGTGTTTGGTGAATAACTTAAAGGAGATGGAAAATACCAAGACGTATGGAGGTGTAAGAGCAGAAGAACGAAGCATTCAAGAGGAGTTACATATCAGAAGTTGAGAAGGACCAGACAATCGGCTGTTCATGTACAGAATCAAAATGGGCCGCAGTCAAGAAAGAGAGGAACAGTCAATGAATAGATAGAATATAGGTAGCTCTTTCCCTCTTTTGGACCCCCCCAGGAAACTCCTTGATTCCCAAGATGCCCCAACGTCATTACTTTTTGCGGAAGGTATATCAAGGTGAGGCCTCTTCCGAGATCAATGCTTGCAGTCGCTCCTTCCCAAGAGGCAAGAGCGTGCTTCAAGACGTGACGTGGCCCAGTGAACAGATAAGTACCCCTCCTCGATGAGAATGTACCTGTCTCCGACCTGTCCGAAGCACCTCCAGGACCGGACCTCTGAAGTGAGTCCAGAGCGAACCCAAGCTGAGTGAATGGCCCGCGTCAAATCAGGGCGCGGTACTTTGTTTGCCCTACGCAACTTTGTGACCCTGCGCACGCGGCAGATTTGTTTTCTTTCTCTCTTCCTCCCACAACCACGCATGCACCAGGACAACAAATTTCACTGTCGTTGCATCACCATTTCTCTTGTGGCCTCGCTACCTTCCTACGTTCTTGATGCGTAGTTCCTGTCATTGCTGGGATTTCCGCCACAACCGTATCCCTCTCCGTACGCCTAGAGATCACCTCAGCTGACAGGAGTCATGGGGGATATGAAGGAGCACCCCCTCCTGACGAGGTTTCCCGATGACGCCAAATGGGCACTGTTCGGCGACTCGACATTGCACGGGCAATGCTCAGTGCGCAACATTCCCAACGACGAAGCCAGCCGGAGTGACATGATACGTCTTCTACAGAAATACCAGCAGAAGCACGTCACCGAAGTTAGGAAAATTCCCTGGTGCCGCAGTCCTGAATTTGCCACTGGCAGTGAAAAACGTGAGCACTTGGCAATGTATTCTACCTACCTAATAGTACGGGTCAAAGACAAGAGTTGCTCGGACGGGACGGTTTTTAGGAAGGACTTCAGCCTTCTCGACAAGGAGGGATCAATCTATGTTGTTGCCTTCAAGGAGATACCGACTTGCACCTGTTCATCACAATCCAAGGTAAGTTCATTCACAAATTTGGCTCATGGTCTTCGGCTAAAGTTGATGCAGTTTCATTGCCAGCACATCATGTGTTAGTTGTATACCTCATAGCCTCACCTGTAAGAATACTCTTGATCTCGAAACTAACGACCAACTTTCAGATATCCTCCGCTATGTGCTCGAATGCCCGGATCCACTCCGCTGGCAAGCAGCATTTCTGCCCACGGAGCTCGAGATTATTTACCGCCATAGCTACGCCGTCTATGTTATACCTCTCACCAATGGGAAGCCTCAGACTGGGACCTGTATCCTATGCTTTCAGTCTGTTTATGCCTGGCAGTCCTCATATCGTTGCGAGACATGCGCCAGAGCTATGCATTCGAAATGCGCGAAGGCTGCCGTGGAAGTGAGGGAGTTAAAGCAAGCGACCCATTGCTGGGTTTGCGAGGATACCGCTGAGTGGAACATCGAAAAGTACCGTGAACAGAATCATATACCGGCTGTCACCATGGCCAGACCTCTCGTCACAGGTGCCACTACTACCGCGACTATCGCCTCAGCACCACCTGCACCGACAACGAATCTTGTCCATAAATCCATCGAGCGCAAGGATAAAGACGATCATGACATGAAAAGCTCGAACCCATCCAAAGAAAAGGACGGTCGAGACACTCAAGTCGAGAACAATCCCACGTTGAACGAAGGCACTTCCCAATTTGTACAACCGCCAGCAACTTTCTACTCCTTGTCATCCAAGTTTCCAACTTCTTCTCGATCTGCTCTCAGCCAGCAAGAGCTCCTGCCTTCTGCCAGTCCCCAACAACTCTCTCAAGCGTCTAAAGACGGAAACCCTCAAGCCAAGGACTCTATTTCCATTCCTGCTGTACATCCACAGAGGAGCATGTCTGTTCCGCTCACGAGTAATCCCTCGCCTATGCAGATGGAGCTGAAGCAGCATAAGGCACAAGAGCGAGCAGAAAAGTCACTACGGGGTGTTTCCCAAGACTTTAGTTCGGCTTTGGTCAAGTCCTTGTCTTCTGTTCCTTCAGTTTACCATCCAAACTCGAACGCCTCCGCTCCTCGAGCCCCCACTCCTGAACAAGCCGGTCTGACACCGGTCCTCCCAGCTGATGGCGTTGATGCTCACAATTCTGCTGCTACCACTGCAGCCGTCACTGCCCAGACCGCTCCTCCTGTTTCTCCTGACGACATCTCAGGTGATCTCGGTTGTTCTTCGCCAGTTAGTAACAAAGATGCCGATGTTCTCAAAAGGCAAGCAGCCAGGTTGGTGCGGAAGTGCCGTCATCTCGAAAGGAAATCGGCTCGCATTGAGAAGCACTTGAAACGCGGAATGGATAAGATTGACAGGGAGTACAAGCTAGAGCTCATGATGCTTAAGGAGAAGCGCAAGATCAAGTACATGAAAATTGAAAAGAAATGGGAGCATGATATGAAGGGACTCAAGCATCAGAGAGAGAAGTTCGAAGAGAAGTTGAAGGATTTGGACTGAGGTTTTAGAGCCAATGGCAGGGAACGTGTTGAAGGAGAGTGGGAGACGCCAGTTCACTGTTCGAGAAGCCCTCAAGAGGACCGGGGGTATTTTCCGCTGTCGGTTGAAACGTGAAGGGTGTAAGGGATACCAAGTTTCGGTTTGTACCAGCATGGTCATGATGGAGACCTGGATGTCAGATAACATGTTCGAGACTGTGGAAATGTGAAACAAACGATGATGATGGGCATAGGATTGATGTATTCCAAAAGAACAGAAGACTGTACGTAGCAAGGACGAATGCCCAGACTGAACATAAGACAGGTGATAATTCTGACACGAAGGTCTTGGTGAAGCGACTCTTCTATCACTTGCTTCTTGAGACGCATGCCCTAGTTATGATCCTTTGTCTTGTGTTATCCGTACTTAAGAGATCATCATGGTGCAAAGAAGAAAGAGGATGCAAAAAGAAGTGTGGCCCGTATCGGATCCAAACCGATATCTTCCTCAAGAACCTCAATCAGAAGTCGAATGATTCCACCTCAGGGATGCTGCCATTCCCCTCACACCAATGAATTCCAGAAAGATGGCCAATACCCGGAGCTCATGCAGTTCAGTTGGGGTTGGAATTATGCGGGTGATGCAGGAGTGACGGCAGGCAAGAGACACCAAGTAGAAAACTGCATAAGAGGGACCTTGACGGCTGCCAAGTGAGGAGGCAAGTGCCGCTAAGAACGGAGTGTCTACTCGTCAAGCTTCTCGAGATCGCTCCTTCCCTAAATATCCAACCAGGTAAACTGGCAACTCGGCATGGAAAAGCTCCGGGACCGAGAACTTGAGGTGAGTCCGAAGGTGAGCTGAAGTTACTAACCGGCAAGTCGGTCGCGTTGACGGAAGCACGCGTCGGTACCCTCGAGTTCTTCAATCTTGACCACCCAACCAGGAATTTATGCCTGTGTTTTTCTCTTGCAGCATTGCCACTGCTACTTGCTTCTATAACCGAAACCGTCACTCTCGTACTTCGCCCATCACTTTCATCACGCTTGTCTCTTCATTCCATTTTCTTTCCTCGAAGAAACTCCCCAGACCCATATGATCATGGCGGGCTCTCTCGAGGGATGGCTACCCAACGATGCGCCTTGGAGTGAACTCAGCCACGAAGTACTGCTGGAGCAATGCGCAATGCGAGACCTTGCGACCACCGGTGATTCTCCCGAATTACTCCAGCGTCTCTTGACCTACAAGCACGACAACATATCCGACAGACGACGCTCTCCCTGGCTGTCACAGCCTCGCCATCCCGCTGACTACAAAAAGCATTGGAAGGAGGCAGAGAGCGCGACCTTTCAGATTGTAAGGATCGAAGATATGAGTGTGTCAGGTCGATACCTCAACAAGCACTTTACCATCACCGACAAGGAGGGCGCGCTCTTTACTCTTTCATTCTCCAAAGAGCCTGCTTGTACTTGTCACGCCGGCGTAAGTTATTTCCTTGTCCAGCCTATTGCGACAATAAAGCTTCGCGCCAGGTCACCACTAACGGATCATAGACCGCTCACTTTCGATACGTCAACATCACTTGCGTTCACATGATTTGTTTGTTATCCCCACAAATCCCCTCAACCAGTACGTTGTTGGCATTATCTGACACCCCCCACAGATGTCATGCGCTTCGTGCTCAACAGTGCCGGGCATTATTGTTGGCAAGACGCTTTTTTATCCTCCGAACTGGAATCCATTTATCGCCACAGCCACGTCGTCCATACTCTCCTTACAACAGGCTGGCAGAACCCCAATGATCAATGCACTATCTGCTTTAAAGAACTTCGAGATCGAATTTTTCGTACGACGCACGTCACATGCGGTCAATGTGGAAGAGCAGCACACAAGGTCTGTGTTGGCGCCGTCAAGCGAGTAAGGCAACCGATCCAGGATGACCAGTGCTATATCTGCGAGGACAGAGCTGAGTGGGGAGTCGAAAAATACTCTGAGCAGAGAAAGGCTCGGCCGGCTGTTCCCGTCAACACGACCGTTACTCCGGCGGTATCTCAACCAGCAAAGAAAGTTGGCCAACACTCTTTCCAGACTTTGTTCAAGATGAAGAGCGAGGTTCATTAAGCCACGGAGACGTTGGTGACGAACAACTCGATAACAAAACCCGCAGTATCAGCCATTGTTCTTCCTCCGACGTGTCTTCAATATCTTCTTTATCCGATCTTTCATATCTTAGCCAGCTCTTCGGCAAAAAAGAAGCGTCATACTCTCCACATTATCAGCAACCGAAATGTCAACCTACCTCCCATAAAACTGATGGACAACAGGTGTCCATCGAATCGCGGAGTTGGCCCCCTCCTTCCGTTCCTTCAACCCAGCCGATTCGACCAAAAACTGCAAATGTGCGGATGAGCGCACCTGTTCCACAGAGTCATACGCCTGTTCCACTCCCGGCTATAGCATTTGCGTGGAAGGAACAAAAACAGAAAAAGCAGCAACAACAACATACATAGGTTGCTACCCGAAACAAAAGCCTGTTCCTGCCTACTGACCTGTCTCTTCAGCCGAACTCGCCGGTTTCCATTCGAGTTAAACCTATCATTGAAGATGAGGCGAGGTATACTCCATCCATTTCTGATAAGCCTGCTGACAGTGTCGACCGTCAACTGTCTACCATAAATAGCAAACCTGCAGACATCTCAGCTAATGCCTCCTCTCCTGCTGCTCCATCCATTACATCCCAGTCGCCAACTTCCGGTGCTCGACCTGCTGCTGGTTCTTTTGCCGATAATGGAACCGCCACCGCCAGCAAATCTCCTTCTACAATCAGGACCAGAATCCAAAATCATCAGCGAAAAGTGGGAGAGCTAAAGCAGATATTTGAGCGTTTGGCAAAAGAGTCAAAACAGTGTGACGTACCGTTACAAGCACAGGAGTATATCGCTGGGATGAACAATAAGCAACGGTAGTAGTAGCCAAAAGGTACTGATCGATTGTAGAAGCTATTGCTTGCTGAAGAACCCAGTATGCCAGGAAGCCCGGGAGGGCTTCCTTATATGTTAGGTCTTCAGCCGGACCCGTGGACCCGAGTTTCCCCCTCGGGTCCCGGTTTGGACCCGGCCTTCAAGACCGGTCCTTCGGGTCCTGTCTTCGGGTCCTACCTTATTGGTTGGTTTTATCTAGATACATGATTGGATCGTAACAAACAGGAGCTGAAAGTTATTAAGAAGCAGCACAAGCAGGAGCTAAAGGAGAAGAGGAAGATCAAGAATAAAGCGAAGCGAGAGCTGAAGAAGCTGACAAGACAGGGGAGAAAGCTACAGAAGAAAGCTGAAGCGGAGCCCAGACATACTGAGGAGAGTTCTGCTGAGTGACCCGCTGTGGGATTGACAGAAGCATTGACAAGGATTATGACGGCATATCGAGGTTTGGTTCTGTGGAGAAGTATAGAGGGAAATGGGAAGATATGTTAGAACAAGTGCGGAAAGCAGGATGGTGTTAAGACCTGATGCCAGGCTCCCATGGTGAAGAGGATGCGAGGGCAATAATAGAAACTCGTGTATGGTTGAGAGTGTTGGATTAGTTATTTATGTGTAATGAATGAGCGACAGGCTTGGAAGTCATGGAGGTTATATGGTGAGATAATACGATCATCTCTCGTTGTTCTAAACTGGGGCTATGGTTCCCGTGTAGATTATCTGATCTCGAAGGGATGGATACATGTTCAAGAGAAATGTGTAATAAAATAGGGAGCTGCATGTTCTGTGAGTAATTAGTGCTCATCAGGAATACATCAAACGAAATACCGTACGGGGAGGAGAGGGGTGCAGCTTCCGGTCAATTGACAGATCGAAACTCCAGACGTTCAAGGTCCCGTTGGTAAAATAACGGACGGTCACTTGACCGGAAGTTGCACCCCCCTTCCTCTCCGTACGATAAGGTGAGCCCGTCATTACGCGGCCTGCCCCCAGGTACCTACCTGTCTCCCGGCAGTCCAAGACAAAAGACGAGCGCATCGGGTGTTTCGAACTGCGACTCGGAAGGATCGTCCCGAAGATAGTCCGGGACCGGACCATCGGCCTGATTTTGAGGGGGACCCCAAGGTAAGTGAACGCCCCTGGTCGTGACATCAGCAGCCAAATTTCCTTCGAGTTCTTCTCACCTCACGGAGGGGGCGATTTCTTTTCCTCTTGCAACCGCGGCATCACCACGTCGAAAGTCCACCTCACAGGCACTTTGACTGTGGCACGTCGTGTACCACTTTCATTTATCGTCAAGCCCGCTACCCCGTGCGGTCATTCGATAATTTACTCACGGTAGCCGCTTCGACTGCGAAGGAACTGCGACCATGCCGCATCCACTTGAGGAGTGGTTGCCTAACGACGCGCCTTGGGCGAGGCTCTCCACGGCCGTATTAGAGAAACAATGCACTATCCGCAATTTGCCGACCACGGGACACTCAAAGGATCTCGTACAACGTCTCTCAGCTTATAGCCAAGCTGAAATGAACACGTCCGACAACAAACGTCTTCACTCTTGGCTGACTTGGCCTGTCAACCGCGCATCGTATGAGGTAGCCGCGTTAGCGGCGGGAAAAGCGAGGTTACAAGTTGTACGCGTTGTGGACAAACCTGGTCCCAAAAGGGACAGTTTAAGAAGGGATTTTGAGATCTGCGATGAACGACTGTGGCATAATCATGCCTGGGAGAAGCGAGAGCCTGTTACAGTTTCAATTGATACTGTTCTCCAATGTGATTGTCCTGTAAGTGCCTTCACAGTTCTATTTCTGATCAAAAAAAGGTCTGGCTCAAGAGGTTCACTAATGCATCCTAGGAAACGGGTCTTTGTGAGCACAAAATCTGTTCGTTTCACCTAAAATATTCTCCCCTTCAACTGTTGTGGTTCATATCATCTTCTAACAAATTCCATACAGTTATTTTGCGGTTTGTTCTTAACTGTCCCGAGCCTTATCTCTGGCAGAGAGCTTTGCTGCCTTCTGAACTTCAAACAATCTACCAGCATAGCCACGCCATTCGCGCTTTTGGCCCCAACAACTCGGAGATTCAAATCGGGATTTGCATGCTTTGCTTCCGAGATTATAACCAATCCCTGGATAAGGTATACCATTGCTTGCAATGCGGAAGAGGAATGCATTCCCAATGCAGCTTCAATTCCTGGCGAGTGAGAAAACCTATGAGAGAGGACACTTGCTGGATCTGCTACGATATCGAATGGGACATCGAGAAGTTTTCTTGGAGCAATCGGGTCTTACCCGCTGCTCCAAGCACTGCACCTGCTGTACCGGCACAAAATGAATCAGCAGTAAATGCTACCAGAGAGCTGATCCAGCGTACAGAGCCAGAGGACGATGACTCTAAAACCTTAAGCTCATCAAGCGACGAGGACTCCGAGGACTCCGAGGAGGTACTACCCGGCACCACTGCGTATCTCGACCGGGAATTTCCCTGGTTTTCGTCCTGGTTATCGTCTTCACGCAGCGCTTCTGACCCCGATAACCACTCTCCAATGCACCGGGAAAGCGCAATCAAAGCCATCTGGGGTCATCAAGAAAAGCGCAGCACTGAGCACGTCCATTCAGAGTAATGAATCTATCCCATCTCCAGACGATCCAGCACTTATTTGGAAGGGAGCGCCGAGAACATGCGAGCAGCAGCACCAGGAGAAGAAGCGGCAGCAAACTGCTCTTCTGAATCTCTCTGCTACCCCGAGTCATGTCTTGTTTGCTCTGAATCCCAGCGAAGGCAATATGAAACCATTAGAAGTCGCCACTGCTCGTGATACCGCGAGAATTCCCGCTGGGGATTCTGCCTCTCCTCGCGCATCCTCTTCAGCTGTCCAGGCTCTTGCCTCCTCGGCTGTAACCACTACTGCTCAGCACAATCAAGCAGACACTACCTCCATTTCTGCTCACAATCCCTCAATCGCAGGCGGTATCTCCCATGCCCCCCAAGTCAGTGTTAACTCTACAACTGCTACTTCAACTAAATCTGCCGATGCTACCAGTGCTCAGCAAACTACCAGCATTGCCACCGACAATCCTGCAAGTCCTTCTGCACCTCTTCCGACTGACCATTCTGCTTCCACTCCCGTACTTTCTTCCTTGGGTATGCATGCCTGTGGAGACCATACAAAAGCAATGGAGCTCGTCCTGGAGTGCAGTCGTTTGGCAAAGAAATCTGTCGAGATTCAGAAGAAATCGGAGCGCGAGGCGAAGAGGAGGAAAAAGCGTAGACGAGAGATGAAGAAGACCAAGAGAAAGAGCAAGAAGAAAGTAAAGCGGCTCGAGAAAAAGATCGAGAGCTTGGAGAAGGAAGTGTTGAAGGCTTTGGCGGGCCCGGAGGTAGTGTAGGGGGCTGCTGCGTGAGGGAAAATTCGGTTTGTTGTTTGAGTAATGTATCATGCTTCAGAAAAGTACGGAAGACGCCTGTCTTTGCTCATACCTTGAGGGTTCGGTAAAGAGGCTCAAAAGGATGAACAAGAACCTCGTGAACCAGTTGATGAACTTGGCAGAACAGGACTCTGAGGAGGGCAGCTCCCGAGCTCCTTCCATGTTACACATGGAATGACGGGCATTTGGCCATCATATGATCTTAGAATTTCCACCAAAGGGAGAAATACGGACCGAACCCAACTTCTCAAGTGGTGGAAGGCGCTGCTTGCGAGAAGTTGGGGAGTGTCTTTGTGGAGACCTGTTCATGGATGGCCATGCGCAGATGAAGCGATACGCGCTTATGACCATGAAGACACAAACAACGAGAATAGAAGGTAATTCAATTTGAAAGCAAAAGTTACCTCTGTATTAGTAGTGTGCAATATGTGCCTAGGTGATTGATCTCCGTGGGACATGTGTTTGATAAGGTTCTCGTTTTCCATTTCCTCCAATTTGCCGTGAAACGCAACGTACGAGGCAGGCGCAAGTTGAGAGAAATATTATCAATTTCGCCTACATGAAGCAGCGACATTTTGTTGGGATGAACTGGCCTGGAGGAGGATTGTGTAGTATGATGTGTACCTCTATGTATCAGCATATAGCAGCCCAATAAATACGTCTAAAGGCATACTTTGAGACCTCACCCCGGTACCCGTCGGTCTCAGAGCTCTTTCCATCCTTGGGGCAAGTTCAGTATCCTTGCCCTGTGTACAAAGGTGTGACGCGTCGACGCGGCTCTGTTCTGGGTACGGGTGCTCTTACTGATTTTCTCTCTCCCACATCACCCATCTCCCTCTCGCGTACACAAAATCTTTTCGTGCAATTCACATTTTCACTCCTACCCCGCGACTTCTAAAACCACAACACTCTCCTCTTTCCATATTTCAAGGATTACTTGATTTCCTTTCTCGTTCCTCCCTCCGTTCAGCAACCCCGCTTACTTCTTTCATGGTTCACTTCGCCCTCAGAAAATGACCATGGAGCGCACCCTGCCGGCAGATTGGCGACGTGATGATGCGCCTTGGGAAGAACTCCTGTTATCAACTCTGGAGAAGCGCTGTGCAGCGCGCAATCTTTCAGTCCTGGGCGGCCGTTCGGGGATGATAAAGCGACTGGATCACTATCAAAAGTCCTTCGGCACTGAAAACAGGATGATGTCCTGGCGAAATCGATGGAGCGGTTCTTTGCATGAAGACACGTATGAACACGCTTTGCAGCTGGCGGATCGCACGAAGTTCCGGATTATACATGCCCAAAACATGATTAGTCAAGACACAGGTTATCATTACAAGCACTTCCATGTGACTCACGAGGGGGACGAACTTTTCGAGGTTGTGTTTGGCCGTTTACTCTGGTGTAACTGTAGAGGATGGAAGGATGCATGTGTCCACATAGTCTGTTAGTACAACGCAATGCGTCTCTCACAGAAAAAGGTTGAACTACCTATACTTCATAGCATCGTTAACGTAACGCTGCAGATGTCCTCCGCTATGTCTTCAACTGCCCCGAGCCTCTCCGTTGGCAACGGTCCTTCCTTTCCACTGAGCTGGAGGACATTTACCGCCACAGCTACGCGGTTCGCACTCTGCTTCTTACCAATTGGAAAAGCCAGGATCCTCTCTGTGCTCTCTGCTTCAAGGCCGTTGGTCCCACAGAAGGGCATTCGACCTGTTGCGTCACGTGTGGAAGAACGATGCACACCGAATGTGTGGGTGTTGCACAGAAAGCGAGAGCACTGACCAAGGAAGAGCAATGCTGGAGGTGCGAGGACGAGACTGAATGGGGTATCGACAAATACTGTGAGCCTGGACAAGTCCAGTATCCTCTGATTGTCCCTGGCACCAAAGCTGCCCCTCAGACACTACAGGGACCAGGTGGAAATACCGCTCAGCAGCACAATGAGCGCGAGGCAAGCGATGCTGCTGGCAGCAAAGGCTTTGGCTCATCACGCGGCGAAAACTCAGGTCAACGAGCCAACAATCCTCCTTCCATCAGCGCGGATCCTGTCCCTAGTACCGCTCCAGCTCCAGCTTCTGCTGCTACTTCCGATACCGCTCTGGCTCCGACTTCCGGTACTGCTTCCATCAAAAATCCCATTTCAACCACCACGAACGCCAACAACAGCGACAGGGACTCAGCCAAACTAGTCCAAGATCACAACCATATGACAAAGAAATTAGCTGAGATGCGGAAGCGTGCCAAGCGTGAACATCAGAAACTTAACAAGAAGCATAAGAAGGAGATTAAAAAGCTCAGAAAGAAGAGCAAGCGAGAGCTCGAGAGGCTTATGAAGAAAAGTAAGAACATGGAGAAGAAGGCTAAAAGCTTGGGTGGAGGGCGTGAAGGGAATGATGACGCCTGAACAATTTGGACTGAGTGGGACTACTGCCCGAGAGAGCGGGATCTTTAATGACAATACGTGGCTATTATTTGCTTGTCGAGGACGATACGATAACTATTTTGGAGTCGTGCGAGTATGGATTTGTTCAAGGGCTTGAGCGCTTGATGCCCTTATGGCAAGGAGAGGCCGGAGCGAGTGATGATGCTATAACCTCGCTCACTGCGAGCGAGAGATGCATGGAGGAACACTGAGATGGGAATGTACAGATTGTTGAGGTAGATTGTCGGTTTGTGTTCATGTATCATTGAAGTCATGGTAAGATATGTCGGGAGATGTTGAGTACCCCCATGGCTTCGGTATGAGAATGTACGGGGAGTTGAGGATCCGTCAGACAAATAGATATGTCGGAAAGTGCTTTACACAAGAAAACAGAGAGAGAAAAAAAGGAGAAAAAAAAAGAAAAAATTTGAAAAGAGAAATCGCTTTGCTCCCAGGTTTCACTTCCTCTTCATGACCACCCGGGCGGTGGGTTGGTTGCCGAAGTGGTCGTCAAAGCAGACCGGACACAGATAGTGCAGCAACGCCCTGGTGTGGGTCAGAAAGGCCGATACTAAACTTAAAGGGATCACATTCCATGATTCAACATGCATAAAGCAGAGTCACTTGCCTTGGAAATTGTTCCTTTCAACAATTTACAGGAAGTCAGGTTCAAAGATATATCAAATCTGCTCGGATCGGCAATGAGAGTATACAAGTACCTCTACGTACCAAACGTCTATTGTACTGACCGTGACCTGCTCGGTTTCTTTTCACAACCACTCGCTTGCTTGCTCAAAGTTGCTCCTTCCCACACTATCTGTAGTGTTAACATGCAAATGCAGGTGATTTCTGAATGCCGCCCTCCCTCGTCACCCCCACGGTCATCTTTCTTAGGACTACCACTGACGCCCGCGTTACTGCCTCTGCGGTCAGCATCGTCCTTATCTTCACCCTTCGTTTAGAATCTTTGCGTTGTTTCTTTCTGGATATTTAAAAGCAAAGAACCCCATGCCCGAATGCAAATCTTATCTATTTCGCTTTCGTTTTCTTCTTCCTCCACTCGACAGATGTACCCGTCGATATCTTCAAGACCAGACTCTTATCCAAAATCAAACATACATCACCCATAATCGAGGCCAAAATGCAGTCAACGAACCCAGAACACACCCAAGGCTTTTCAGTCTCCAATCCGTTTACCAGATTCATTAATTATTGTCCCCACGACGTACCGTGGGAAAAAGTCACCAATGCCGAGGCTCTCAGGACCCATTGTTTGAGGCGTGGACTTCTGGACGATCGTGACGTTCCAGCACTCCAGCAACGCCTAAAGGAATACCAACAAGCACACAAAGACGAGAACGAAGATCGAGGTGTGCCTTGGCGGCTTACTCCTGATGAAGCGTGGATACTCGCCAATGCGACCAGAACCAGGTGTCAGTTAATCCAGGTTGTGGACAAAAGCTATGTGGGTTCGTGGGGGCGTTGGCTTGAGAAGCGATTCACCCTCCACACCAGACGTTTGGGTCTCTTTACCGTTATAATTCGCAAGAGCCCCACATGCTTCTGCCTAGGCAATGTTAGTTATCCTGCCCGCACTTGAGTTACTACCTGGAGCTAGATATAATAGCTTACCAACGTTCCCAGACCATCGAAGTCAATGGAAGACGAAGTTGCGAGCATATCCTTTACGTTCTCCGCCACATTCTTCGCTGCCCGGAACCGCTCCTTTAGCAAAATGCGTTTCTATTGGAGGAGCTGGATTACATCTTTGCCGCCAACCCTTTTTTCTACTTTTTCCCCAACCAAAACCCAGGGCGGGTGCCTCAAGTGAACGTTGTCCCTTCCCCGGCATGCGTCATCTGCTTCCAGGAGGCCGGCTCCATTCCACTCCAGGAATGCACGAAATGTGGTCATATGGCTCACTGAGAGTGTTTCGACATCTTCAATAGTGCCAGAAAGCCTAGCCAGCCCAACATTTGCGTTCTCTGTGAAGACGAGAAGCACTGGGCTTGTCCTGAGTGGGTGTGTAGCCCCCAAAGCGAACCTGAAAAGTGGATAGACAAAGAACACATGGACAAATCCCTTCACGAGACCAAGCTGGCAGCAATGCTTAACTACGAGTATAAATCGAGAAGACACAAATGATGGACGAAACAAAACGACGGAAAAAAGGAGCCATATGGGCATAACGAACTACTCCGGAATCACATGCCTGAAAGAGGAACGCAAGTATTGACGGATGGAAGATGCTGATAAAAGAGAGAACTTGGGCGGCAAGAAAGCGGGCTGTTGGCTTGAAGCGGAAGGACTGGAAGGCTATAAGGTTTTGAATAAGACGTATGCGGTAAGGCGCTTGAGTGTTCCTTAGATGAAAGGAATGGAAGCGGCTTTATCATGTCAATGGTGAGGGTGAAAGCAGTATTCGTTGAAGGTATACTTTGACGTACCACGGCACAGGGCTCGAGGACAAATGGCTTGATGCTGATGCAAGATCGTGTATGCCCGGAAGATTGGCCCAGAGCTGAGGAGAGATCGAGTTGATGGTGGTAATTGCCGCATCGGAAGGGACCAAGAGCGCATGTATATAGGCAGTATGTGTTTGAAAACACGTTCCTGGCATTCTTTAGTGAAAGTCTCTTCATTATGCATTCACCATCTGGTCGTGATGCCGTGTCAACAGCCGAGTGTCAAGCGACATGTCTGAGCCTCTGGAGATGTGACATGGCAGACAGTGGCCGTTTTTGTCGACCTTGACCACTCACTTGGATCCGCGAACCTGGAGTTCGGGCTTTCAGAGAAAACTATTGATCATTGCATGAACCAAATAAACGCCCATGAAAGAAGACTAGATGGTCACGACCCGGTGTTAACATCAACATGATACGGTAACGGCCTGACGCGTCCACCCCCGCGTAAACTTCGGTTCCCTGTGGACAGTCGTCCTGCAACTCTTTCCTGCAACTTCCTGCACCTTCATTCGAGTTCCAACCCAACAACCTCAATCGTGCAGCTCTTTCTGGGGTGTCCACACAACAAATCCATTGCGGCCATCTACGGTAGTGTACCTTGCTAAAAGCTTCGGTTCTTCTTCCACATCACCATTGCTCGTTACCTGCCTGCTAACTCGAGCACCGCAAACACGCCCTAGAGCGCCTATCCCTTTGTGGTTCTCCGAAAACAATGCCTTAGACGGACTCTCTCTCTCTAGTAGGTGATGCCAACAATTACGCTTCCGACTCGAGAACTATCATCAGCGCCACAAACCCCAGGATCGTGCCCTTCCCCCCTGGCGCGTTGCAAAGAACATTCCTACATCAGAGCAGAGACCGAGGCTTTTGCGCAAACAATCGGGTGCTGAGATTACTCGATCGCAGCTGCTAGGGGAGGATCAAAAGCCATTTACATCTTGTTGGCGGGAGCGATACACATATGGCGGATCACGCCTATACACCTATGTTACAATCGGCAAAAACCCAACTGTTCACTGGGCTTCCAAGGTATGTGAGCGATTCAATCTTGCTGGTGCGCTTGAAGGATCTTTGCGCGACTGCTGGTGATGTTTGGGCGAATATGTAGAACACAAGACAGACGCCGGCTACAGAAACCGCACATCATCTACGTCCTGAAGTACACCCTCGGCTGCCCGAAACCCCTGCGCTTCCAAACCGCGTTTCTCTTCGACGGACGAGTCAAGATCTTTCGGTATAGTACCGTCTTTGAGCTGATCGACCGCTAGGGCTTTTATCTCCCTTGCGCTAGTTGGTCGCGGGAGCCCAAGATCCGTCTGCAATACCTCACCTGCCATACATTGACCCATATCGGATCTGCTCAAGTTGTTTCCGTTTCGCTTGTTTGGGACGGACAGCGTGAGATGACTCTCTATATCAGGCTTGGTCGAGGTATCAACAACCACGAGTAACTTTAAGAGAGACTATGTGTTTAATTGCTTGTTAGAAGATGTCATGTGGCATCAGAGTTGGGTAACTCGACAATCGATGTCGAGTCGCATCGTGAATATGGGACTGGTGATCAAGCGACCTTCTCCGAAACAAAGATGATTTCCACGAAAAGAAAGAGTAGTATTTGAGCAACTGACAGTTTTAACGTTGCTTCAGGAAGTTTAGATCACGTTTCCTTGTGAGTGGACCCAAAGTTTTTTGTTTTCCTTTTTTTTGTGTGTTGTTTCATTGCTGTTGCTTTTCTCCTTTGCTTCATGAATCCATCTCCTGGAGCTCACTTGCTTCAGTGTCGAGCAGTTGTAATTTGAGTGGCATATCAATTCTCGGCGAACAGTCGAGCGCGCGTGGGAAGGATCGAGAAGAAAAGAAGGGAAAAAACCATGCGTTAATTGGTAATGAAAAACATGGAGAAAGTGATCAAAGGAGAAGGTGACAGGGCGCACGAGCTCCTTTCATGCTCAATTTCGCATATCAGCACGTTATCTCCTGTGACCAATTCTTCGACACTCCATGGTACATTGCACCCAACTTCTCCGTGGTTAGCAGTTGATAATTCTATCGTGAGGAATCAATGGGTAAAATGAGTTTGCGGTGCCATTCAGCTAGATTTCGGAGATTTCGGAAGGAGTGGCTGGCGCAGGCTCAGACGGGCCGGAACGGGTTTCGACCAAGGGCGCATGTTTCTGCCTTGCATGAAGCTTGAGGTGCGACCAACTTGGTCTTGGATATCGCAGCAGCGTACATCAAGTTCTGATGCGCGGCGGTAGAGAACTCGTCGGTGGGCTCGTGCTCAGTATCGCTTTTCATTCACTTGTCCTCTGACGGCCGTCCACCCCTACTCAAGTCCAGAGCTTACCTAAACTTCTTCACGCGACGGGCGCTTGTCGGTCCTCCTTCTCCCCACAACAACAAACGAAGCTCGATAGTCGCTTTCTTTCCATCGCCTGACCATCATCGCTGCCTTTCTTGCCAGGCGTCTCCTCTCTACTTGCAACCACAGTCAACTGCAGTCGCTATCCGGTCATCATACTATCAGATACGCCACCTCCCTCCCAAGTCTCAAGACACGCCCACGACTCACCTCTCACCTCCAGTAGAAACCATGGAGATTCGTTCGAAAGAAGATCTTATCGAGTATCTACCCAACGATGCACCCTGGACAGTTTACCGTGACCCTGTCGAAGCCCTCCGAGCCCAATGCGTGAAGCGGGGTCTTGATCCTACTGGCCACGTAGTGGAAGTTCTCAATCGCCTCCACAGATATTCCCAACTTCATAACGCTGGTGAACAACGGATCGTTCCCTGGCGCTGCGGCGAGCATCCGCTCTATGTCGGCGCACTTTATCACGCTCAGGACAACAGATATCTGATCATCTCGGTCGAAGACAACAGCAACGATACCTCGATTGAGAAGAGGTTCACTTTATGGGACCCTTCCTCGATTGAGACGTTCCATGTCATCATTGGCAGGGTTTCCCGGTGTAGTTGTCGGCTCAGCGTAAGTTCCACATCTTGTTCCTAAACTGATATCATCTTGCTTACTATTATGATCTTCAGCGAGAGGAAGTAAGCCGCAAAAACTACGTCTGTGGCCACATTGTGTACGTTCTTCGCTACGTACTGGATTGCCCCGAGCCTCTCAGATGGCAGCAAGCTCTGTTGTTCAAGGAACTACAGGCAATCTTCCACTTCAGCACCGCGTTTCGCTACGCCGTCAACGGCACAGCCTGTTACCCCAACCGGCAGTGCGCTCTCTGCTTTCGCGACATTCAAGGGGGGGATCTTACCCTCTCACATTGTTGCAGGCTGTTTGTACACCGCGAATGTCAGGACAACGTACAGAAAGCGGAACCTAGAGGGTTGGTTCAATGCATTGGGCACTCCAGTGGATTATTCTGGATGGGAACTGAAGAAGCTAGTGTTGCTGCTTGGAATACAGCCCTACTACCACCTCCAGTTCCCTATGGCAATGATGTTTGCAGCTATGTGCAGTCCGACGATGAAAGCTCGGATGATCACATGACGCAGTCATCGAGTGACGACGATGAATGGGAGTTTATCAGAGGCAACGGAGGCGGCAACGACATTTTCAATGGAGACTCGGCTAAACGATCCATCGAGTTTTTTGCCGAAAGAAGTCAAATCCTTCCTGGGTCTCCTTCCATCGAGTCATCAAAATCATCTCCCGCTGTCTCAGAAGAAGAACCCGAGTCCCCCTGCCCTCTTCCTCGGAGACAGCTTCCCTCCAGAGCCGCGAAGGAGGCCACGCGGGCGCGTCCTGACGCATATACGGGATCATCGCCCCGTAGAAAAGCGCAGGCGCCCTCGCGTGAACCGATGCCTAAGGAGTGGACCAAGAAACTGAGCACAACGCTGATTCCCTTGCCGGTAATCCCAGGGTTTGCGCGGCAGCAGTTGTTTGGCAGTCAACCGGCTCGACGTAGTCAGAATGCTGTGTCGATTCCTATCGTGCCAGCAAGTGCGCAGGGGCGATTGAGAAGCTCGCAAGCCAATGGTTATGGTATCCCGTTGCGTACCGCCACCGCTACGGGCTCTCATACTGCTCCCGCTCCCACTTCTGTTGCTGCTACTGCTCATTCTGTCTCTGGTCTTGCTGCTGCTTCATCTGTCCCCTTTTCAGGTACTGACGTCGCACATTTCTCACCATTTTTCCCTTCCCCCGCACCTTACTCACCTCCTGTTGGTCTTGGAACTAATGATCCCTTTCTCTCTTTCCCCATGTCTCCCGATGGCTCGAAGTTTTCTTCCATGTCACTCGCCGCCCCAGATACCAACGCCTCTGCTTCCACTACCAAGAGAAACAAGAAGAAGGGGAATTTGGTGATGAGCCCAGAGAACAAGAAAAGGACCGCTATAGTCAGCGTCCGCCCCATGGTACATCAAGTCAGCAACGCGTTAGACGGTATACTAGCCGACTGCACAACTACTACTTCCACTTCCGTTTCCGCTGCTACTACCACCACTGCCACAACTGCCGGCGTCAGCACTACAGCAAATTCGGCGAAGCAAAGAGATAGGCGCATGGCGAGACTCGTGAGGCAAATGTCTCGCCTGGAAAAAGATGCAGAGAAGGTAAAGCAGACCAAGGAGTACGCCGAGCAAGAGCTGAAGAGGATGGAAAGAAAGAGGAGGAATGTGGTCAGAAAGATGAATAAGTTGTGGGACAGGGATAGGGACAGGAGTGTGTAAGAAAGAGGTTGGCCAAGGTGAGGGCCTGATTGGGGCTATGTTGGACTACGATTACCTACTGTATGAGTTGGGAGCATGGCTAGAGGTATGCGTTGCGGTTGAGGACGCTGGACAGATGTGCTGAAGGGAGTCGTTTCGGGCAGTTTTTTTGTTTGAGTCATTGTGTCTAGAATAGGAGGAGAATTGGATGGAGGTTTGAACCATGACAGTGGCATTGGGTGGCGTTATGTGGGTGTTTAGCGGTACCGTCGGTATGGGTCTTATGGCTTCGACTAGGAAGAAGGTGCCTACCAAGCGGCAGATGGAATTTACTACTAGAAGAGAAATAGATAGAGGATTTTTACGTGGCCGTCCATGTGTAAGCCAACGGCATGTGCAAATGGTTGATATAATATTTATGAGTTCACGATCTTGTTTTGCTACCCACGCAGTGTAAGCGACGATGTTGACATGGTCGTGTGTACGCGAGAATCTTCAAGGAGGAAAAGATCCATACTAAATTCCACAACTGTTGACCAACATATCTCATCACGGAGTTTTCCGCTCATTCTTGGTGATGGAGACGAGTGGCTGGCTCATTCTATTAGCCCGCCCTTGCTCAACATCTGTCGTGGTCAGAAATCCTGGCTGCGGATAAACCAAAAGACAGTGAAGTGAAATCATGAAACTTGGGCCGTCAAGGCGAGGGCAATGGCGGCTACTTGAGTGGTGCTTCACTCGCCACTGGCATCCCATAAAGCCGAGATTTTGAGTGTCCCGTTGCCGTGGGATCCTTCCGTGTTGAAGTGTCTGTAGGCACTATTCGAAGCCGCCCCTGCCTCGTTCAACTCGTGTTCCATGTTAAGAACCTAAGCCCGCTTACTCTCGGCTTGTTATACCATTCGCAAATGAATGGAACTCTAACACATGGTGCCCCTTTTCCCACCCCTCCAGTTCCCTAGCTGGTCTCCCTCACATCATTCCTCCCTCCGCCGTCATGACTTTTGTGAGCCAGTCGTACATACCTTGACACCCATTTACTGGCCTTCATTCTCTCCATCGGCACTCCCGTCGAGCAATCACAGGCAGCCAAAGTTGCCGTTTTTCTCCCCTTCGTCCACTACTGCACTATTCAGTCCTTGTTTGTAGTTCTGTCTCCACCTCCAACAGTTTTTCGCACCTCATCCACGCGTATAACACCATCGAAAACATACACCGATGTTTCTTTTGGGTCACTTGCAGCCTGAAGGCTCGATTGCATCCAAAAGATGGGGCAATGCCATTTCGTGTTCGGGCGTCCTGGTCGAGGAGCATAATTTTCTGGGAACAAGGCGCCATGGCCATGGTGGGCGTGCTTGTTCGGACCACTGGCTAGATGGGCGACGAGATTGGTGTTAGTATATTGAGCCCAAACTTGACGCTGGATTAATAGAGGGAATGAGTACCAGCGCGCATCTCAAAGTCATAATCTATTTGAAGTCACCGACGAACGTCAGACCCACGAAGAATTGCCAGTTGCTTGCAGTTACAAATCAAGCATCAATGATGACAACAACACAAAGTAGCAAGCAATAACTTTGAGTCAGGCATCAGTGCTTTCAAGTGCGAGTAGTTCCATCCATTTTTGACTCTTGGAACGTCCCAGCTTATCAACTGTCGCTTTTCTGTGACTGTGTAGCGCTGAATTGAACGCTGACTTCTCTTGACAAGGGTTTCTCTTTCGTGTCCCCAACAGACAGACACTCTCCTCTAACATCCGATGCTCGACTCGATATCCACCGCGTGCAGCGCACGCAGGGACAAATTACTAGATATATATAGCACCTTGTGTCGTTTGTGATCATGACATGATAGTGCAGCTCTTTCGATCCTCCATCACACAAAACATCCTGAATGGAAAGTTCGTCAGCGCGGGACTTGACAACGCACTCTTCGCAGCTTAGCCACTATTCCACCATATTTCATGCCAAGCAGTTGATATCAACCCGATCCGTTTTTGGAGGTTTTATAGACTTTCTCCAATTGTTTTCGTTTTGAATGTAGTTGTCCCCTTATTTTTCTTTGAAGTTTTGCAGACCCCACGCACGGGTAACGAACACGGCCCTGAGTGTTAGTCAAGAAGTCTGATACAACCCAACTTCTAACGACGTCTTGCAGCAGAATTACCTCCTTGTAGGTATATACCTACTGCTACCCGTCGCTTGATTGTGGCACTTTTGGCCGGGGTTCTTCTTGGCTCTGGTGACGTAAGGAGTGCAAGGGATCTTTCTCTCTTTGCCAATCTGGTTCTTGACAGGAGTGGAGGGGCTTCTAGTTGTTGTTGGGATATAGAGAAAGAGGTAATATAAGGATAGTTGGAGGTTTATCGGGATAGCCGGTATATCCGCGTAGTAGGTGCTTATGTGTGTTTTCAGGTTGTGTTCTTGTGTGTATTCCTTTTCGCAATAGGGGCATTTGAGTTTCTCGTTTTCTGGTGGAGGTGGGTGACCTTCTCGTTCGGCTAGTGGTATTTGATAACCGCATATTGGGCAAAAAAAAAAAAAAACCTGGGTGTGGGCGGGCGTGGCCGTCCCTCCGCGCGAGCGCCTTCTTCCGCCGAGTGAGCTCGACCGAAAGCGAGGGCAGCCATGTCGACATCTGTTCATTGGGCGTCTCGTTTCTTCTTTTGGCCATTTCGTTGGACAGGATATCCCGTCCATTCCTTATACCACGCGACGTAAGGACTGATGGCCTTTGGAAGAGCTTGGATGGTCCAAGTCTCTTCCGTACTTCTAGTGTTGATGGCATAAAAGTTGCCTCTTTCTTGGTTAAGTTTAAAACCAACCAGCTGGACAGCCACATATGATGCCTGGGCCTGGGCCTTTGCTATACCAGCCTTCTTTGAAGGAGGTGGCACAGTAGAGGTACCTCCATTAGTACCACTAATAGGAGTAGTCCACAAGAGCTCGCCAATGACAACGACAAGCTCATCAGCGGGAGCTCCGCTAATTTCCAGATTTTTCTTTCCAGGGGCTTGGAGAGGAATGACTCCTTGTAGAGCCTCAGTTTGGATATCCGTCTAAGTTTGTGCAGTACAGCATGGGCGGGCAGCATCTGAGGATGAGGGGAAAGTGTGAAGTGTGCCACTGAGCTCCTTCCTCTTTATACTGATCGAGTGTTCGCAAGTCGGAGGACAGCTCAGGTTATCCAGCCAGTCGTCCTTTCAGTGACCTTTCGGGATTTAAGGAGTTAATTGCTTGTCTTTTCTCACACATCTCAGTGCCCATTACCACGAAAAAATTTATCAGACGAAAAGTCTCATGCGCAAACTTCATTTTTCAACGTGTCACACTTCTAATTCCAGCCTGATTTCTTTCTCGATTTTTTCGGAAAATCTAATGTCGATGTGGGATACCATAGCGTCCTGATACTTACGACCCTTCTGGATCTTTACCTGTTTGTTATCTATTTCTTTTTCCATGGCTGACAAGCAGCACCCTTCTTTCCATCCATCTTCTCTTCCACATCCGTCATTCTTCTTGAATGCCATGCAGCCAACCCCACCACCGAGCTGTTTGGCTAAATCCGACAATTCAACCCTATTCGATGTTCCCAGCCCGTTGACATTCAAGGACAAGAACAGGAAGCCCAAAAGCATAAAAAACAGACCCAGAGAAGCACCAGGAGGAGAATTCATGCTTTCCAGTCTCGCCATGGATCCACATGGGTGCTCTATAAGACCCTTCTTAATTGTTTCTCCAATTCCTCTTCCACTTCCTTCCTTCAAGCAACAAACTTTCGAGGTGCCTTCATGCCGGGGGTACGCGCCAGGGCGGACGGGTTGAGCGGGAGACCGTCGGACTCCAAGCGGGAACGCATGACCGTGAGGAAGGCCGTAGCAGCACGACGAAGAAGACAAAGTCTCTGCTGATGATTCTTGGGGTTTCTGGCAGAAATAAGGGCAACGGCCGCGGCCTGGACGGCGTTGCGAGCGTTGCAGAGACCGAGAGGAGTATCTAGCATGTACTTGTTTTTGGTGAGAGGGCAGGTGGAGGTGCAATGCTTGACTACCGTGTAGTGCGCGGTAATGATCGCAAAATTGCCCGTGTCGGGGTGATTGCGGCGCTGTACGCAGTCCTGCATAAGGTCATCGAACGTCTTCTGGACCAGCGTTTGCATCCGGCGGTCGTCACCCTCCATCATCTGGCTGGGTTATTCGAACCAGACCCGAATATCAAGGTCTGGGAAGAATTCCTGAGTTCAGTAAAGGTCTGGACGACCAGATTGGGTGGTAGGATGAGTATATTGGGGTATGCTCGAATAAACTGTTGTTGGGCATGTGACCAACTGCGGATTTTTAGAAACCGATAAGATGATGTCTCTCTTCTTCGTTTTATCATGCTTCTTGTTGGCCATGGTGTCAGCGGCAACCGGGAGTGATAGAACGGTCCCGCCTCCCAAGTCGTCCCCCTCAGTTGCAAATATCTTGGTTGATGGAGACAAGCCGGTTACTCTCAAAGTGACAACTGTCACCTATATCAGTGCCAAGAACTCTACCACGGTGTTGCCTATCTTGACTCTGTCGATCGTGGTGGTTGAAGAAATCGCCCAAGAGTCTGTTGCTGTCCTCACCGTTCCAGCTTCCCCTGCCTCAGAGACTACGAGCGTACCCACGCCATCGGTAAGTACAATTCCGACCCCGGTTTTAGCAACCTCAGGTGCTTCTGGCCTCTGAGCTGGCTGACAATGAAGATAATCATGTCTTGAGAGCCGACCAGGGAAGCGGAAGGATGCTGAATTGTTCCGTATCCAAGGGCAAGGTGGATGTCTTCTTTATTGTTGGAGGCAGAGGTCAGGTGCAGGAGGAGTTGATGTCTACCGTTTGCGAGGACTCGCAGTGGATGGAGTCGAGGGCCGAGTACCGGACTCCGACGGCGGCCAGCCTTCATGCATGGCAATCTGGCCAACAACCCAGACATGTTGCCGCAAGTCGACCGGTTGGTGATGGTGTTCTGGGCGGCGCCACAATCGCCGCTTTGGACGTGGATTCTAGACATGTACCAAACCAAACCGCTCGCTAGCAGACGAGTCGTTACCGTGGTGAACCATCCATGGATGCAATTGCAAGTACACTCTATGTGGCTCCCCATCGGATTTGGTTGTCCCCTTCTAGCCGCCTTGCTTATCAGCCGTATCTAACATTCAATAGAGCACTATGCTCCATCCTAACAAAAGCCAGCTTCGTCGTCAAAGCCACAATGGCCAGTGGGAGCTGGAGTTCTAGATTTTGGCTCGAGCGCAGGGTTCAAGCCTTGCTCGTTGGCTGTCCCTTTCTTACGAGCTAAGTTCACCTTGGGTATATGACATCCTGCTGAAGGGCGTACAGTGAGCAGAGGCCATCTTTAGGATTGGCCAAGACGTGCAACTTGGTTATGTCTATTTCCAGGTTGCTGGATCTGATCTTTGATAGTGGCTTGGTGATTAGGGGTCAGTTCAGCAAGCCGGGCCTCCGATATTCGAAGATGGACGGGCGGCTCCTTCGTTAGGTATACATGTACCTGCCGACCTCTTCGACGGACCTCAACAATTCACTCGTGTAAAACTCGTTGTCCGACATCAAAACCTCCCGCAACTTTATCGCTGCACGGCTGTCTTCACCACGAGCTCATTTGGTAACATGCCATTGACTATGACCATCCTTATTGGCACATTGTCTCCTTAAACACCTATTGTATACTTTGATAATACTATTCTTTACTCTTCCGAAGTGACATAACAACGTGAAACCTCTTTCTGCGATTTATATGCTTCCTCTATTCCCTCATCCCGTCTCTCACACAGAGCATATCACAATCAGGGCGGGTCCGTTCCTTGAGTATAACAAGGGGGCTCCCCCCTTTTCTAAACTTCCTTCTCTTCTCTTCTTTTCCTCCTGTCGCATTCTCTTCACCTTGCCTTCACCTTGTCTCACTCCCTCGCTCTTCATGACTAACGAAATACAGTTTCTTTTCCTGCTTTTCCCATCATTTGCGCTCAACGGTAACCACATCTCTCGCTACTATTCCCAAGTCTCTGGCAATCTTCCTCGATGATCCTGGATTCACACCGCGCAAAGCCTACTCTTTCTCTCCCTGTACTCTTCCAGATAACCCCTCTTCTCTCCGCCATCACCAGAATTCACTAGCTCTGCTCTTTACCCAAAGATTTCGAGCACTGATAATCTTCCTTCATATACATCTCAACGTAAAAACTCGCTCATGTGTCCTCTTTCAATACATTCTTTGTTCCATCGCAACTCGTCTTTCTGACTCGAGAATAGCATCACGAATCAACGCAGACACTTCACTTCGGAATAAGCAAACATGCCTTCCAAGACGAGGAAGAAGGAAAAGCAGAGAGCAAAACAGACCCAGAAGCAAGATGGAATGAAACACCTTCAACAGCAAGAAAGTACCCCAACTTCTCCTACCCCCTTCCCCCCCTCCTCCCCAGCAACGCAGCCAGTCAACCACACACAAATGGATCATCGCCGGGTTCACACCACCCTACTTCAAATCAAGAAACTCTTCACCAACAGCACAGACACAACCCAAGCCCTCCTCTCCTTCCTCAACTCCCTCGTCCGCTTCCCCGACACCCTCCCCTGCTGCCACGGCGGCGAGCACAGCAGCAATTACCGGCATATCTGGCCCCACAGTCCACTAGAGGACTTGCGTGCAGAAGGCGAAGAAGTCCAGTACTGGATCCGCTACCTCGACTTGATCAAGCAGTGGGTAAGTATCACCAAGGCGGAGCTGGCTGCTCTGAATAATGATGATGAGAAGACACCAGCAAATATCGACAAAGTGTTGAGCGAGCCCGGCAGTGTAGGGCAGCAAGATCGAGACTTGGATGTGTCTATTTTCTTGAATAACTTTGGCCCTGTTCCTCCTTTGGTCCCGTGCTGTAAGGTATGTTGTGAGAACTGTCCTATCGGAGGAATACAGGAGTTGAGAAGGCAGGAGGCACAGTCGTGGATGAAGTACTATGATTCGATCTTGGGGAGAATGATGGAGATGCAGAGGGGGGAAGCGGTGGTGGATAGGCGGGTGCAAGAGGAGGAGCGGAAGCGGGAGCTTGAAGAACGTCGGTCTTGGGAAGCGGAAGGAGGAACCTGCGGGTGATATCTGTGTTGATCCGGAGATCGAGCAGGTCATCAACCACACGGCTTTGGCTGATTCTGATGATCGTAATAGTGCAGACTTAGGACAAGCAGTCCGAGAGCTGCCAGTCGACGATTGACCAGCTTCTTGTGATAGATGCTGAAGCCCGAAAGCTCTCAAAAAAGTGTATCAAGGGATCTGAGGGCACACAGCCGCACAACGAAGCGCAGAACCTCGTAAGGAAGCCTGACGTCAGGCTCAGCCTCGACATCTGCCGCTACTTGTTTAAGCAACTGGTTCCTCCCGATCTCGATGAGGAGGAACACGAAATGTCAGCTGAACCTTGCCGGCTGACCTTCAATCAGATCATCATGACCAACGCCGACGCCAGGCAATTAATAAGGACTGCATCGACGGGATCGAAGGGTTACTAGATGAACTTCGATCCGAAGCCGAAGCCCTGCGGGTGGGTTGGACCGAGAAAGGTGCGGTTGAGGATGGTGTGGGTGAGGATGAGGATGAAGACCACCAGGCCACCAGTTACGACTGGATGAAGGACCTGATGTCAGCGGACAAAATCGAAGGTGAGGATGGAGAGATTCCTGTGGGGCTCTCCGAGTATTGGAGGTATTCCAAGGCTTATCTTCATCTTTACCTGTAAGATAGTGGCTTACGAGGATGGTATGGTGCACAATAAGTGTTGTGCCTGTGGTTTGTTGATAGTGTGATATCAAGGATATCATCACTGCGGGCCTGAGGGAGAAAGATATGCGATGGAAGTGGTTGTTTGCCAACCTCGTAGTTGCATCGCACTGCCATCTTTTCTTTTCTTTTCTTTTCTTCTTCTCCTTTCCTTTGTTTTTGTGTTTGCATCTTTCCCTTTTATATAGAAACTGTTTTTTTTTTTTTTTTTTTTTTTTTTTTTTTTTTTTCCGCCGTAGGACCTGGTTCGCTTGGTCCAGACTAACCTCCCCAGACTTGCACACAAATTACACAACCCCAAAAACATCTAGTATGGTGACAGAAACGCGTGTAATTCCTGGTGAAACGCATGTTGTGCGTCAAGAACTGCATATTTTTCTTCAACATACCCATATACATCGTCATGAAAGGCGTATGATCCAAGAAGAAATGCATATAGCTCCTCAAGGATCGCGTATACTTCTCAAGGCAATGCTTTCGAATCCCACCTGGAATACCCCCAGATCTTCTAGGAGGAAAAAGTGGATTTCACCATCAGTGTGGTGAGACTCGTGTGGAGTTCCGTGTTATTGTCAGTTGCAAGTCAAACGCTACATCTCGTTTGGACGTGACAGAATAAGAACTGATATACACTAAATGGTATTCGTAACTCGTAAAAAATCGCTTGATCAAGATCCCAACCAAATCCCAAAGCCAATATTACTTTTCGTCATATTCAATACACATCCACCTTCTCACCACTTCTTGACCTAACCAAGCCTAAGCAAGCTCAGCAGCGGCACCACTGATAGCCAACTTGCCCGTCTCCTTAACCTTAGTCTGGAACACCACCTTGTTGCCCTCCTTCCACATCTCCGTCACCAGCGTCTGGCCAGGGTTGACGGTACCCGCAAACCTGACCTTGATGTTCTTAAACTTGCCGTACTTCTCATAAACGGCCTTGCCAGCGATACCGAACGAGCAGAGACCGTGAAGGATAGGGACCTTGAAGCCGCCCACCTTGGCAAAAGCAGGATCGACGTGGAGAGGGTTGTAATCGCCGCTGAGACGGTAGATGGCAGCCTGCTCCTCAGTGGTCTGGACCTCAACGACGGCGTCGGGCGAGCGAGCGGGGGGCTTGTTGGCGGCGGTGGAAGCGCCACGGTCGGCGGGCTTCTTCTGACCGCCAAAGCCACCGCAGCCACGGAGGAAGACGGTCATCTCGTTGTAGAAGAGCTCCTCGCCGGTTTCGGCGTTGAAGGTGGTGATTCCTTGTTTGACGATGGCGGCGGAGCCCTTGTCGACGACCTCGAGGAGCTTGCCCTTGGAGATGAGACGGCCCGAGGTGGGGATAGGGTACTTGCGGACCTCGAGATACTGTTCGCCGTGGAGGAGCATCATGGGGGAGAAGTTGGGGACGATGTCGTCAAAAGAGAAGGGCATCTCGGTGTTGAAGGGAGGGATGACGCCGAAGGTGGGGACGACCTCGAAGTCCTCGTTGCCCTCGAAGATGTACTTGATGTCGGTGCGCTTGGCGCCGATGCCGAGGTTGTAGAGGCAGACGTCACGCTCGGTGAAGGTGTACTCGGTGCCCTTACCTTCGACGCCGGTGAACTTCTTGATGGCAGCAAGGTGCTCGTTCTCAGCAGCGCCAGACTACAGGAGAAAAAGATGAGTCGTTAACAATTATTCAAGTAATCTACACTAGGTATATATGGCTATTATACATGGGGGAACGGAAAATTACATGGCATTCTTTCGTGGCAGCAGGAAGAAGGGAATCATACCTTGCCCTCGCCGACACGGTTCTCCATGTTGGCCATGATCTTCTCAATGCTGTCGGAGGCCTTCTCGGGGTGGTCGGCACGGGAGTCGAAGGTGACGATATCGTTCCAGTGCTTGACGACCTCCTCGGGGGTAAGAGGAACGTCGACGGGGAAGCCGTGGCCGCCAGAGCGCTGCCACCTTGTCTGACCGCACCAACCGGAGCCGACCTCGTAGAGACCACCAGTGGGCTTCTTGGGAACCTTGTCGCTGCAGAGGGCAAGGACAAGGGGAGCGACGTAGTCGGGCTTGAAGGCCTGGACGAGCTCCTCGGGAAGGATGGTCTTGGTCATGGCAGTACCAGCGTTGGGAGCAATGGTGTTGACATAGATGTTGTACTTCGCACCCTCGAGAGCAATGGCGCGGGAGAAACCAAGGATGGCGCATTTCTACACATGTTAGCAAGCATTCAATGGACACCCAAAGGACAAAAACTTACGGCAGCAGAGTAGTTGGCCTGGCCAAAGTTGCCATAGATACCAGAGGTAGAGGTGGTGTTAAGAACACGGCCATACTTTTGCTTGAGGAAGTAGGGCCAAGCCGCCTTGGTGACCTTGTAGGTACCTCGGGCGTGAACGTTCATGACGGGATCCCAGAGGCTGTCATCCATGTTGTGGAAAGCCTTGTCACGGAGAATGCCGGCGTTGTTGACAACGATATCGACGCGGCCAAAGGCATCAATGGCGGCCTTGACGACGGCATCACCATCCTCAGCGGAGAACTTGGCACCTACAGCCTTGCCACCCATCTTCTTGATCTCGTTAACGACATCGTCAGGGTTGACAAGGTCGTTGACAACAACGGAGGCTCCAGCCCTGGCGAAAGCCAAGCAGTAGGCGCGGCCGATACCAGCACCGCCGCCAGTGACGAGGGCAACACGGCCCTTGAAGTCCACCTTCTCACCGGGGTCGTTGGGGCCGAGCTTGAGGGACTCCTCGAGGAGGGCAAGGAAGTCGTTGGGACCGGTAGGGTACTGGGGGTTGGAAAAGTCGGTGACCTGATCCCACTTCTTGATGATGGCGCCAGGGGTGTAGCTCTCATCGGCCTTGAGGAGAAGACCGGAAGAGCGCTCCCAACGGAGCTTGGCGACGTGACCACCACCAACCTCGAAGATGGAGCCAGTCTCACTGGTGTTGTTCTTGTGGACAAGGACGGCAACGAGGGGAACAACCCACTCGGGCTTCATGAGGGCAAGAAGATCAGGGGGCATAACGGTCTCGGTCATACGGCTGGCAGCGATAGGAGCAATGACGTTGGAGATAATGTTGTACTTGAGGCCCTCCTTGGCGAGGGTCTCGGTGAAACCAACCATGCCGAGCTTGGCGGCCGAGTAGTTGGCCTGGCCGAAGTTGCCGAAGAGACCGGCGGCAGAGGCGGTGTTGATGACGCGACCGAACTTTTGCTTGCGGAAGTAGGGCCAGGCGGCGCGGGCCGTCTTGTAGGAGCCCTTGACGTGGACCTTGAAGATGAGGTCCCAGTCCTCGTCCTTCATGTTCTTGAAGGAAATGTCGCGGAGGATACCGGCGTTGTTGATGAGGATATCGATGCGGCCGAACTCCTTGATGGCGGTCTCGATGATCTTGTCGCCGTTCTCGACGCTGTCGTAGTTGGCGACGGCCTTGCCGCCAGCGGCCCTGATTTCGTTGACAACGACATCGGCAGCCTGTTGAGTACTCGTTAGCATGTGATGGTGAGTGACAGACGGTGGCGGCGATGGCGCATTGAGTAGGGGAAATGTTTACCTTTGTAGAATTGCCCTCGCCCTTGAAGGAAGCACCGAGATCGTTGACGACAACGGAAGCACCGCGCGAGCCGAAGAAGAGGCAGTAGGCTTTACCAAGACCACCACCGGCGCCGGTGACAACGACGACCTGGCCGTCAAACCTCAATTGCTCAGCCATGCTGAATGTGGGTGGGGTATGTGTATGTGGTGGAAGATGGTGCTAGAAACAAACGGCAAACAACAAAGAAAAGGCAGATTCGCACAACACGTCTGGGTATAGTAAGCACTGAGTATAGAGCAAATAATAAGAGAAGAAGGGGATGGGACGAGGAGGAAGGGAGGATGGAACGGAATGTGGTGGTGAAGATGCGCTGGCTGGTCCCGGCACTTAATACTTAGGAATAACTGGATCCCGTCATGGTCGACCGACCTTGACGTCGGGTCGGCAAGTGGACAGGCTGTTGCCGTGGGGGAAGCGAGGTGCTGCCAGGCGCTGTAAGCCGAGGCAGAACGGCATGTCCAATGTCCACAGATGCAGCCGTGTCAGCCAATGGGATGCCTCAACAATGCTCCACACTGTGGTTTTGCCGAGAGCGGGGTGTTCATGCCCTTCCCCTGTTCTTCCCCATTCGTTTCTTGCACGTCTCAACATCACATGCAACTCTTCTGAACACCACTGGCAGTGTAACCAGGCCGGGGAAAGTATCCTTCCGGTCAGTCGCGTCGCGTCTCACAAACTTTCACAAGATCGCCGAGCTCCCAGGAACAAAATGGGGATAGACTACTTTTCGTAAATCTTCAAACCATTATGAATTTAGCTAGACGTTGGAAGTCGCCAGGTCGCCCAAGACTTCAGTTCCGAGCAGCACCAGCGGGTGAATATGTACCTAGGGTTATCCGAAAGCCATCTTGACATGAAGGCTGTACTCAGTTGCAGCGATATGACTCGGTATGGCTTGGCTGAGGAACTGAATCAAACTTCCAGAGTCGCGATGCAGGTGATAACGCTGGCTGAGTAGACGCCAAACGAACATTCAAACGATGCGGAGCAGCTCGGTTTCAGGCATACATGTGCCTTTGGCGAGGGATCCTTGGCCTGGGCAGTCACATGAATTGCATGTTGATGGACGCACCTGAACATTGATATCAAGCGACCAATTCTAGCTCTTCCCGTTTTCTGGGTGAAAAAAGTGATTCACCGAAGTGTCCTCTTGAGTTTCATTCGAGCCTCAGCTCTTCATCTTCTCCAAGTGGACCCAGTTCCCCAAAACCGATCCCCAAAAAGACGGATTAACCAAAGAAAAATACAACAACATACAATGCCCTCCTCAGAGCCCTGTCTGTCATCAGCCTTGCCTTTCGCGACAGTTCCTCCACCAGAGCAAGTCGTTGTAAGGGCAGGATCAGCGTGTCGGCGCCTCTTCCATCTCCGGCTCCGGATTAGGAATCAACGGCACGGGATCTAAAACGCGGAGACGGGGCCCCATGCTTTTACCCCCACACACCTTCGTTACCCCACAGCACTTTCAACCGCGCCAATGTCGTCATTCGCCGTTTACCGCGAGCCTCATATTGACCATGGTTTTCTCACCACTTTCATAACAGAAATAAAAGATAAAAAAGAGAGTAGCCACTCTACCAAATCACTAAATAACCAAAAGAAAAAAAAGAAAAAAGACCAGCCGCCAAAATGATGGACACAATAGACTCCATCTCCTCCCAACCCACCGCCGCCACCTCCACGTCTACCTCCACATCCTCCAGCTCGGGCGTCTACCCGACCCCCTCTCCCCAATCCCGCATCATAGACGACAAATCCCCGCTCTGCATCCCCTTCATCCTCTCCAAGATCGCCGAGTACAACGCCTTGCACGCAAACGAAGCGAACCCGCGTCCTTTTATCATCGGACTGAACGGCGTCCAGGGAGTAGGCAAGACGACGCTGGTCAAAGCCCTGGCCGAGACATTGCAGGAGAGGGAAGGACTGAATACGCTGGTTGTATCGATTGACGATTTTTATCTGACACATGAGGATCAACTGAAATTGGCGGAGGAGAATAGCGATAACGCGTTGGTGCAGTATCGGGGGGAACCTGGTGAGTTTTCGGTTTTCCTTCATATATAAGTTATGTTCAATATCGGGCGTAGTTGGTGTCAGTGTGAGAAGACCAAGTGTCGGTCGTGCTGGGCAGAGCTGTGATGCGGTTAACCCCTGTGTCGTTTGTTTACTTTTTACCCCAACGAGACATGTGGATCCCCAGTAGATTCAGTCTTTGCGGCCTTATTAATGGCCTCGCCTTACCCGTCTCCCCATTCAGCCTTCTCTCTATCTCTTTCTTTTCCACTTGGACTGGCTCCTCCCCTCATCTTCTTCTTCTCTCCTACTTAATTCCCCTCCTACTTAATATCACTGCCCACATAACCTCCATCACTCCCCTTTCTCCCCTCACTCCCCTCTCTTTTTCTCTCCCCCAACTTTTCCTCCCATACCACACCACCCTTCCACCTCAACCCTTTCCGTTACTAACCATCTCCCCCATGATACCTTTTTTTAGGAACCCACGACACCCCCCTCCTCCTCTCCTTTCTCTCCTCCATCATCTCCTCCCACCCAACGCACCTCCCCCTCTACGACAAATCCGCCCACCACGGCCTCGGCGACCGCCTACCTGCTTCCACCTTCCCCGCCATCAACGACCCGAACCTCTCCACCCCACAACACCGCACCATCCGCGTTCTGCTTCTAGAAGGCTGGCTAACCGGCTTCCGCTCCCTTCCCCCTGCTACCATCTCCACCAAGTACTTGGACCTCAAATCCTACAAGACCTTGTCACACCACAAATTGGAACACCTCCTTTTCATCAACGAGCGACTGAAAGAGTACGAGCCAGCATGGGACCAGTTCGATGCCTTTATTCATATTGACGCGCAAAACTTGGAGTGGGTGTATGAGTGGCGGCTCGAGCAGGAGGAGCAGTTGCGCCGCGAAAAGGGGACGGGGATGAGTGCTGAGATGGTGCGCAAGTTTGTGGATGGGTATTTTCCTGCTTATGAGCTGTATGAGGAAGGGGTTAGGCAGGGGGTTTTTAAGGGGGACGAAGGGAAGAGGGGACGGCAGTTGAGGATGGTAGTGGGGAGGGATAGAGGGGTGGTGGAGCATATGGTTATTTGAGGGATGGGAGGGATCGATGGAAGATTGGTTGGTGGTTTACTGGTTTATGGTACTGGTTTGATTGATACCCGGATTGGAGGTTCGTGGCTTGCTGGGAGCGGGAGTGATGGGTGTTTTTATAGGGTGGTGGGCACATCATCGTATAAGACGGGATATCATTCACCACTTCAAGACGATTCAAAGGTGCCAGCCATAATTCTGGTTTGATATCAAAACATTATGTGACGTCAATTTCGCAGTGTCTTGAGCAGAGAGTAAATAATTACCTTGAAGAAGAGTCCACATCGGCGAAAAAAACAAACATCCACGGCCAACCCAGCCTCGAACATGACACATCCTACAAAAAGGGGTATTTATGTTCCTGTTCCAGTTCCTTCCCGTCCCTTTCTCACACCTTTCCCATACCAAAACGCCATGCCAAAATAAAAACTACAAAGTATTAATCCCACAGGGTCTATCTCGCCAAGTCAATGACTTGCTACAATGAAACTATTCCACCTCCTCAGCAGCAATCGATGACAACTGGAATGACTAATCCTCCAAATCCATCTCCTTCCCCTGCATCATCGTCTTTCCCTCCTCTTTCAAATTCTCCAGTGTCCGTCCAATCTTCTCAATCTTGCTCTTAACCGATCCCTGTCTCTCAGCGATCTCCACCTCAAACTCCTCCACCATCTTCCTCTTCGCCCTCCTCGCGTCCTTAATCCTCTTCGCCACAGAGGTAAACTGGTCCAGGAACCAATCGCCCGCGTCGTCCCACTCGTCAATCTTCATGTGCGTAAAGAACTCGGCTTGTTGAGCCGGAGGTTTGGTCTTGTAGTGTTGGAGTTTGTCTTCGAGGGTTGCGTCTGCTGGAGGACGGTCGTCTTGTTGGAGTTTGGTAGTGGCTTGAGCTTGTTGCTTAAGGGCCTCTTCTTGCGGGTCTTCGTCAAAGGACTGAGTGAGGAGGGTGGTATAGGGCATTTGGTAGAGTTGGGCATCGTCATAGTCGAGAGTGGAAAGGCGGCGCTTTTTGGCCTGTTCTAGGATGGGCAATGGAGAGGCGACGGCGGGCTTTGGTGGTTGCTGTGGTTTTTGAACTTCCTTCTCCTTTGCCCGGCGGCTGGTGGTTCGCGCCAGAGCAATCGAGGCATCTTTGAGTTGGGGAGGGAGTGGCTGCTGGCTCGGTATCTGCGACGGGCGAAGATGGCGCGAGCCGGACGCTTTAGGTGTGACTTTGCCAGGCGAGGAGGCGTCGATATCGAAGCCGCTGCTGCTGCTAGGGACAACAGCAGCTTGCGTGTTATTGAAGTTGGGTGTGGGAAGCGGTGGTGCTTCGGACTCGACGGGGGTGAGGTCGTCAAACACGGTGCTGCGCTGATGTTGGATCTCATGCTTGCGCTGGCGTTCGCGTTCGCGTCGTTCGGCCTCCTTGCGGATCCGTTCCTTCTCCCTTTCCTGTTCGCGCAGACGCTCGTGTTCACGCTCACGGCGTAGACGTTGTTCGATTCGGCTCTTCTCCAGATCCCCGCCGGCATCCGAGGACCTCCCTGGGGATTGCATGTCTGATGTGTATCCGCCCTGGCCACCTCTTACTGATCCTGCTTTCCTCGGGTCGCGGTGGGGAAGTCGTGCGCGCTGGAAGGCCCCAAGTTGTTTGGTGGGTGTCGAGTTGAAAGCTGCGCGATCACCCTCATATTCGTCCTCGATCTTGATGGTTGGCTCCCGCTCCTTGGTGATAGCTTCGATGGTCTTGTTTAGGGCGACAGCATCGGGATCGTTGCGGCTTCGCGGGGCCTCAACCACGGTGAGGATACCACCTTCGCCGATAACAAATGGTAGGTTCTCATCGTGGTCGAGTGTTGGTCGTGCAGACTTGGGTTGTTGGGCGACGGCTGGATGTTGTGCCTGGGTGTTTGAGCGAGGAAATGCAGTGTCGCTGTAGTGACGGCCCCGCACGAGCTGGGGGTGTTGAGCTCCGTTTATCTGGCGCTCGTGGGCACTTTCTGATCTTCCATCCCTGCTTTCATGGTCGCCAAATATGGACGCAACCGTTGAGTCCTCCCAGGCATTCGTGCGTTGGCCATTTTCGGGCGCCGAGGGTCTGCTTCGGTGCATTGGACGGGATGGGTGTCCCTGCGCAGGGAAGCTGACGGAGGAGGTAAGCTGGTGACTGCCGCCGGGAGCAGAAGAGGTTGAATTGTTGCGATCACCTCGCGACGCGGCTGCGGCAGCTCGTTGCTCTCTGGTGGGAGGCGTGTACACAGTCGGATTGAGCAGAGAGGGCGTCACGGGTTGGTTGGGCTGTCGAGGTGGCCCTGGAATCGAGGGCATGCGAGAGGGAGGCCGTGAAATGTGGGCGCCCAATTGAGAAGGTTCTCTGGGTCGCTGTGCGGTTCTTGCCGAGGAAGCGCGCCGCACCGTATCGGCCGTTCCTTCTGTTCGGACCGCATCTCTGGCGGCGGGTACCGGTCCTGCGGGGCCCACATCGGCGGCGCTCGTGCCTTCCATCTTGAAGAACCCCGACATGGAAGCGGAAGGCGTCCCCGGTCTTCTTGTTGCCCCGTTTCGTGCGGTGTTGCGCTCGGTACGGTCACGGCCGTTACGATCGGTCCGGGTTGGAGTGCCGCGCCTGTTTGGTGTGTCTGGTGTCCTTGGTGTTCCTGGTGCTCCTGGAGTTGTCGGTGTGCCTGGATCGCTGAAATTCCCGTCCTTGGTGAACATGCTCAATCCCCTCAGGGATTTCCGACTTGTAAGCGGTTTGGACGACGACGACATCATTTCTCTCTACCCCGGTTGCCTCGCTTTCGCAAGGCCGAACTGAAACGTCGCAAGGAGAGCTGCTGCCGGTTCACTTGACTCGTTGTTACCTGCTGGATCGCGCTGCAATGTTACCACACTCGACAATACGTGGGCGGCACCATAAGTAGTATGGCATCAACAGCAAAACAGAGCAGACAGACCTCCTCCGGCAGAGAGACGGAACAAGATGTGAGAAATCACACACACTCTCACACACACTAACACTCACACACTTTAGCGAAAATCAAGCCGCGGTCGGGATTATTATCTTTTTTCGCAGCCGGCCATGGGCCATGGTTCCCCATTTGCTCCCCATAGGCCGCCCCATAGAGGCCATTGGGCTCGCGCCTCTCATTCGACGATGCGGTTGGGCTGGAAGCGAGTGGACACACAATCCGACCGTCCATGGAGACTTTTCGTGCTGCGACCTGCATCAGCGGCCATGCGCGGAGGTCAGGAGCGGAGGCGGTGCGGAGGCGCCGATATACTGGACTGACGAATGGTGTATTTGAGGGCCGTGACCCGCCCCGATTTGTCCTCACTCAGCACTAGCTCGGCGCGCTAGATTCGACATTTCCCAACCACGCGCCGTCTGACCAGAATTTGGAAGGTGGGTGACGGCCGTACTGCAGGGTCCATCTCTCACCCGAACCTGAGCTTGTGCAGCTTGGTCCCGGTTTATTCAGTCAACTCCTTCCCCCCGTAGGCCAATTCTGACTCTGATCTCTCATCGTGTTACTTGGCAGAAAAGTGATGTAATGGCGCTAGAGAAGAAAAAGAAACAAATGGAGCTGCCTGGGCCGCCTCGGCACCGGACTTGTCCATCTGTCTACGGTAGGTATTTGCTTCCGAAGGTTACGGCACGATCACATATCATCTGTGGCCAACTGGAGCAAATGGTCCATCCACCAGTTTGTTGGCTGTTGGCTGTTGGATCATCAAGGTATCATGGTGTATACTTAGTGGTGCTCAATACCACTCCAGATCTTTGATAGCATCCAATCACACGTTGAGCGCATCTGATATTCGATCTGTTCAGGACACAAGAACGCCGCTTCACCAGTGGATAACGAAAGCCTTGCCCAACGACGGCCAGGTACCGGCGGAGTCAGTTCCAGGCCCGAACCGCAAGTCCACTTGATGAAGTCGGGATGTCCTGGCTGTCTCGGAGCAAGGCTCTCAGCCCTAAACTTTTGAGGATGTTTGGATCACTAAGGGGGATAGCATGATGGATATCATCTAATATGCGAAAAATACGGAGGGAAGATGGCTGTGAAGCTGGTGATCGAACAGTATGGATGATATGGTTTCGGTCAAAGCCAACCTTCTATCTTTATGTAAGTGCAATTTATGGGACGGGGCTAAAGCGGCACGCGACCTGTCATCCGGCCGAGCTACTGTACAGCACTAACGAGGGGGAAGTGTCTTCAACTTGTCTTCACAGCGAAATTGGGTGATTCCCATACTAGTTGTGTTCTTCAAGCAATGAAGATGTACCACGACCATCACGTTCCTCTTTTCTCTTGACCAACTGAGAAACCCCATGCCGAACGAAGGGTCTAACAGAAATTTCCAACGAGGCGAGCAAGGGCAGTCCTGTTCCGCGCTCGGTGGAGGCAGGATTCCGGGTAGGTGTCCCGTGTTAGCGGCCCCGCCTTTCCGCGAAAATCGGAGGCAACCTAGTAACGTCTAATGTAATGTCCCTCCGTGCACGATAAGATAAGCCCCGCCGCCAAAAGTTGAGTGGAGTGGAGGGGAGGCGAATGGCGTTGACTCTATAAACTAATTCTAAGCCCGATTTCTAAGCAGGTGTTAAATCATTCTTCCTGTATCGACGACAAACCCAATATTATTGATATTTAACTATACACCCACAAGGACCAGCACGTCGACTACAACGGCACCTACCTAAAGTCACATTCACGATATACAAACATACACCTAAGACCAAAATAGTTGCGCGACCGACCTAGCTCCGCTAGCCAAATCTTCAAAATGGCTCCCTCCCTCGAGGCCGAGCCCGACTCCGTCGCCTCCGTCCTCGCCAACCCGCAAAAGCCCCAACTCGTCGCCCCCGAACCCGAACACTGTCCCGGCCCCGAATCCCAACAAGCCGGCACCGCCGACTCCTGCGCCGGGTGTCCGAACCAAGCCATCTGCGCCACCGCGCCCAAAGGTCCCGACCCCGACATTCCTTTGATCACCGCGCGTCTATCGGGCGTCAAACACAAGATCTTGATCCTCTCCGGAAAGGGCGGCGTCGGCAAGTCCACATTCACCAGTCTACTAGCCCACGCCTTTGCGACCAATGTTGAACAAACAGTGGGCATAATGGATACCGATATCTGCGGCCCTTCGATACCGAAGATGCTGGGCGTGGAGGGGGAAACAATTCATGTGTCCAGCACGGGCTGGAGTCCAGCGTGGGCGATGGATAATCTGGCTGTCATGAGCATCCAGTTCATGCTGCCGAACCGCGACGACGCGATTATTTGGCGCGGGCCCAAGAAGAACGGGCTGATCAAGCAGTTTCTGAAGGACGTGGAATGGGGCGATTTGGACTTCTTGCTGGTGGATACGCCGCCTGGCACGTCGGATGAGCATTTGAGCGTGAACACGTACCTGAAGGAGAGCGGGATCGATGGCGCTGTGATGGTCACCACGCCACAGGAAGTGTCCCTGTTGGATGTCAGGAAGGAGATTGATTTCTGCCGAAAGGCGGGGATCAAGGTTCTGGGATTGGTGGAGAATATGAGCGGGTTTGTGTGCCCCAAGTGCACGTACGAGAGCGAGGTCTTTAAGGCAACGACGGGTGGCGGGAGGAAGTTGGCGGAGGAGATGGGGATTGCGTTTTTGGGGAGCGTGCCGCTTGATCCGAGGATTGGCATGGCGTGCGATTATGGCGAGAGCTTCTTCGATAGCTTCCCGGATAGCCCGGCGTGTAGGGCCTTGAAGGGGGTGGTTAAGGGGCTGGCGATGGAGATGGGGTTGGATCCGGAGGTGGTGATGCCGGAGGAGGATGACGCTTGAGCGGAGTAATGGCCATAGCATGGGCGGAGTTCAGGGACTGCTTTTTGGCTTTGTAAGGTTGGGATATCACGGCGTTTATATAACGAGAAGATCATGAATGATCCAGCATCTGGCTGCACTTTGCCTTCCATTCCAAATGGCCTCCCTTTGCTCGTTCCTCATCCCAGTTGCCAGCTCTGTGTGAAACCATCACACCGGGCCCTGTTGGTCGCCCTGGAGACCAACCTTTGTGTCCGTCCGTCCATCCATGATTAGGCTGTCAGCTCGGCGCCCCCTGCTGTCCTCTCCACGGCCTGCCCTTAGTACCACACGTCTAAGCAGCCCCAAGCTTAGCCGGAATCTCTTCCAGCTCTTCCGGCGACTCGATATCAATAATCTTGGTCACCTCGCTCGTGTTGCGCATCAGCTCCTTGGCGCCCGCGTACAACATGCGCATCGCGCTGTTGCATGTCGAGGGCATGTAGTAGAGCATAACGTAGGGCACCGATAGTCGGCCGGAGGGCTGTTCCACGTCCATCGTCAGTCGTAGTTCTCTTTTGTTCCATACATTCAACCATTCCTCGCGCAGACCAGTTGGATATATGTTCGACGAGCTGGGCGGCTTACAAGAGTTAAGGGATAGCTCAACAGTACGAATCTCGGGCTGTGATCGGGCAGGTCATCGCCGATTTCCTCGAGGGTCTTGTATACAACTTTGTCGTCGTCTTGCTTGATTTCTTTGGTTGTCTTATCGATCAGGTCTGTTTTGTGCAATAAATCGATTAGTTCTTGACTTGCTGTACCGGTATTCAGAGACAGAGTCAGGGGAGTAAGGGGACAATGGGAACATACATACAGATGACGGCCTGAGGGTCGTTGGAGCGCGAAGTCCCGAGGCGGAACTTTCGCAGGTGGTCTTTGGTTTCTTGAGAGAAAGTGTAGAGTCTTGCTTCGGAGGCCTGGCAATTTCGGCATCAGCTGTGGTTCTTGAGGACCTTGAGAGGCTTTCTATCAACAGCTTGGGAACTGGAGAGAGGAGCTGGTGGTGTGGATGGATCGGATGTTGCGACAGGTAGGAGAGCGGCGGCGCACCATTGTGAAAAGATGTTTCTAGGTCGGTCGGACACGTAAGATTCGGACGGCAAAAAGGAGAGGTTTCGAGGTAAATCGAAAAGGAAACAGGCAATGTCGCGAAGCTTAGGGATAGCAAAAGAGTTGAAGCTCGAAAAGATGTTGCATTGAGCTGTCCTGTCAAAGACACCGCCCTCGTCCAGGCTCCCGTCCCAGGGACGCAAGTCGGCCCCGCATGGCATCACTGCCAAGTCCACAGCTCAACTGCTAAGGTATCTGCCCCCGTAGCGTAAGCTGTTATCGATTCCTCGCTGATGGCGGGGCTGTCCCGGCCACTGGCCCGCGAAAGCTTAACAGCTTGACCCGCTAAAACGGAGCGGGGAAAGCGCCGCCTGGCCTTCTTCCCTGGGCGGGGATCGTGTTAATGGACGGCGATGGCAGGCACCAGTGCCCTAACCAAGCATCGGGCAACACAAGCCGGAGACCCCAATCTCATTCCCGTTGCCGTTGTGATCTTGCAGTGGACTTTCCTCTCGATCCTCTCTTTAGTTATTTCAATCTCATACATCTGTCTTTTAAGACAAGACAAACTTCTCCTAGAATAAAACATTCATGTTCTCTCGTTTATCCCAGGTTGCTCGGCACTTGTCACGGCCAGCGATAACGTCATTTGTTGCCCCATCAACATCAGTTCCGCGCCGGACTTCAACAGGATTCTTCAACGGCATCATGGGGTCAATAGTCACGGCAGATGAGCGCAATGTGCGGACTATTCATACAGCAGCGTGTTTGATTATTGGTGATGAGGTTTTGGGCGGAAAGGCAGGTCCAATCAATACGTGCTAGTCGGGTGATAGCCGAAGATGAGACTAACAGCTGTTCTTAGTTGTTGTGTAGACCAAAGATGTGAGTCGAGAACTCGTAAATTCTTGCCCTCAAGCGCCAATGCTGACTTACTACAGACTAATTCCAACTACATGGCAAAATGGTGTTTCAATCTGGGAATTGTGAGCTTCAGCCGTCCACTCCAATGTCCCAAGAAGAACCAAGCTCACTGTAGATGCCCCATCTCAGAATCTCAAAAGGATCGAAGTTATCGCCGACGATGAAGATGAAATTGTCGAGGCTGTCCGCCGTATGAGTGACCGCTACGACTTTGTAGTGACCAGGTACTTACCAACACCGAGTTTTCTTCGAGTGTCCAGGACGCATCATTGACCCCATTGAACAATAGCGGAGGCATCGGCCCCACCCACGACGACATTACCTACCAATCTATAGCCAAAGCCTTCGGCCTGCCTCTGAAGCTGAACGAAGAGGCTTTTGAACTCATGAAGAAGCTTTCTGTTCCCCGCAAGGGCGAGCCACCGTTCAACTGGGACGAGCCCTCGTCCGTTCTCACCGCAAAGCTCCGTATGGTGGAGCTACCGACAGACGTCAACAGAGACCCAGCGAAGCAGTTCCTCTTTCCTTGCAAGGAACTTTGGGTGCCAGTTGCGGTAGTCAATGGGAATGTGCACATTTTGCCGGGCGTGCCTAGGTTGTGTATGTTTCATTTTCCGATCCTCATGGAATATCGAAGCAGTGTCGCGGAAGATCATGAAAGCGAAGGCTAACGAATGCTCCACAGTCGAGAAACTCCTAGACGGCCTCAAGCCTTCCATCCAACCGCGCCTAGTCGATCCCGACGGCAAAGGTATTACCAGAGTTACCATCTCCACGCCACTCCCTGAGAGCGCTATTGCCGCTTACCTCACCGAGCTGGCAGCGAGAGTTGACCCCAAGGGCGTCAAGGTTGGAAGCTACCCCAGATGGGGGGACAAGCATAACACAGTTACCCTTGTTGGAAAGTAAGTCTTAAACTTCTTATCGCACCTTTTCCCTTGCGCATCGGACAATGAAGCGCATCAGCTAACCATACCCGTCTACAGAGACAAAGACTTCCTCAACTCCATCGCCCCCGAAGTTAGCCACTACGTCCAAGGCCAGATCGTGACTACCGAAAGCGAGGACGACGCTAGTAGTTAGGGAATACAACGTGCCAAACGTCGCGGAGGTTGGAAAGAGAAGAGTGGTTGAAAAGTGTTTGCGTGTGTGACTTTAAGCCCTAGACTTTGACAGCACACAGGAGCGATAGGTTTTTGTCTCAGCGGGAAAGGAGTTAAAGCGCACTAGAAGATCATAAGCGACATCTAGCCATGGGTCGATCAGAACTAGACGAATAAAGCGAGCGCCGAATACAGACTTGATCACATCAATACTCGTGACAAGGGGGGGGGGGGGGAATGTACATGTACTACGCTTCTTTAAGCGTTGATGCAGTGTTGAGTAAAAGTGAGTAGATAGATAGGTAAAAGTTACCCTACTTCACCTTGACCACTTTCACATTCCTCTCCCCTTCTCTCCCCC